GGATTAATTTGTTAGCGACTCTCAACAATCCCTTATACCAAGGAAATAGTATACTCCTAAGGCAATTTACTGTTTTACAACAAATATTGTGAAGCTCTTTGCGTTGAATTTATGGAAGTACATGCATAGAATCAACGCTAGCCCGGTTCGCGTTTCATTCGCTTTGCCGTTCTTTAATTAAGAGCCTCTGGGACCAGGGCACGAAAAGTAACAGGCCGGATGAGTGTATTTTATTAAATTTTTGGCATTGACGAAGCTGCTTAAAATTATTTTAGTGCAACCTCCTCTGACACTGAACAATGATTCTTTATTCATGTTAAAAAGCGTATCAAAACCAGCATGACACTGTTAATTATTTTTACAAAATTATTTTTACGGTATTACATTCTAAATCTAAGTGTGGGTGTTGTGGTCTTTGTTTCAACAACAAAATTTCGAATTGCAAAACTAGCGGTTGCAGTGAGACTTTACTCTTTAGTCCTGCTATGCATTGTTTAAGATCTGTATAAAATTCTGTATAGTTAAACATTCATTTATCCTTATAATAAGTCAGGCGTTAATGTTCTTCCAATTCTCCTCATTTTGAAATATACTGGCTTTCTTAAAGTGCTCGTAAAACACGGCATTTGTTTCCTTCCACGACTATCCACCCTGGCAACCCTCTTGTTTACCATACTAAGCAAATCAGTCAAATTCATGTTGGGTTCATGCTCGTTCAAAATTTCCGTCAGTTTGGTGATAAACCATGAACCTGTGCTAACATCTCTATATGGTTCGTAGCCATCAACGCTTGAATAGGAAACCAGTATATCAGCTTCGATGGGAAGACGAATGGGTGTAGGTGGACGTGAACCGTGATCGGCTTGTACCTCGGCTTGTTCCATAACCGCTGATTGGCCTAGGTCAATGTTCCTCCCTCTGCAATTTTGCATGAAAAAAAGCTTTGGCTTGTTTGCTAATGAAGGTATGCCTTTAAACTGACTTACGATCTCATCAACGGTGACTGAGTTACCATCAACTCCGTATATAGCATTCCCTTCGTCTCCATGGCTTGATATGAAACAAATAAATGCATCGTAGGTGCTGAAATTGACATTTGCGGAAATTTCCTCACAAACGTCTTTCATTTCTTGTGCTTTGAGATTGTCCCGAGTATGGAAATTATAACGAAAATTTGTACAAAACGTTACTATTTTAGTTTTGTCAACCTCTGCCCCTGGACGATCTGGTAGCCATGATCCTTGGAATGATCTATTGACGATGACCAATACAAAACCATTATGGATCGCGAAACGATCGATGTTGAATTCTATCAGCATTGCCATGACTGCGAATTAAACTAAAAGCATGTAAAATTCATTGTCTCTGATAACGTTTGAAGCAAAGTATAAAAAGGCCAAAAGAATTTATAGAATGTTTTGGCCTGTCTAAATACACGTTTTCTTAATATATTCATTTTAAAATCGATGAGTCATCTTCAACTTCAATTGCTTGATTTTCATGGAACCAAAAATACTTAAAAATGTTGACTTAGCCGACCAATCAAATTCAATTATAGAATTCAGCTGGTAAATGACAAATCTCATCATCATGGATTTTACCAGTTGTCAATACTTTAGACTACATAATTTTTTTGCATAAACAAAATAATTGGCATAGCTTTGATTATGTTATGATGAACTCAAAAATAGAAGCCATATTCCTTTCACTTTCAGTGATTTTACAATGCGAATTACGTGCGACAAAACTTAGTGATTGTTACCCTAAAGGAATTTTAACATCCAATGTAATTTAGACCAATGTTGATGTCTATAATAACCGTTACTTTCAATTTGTAACAGTTAATTGCAATTATGAACTCTCATGCAGTATTTGTTAATATATAGTTATAGATACGTGGGTGCACGCATTGTTTGTCCATGTTTTGTGGGTCTTTAGTTCTTCATAGTGCTGGTACATTCCATAAGTAAAAATATTCTCTCCGATTCCCTAAGTCTAAGATTCGATCGTTAGGTTTATAGGTTTATAAAAAAGCAATTATACACGCTATGTCGAAGAAAAGTAAAAACGTTTCGCCAGGTTTATACCCAACTGGGAGAAAAATGTCAATGTTGTCACATATGTACGGTATTTCTATATATAGTCAACAGCAATTGTGGCAAAGATTTGTTCATGTAAAAAAAAGGGGTCCATACCTGTTTCTGACTCTTCGTATTCCGTTGATGTTACAAAAAGTTCACCCACAGATGCTGCCACTGTAGACATGTAGCTCAATGATTCGACTCAAAAGACGTGGTTTAGGAAAGCAATTGCAACGTACTCGTCCGGAAATTTTTTTTTACCTAAAAAGTTGTCGATGGGGGGGTGGTTGTTGTCCCGGGCCCCCGCCAACCTCTCGGCGGCACTGGATGGGATGAAAAAATACTGGGAAAAATATCTAATCTAAGGTATTCAACCTAAGAGAAGAAGATATTCAGAATGACCAGTCAAGTTAGCATGAAGTCATCCAATAGAAGAACAGCTGGGAGCAGAGGATGGAGTGGAGAGATATTGTGGAGAGATGTACAGAGGCACTAAACCTAAGACAGAAAGATGACCAGAATAGAGTTCAAAGATTAAGTCAAGATAACATGACGGACGACGAACTGTTGGGAGCAAGAGGATGAGATAGATAAATATTGCGGAAAGATGTATGGTGGCACTAAAGCTAAAACAACAGGACATGTAGAATAGAGTTCAAAGAAAGATCAAGTCAGATTAGCACGGAGACATTCAATAGAAGGGCGACACACAGTTGGGAGACAGAGGATGAGATGAAGAGATATTGTGAAAAGAGACATGAAGATACTAAACCTACATGTAAGAGATGAAGATGCCCAGGATAGAGTATAGAGAAAGATCGGGTTAAGTTAGCATGAAGACATTCAATAGAAGGACGACACACAGTTGGGAGACAGAGGATGAGATTAAGAGATATCGTGAAAAGAGATATGAAGATACTATAAACCTACATGTAAGAGATGAAGATGCCCAGGAGAGATGAAGATCTAGTTAAGTTAACATGAAGACATTCAATAGAAGGACGACATACAGTTGGGAGACAGAAGATGAGATGAAGAGATATTGTGAAAAGAAACATGAAGGTACTAAACCTACATGTAAGAGACGAAGATGCCCAGAATAGAGGAAGATCTAGTTAAGTTAGCATGAAGACATTCAATAGAAGGACAACACACAGTTGGAAGACAGAGGATGAGATATTGTGAAAAAATGTTAAAAGTACTAAACCTTAGAGATGAAGATGCCCAGGATAGAGTGTAGAGGGAGATACCTTCGAGAGATATGACTTGGAGAGATGGACAGATATAGTGAAGAGATCTGACATACTTAACCCAAGATTAGAGATGGTAGGATAGAGTACATTGACGTCAACGAAAGATGAATGAGTCCTTAAACCAGTGCCATAAACCTACGACAACGACAGCGAAAAAACCTTAATGTTTGTAGGAGGATAATAAACACGAGCGTGGGCACGAGTTTCACAGACCCATTACAGACAAGACACGATATGAAATGATCTAACACGCTTCCAGTCTATTATACGACATTATTATTATTATCTTTATATTTAGCCAGGATACCCACATGACCGTATAGTGTTTTTGCAGTGAGGTGCTACAATTATAAATTACATCAGTGTACCGTGCTTAAAACGCATATGATGATCAACTTTATTTAAACACACTAATCTTTTCAACACGCAGCTGATTTCCAAAAGAGGTGTGCTAATATTACAAAACACAAATTTATATACTAAAACTTATTTAAATATTATTATGTCCAATATGCTATAACTTATATAACTAAACAATATATTTAACCAAGACAGCTAATTTCTAAAAACAATTGGTCGAGGAAGAAAGCTTTACACAAAACAAATCTTAAGATACCGAAGTTCTTATCTCTTCCGGTATCTGATTCCAGTTTACAATTTGAAGGAAAACGAAAAAAAAATGTGAAAGAGAAGGAATCAGAATGAAACAGTGGATAAAGAAAGAAAAAAAGTTGAAAAAACTAGAACGAGAAAGATTTGAAGCCAGAGGATAAAGAGAGGTCTATCTGCTGTTGTGTACATCGCGTCTTTTTAATGTCTTAAAGTTAGATAAAGATGCAGTATTTTTGAGTTCAGGTTCAAGGTTGTTAAAGTCTACATTCTTCTCATTTAAAGAATTCCATTGATTTAGAATATCGTTCTCATTTCTCACTGAAGTACTGTAGTACATCGCCTAACCTGAGTGCACAGCCCGCCATCTTTATTGTTTATTACCCTATAATTGTTGAGAAGTTTTTAAAAAAATATTAACATATTTTTAATTTCCCATCAGACTGAAGGCAGGTGATTTTTGAAACATGTTTCCTTTACTAACGATGTTCCCGCTGATTTCTTATCTCGTCATTATGCCTGCATTTTGGAGTGATTAAATAAGTCATTTGAAGAAGTAAATTAAAATTTTATATCATGCTACTATTACAAATAAGCATAATCAGTTGAATTGCCCTATTTTGCCTATATACGCTGTGTTCACTGGGCCATTTTTTATGCCATGCCTTTCGGTTTTAGTTACAGATTTATGGCAACAGCCGTTTTTACTTGACATGAATATCACCTGAAACTACATATCGGCGCTTTCCATTTAATGGCCTGACCGGTCAGACCCGAATTCTTTTCTCTGAAAGATCAGGGGCCGGTTGTTCAAAGGTGGTTAGCGCTAACCCTGGGTTAAAACTTAACCTGCCGTTCTGCTTTGTGTATTTCTGCACGTCTGTTTATTTCAACTTCAGAGAAGTAAACTCTTATCAATCCAGACAAGATCTCTGAAGAAAGATTTCCAAATTTATAGACAAGCAGTCAGGATGTTTGCTTTGAATTTTAGGTTAACCTGGGGTTAAGCTAATCCAGCTTTGAACAACTGGCCCCAGGTCTAAGTTTTTCAAATATCTAGCGAAAATGGACCTCATTCTAATGTTATCTAAAATTTCCAGTCAGATAGGTCCGAAGCCCAAATGTTTTGTGTTTCGTTCAAAAATTTAACCGTTCTGACCGTATTAATGGAAAGCGCCCATAGATTATTGTTCTTGATTTCAAAGACAGTGCTGCTGAAAAAGGAGGCTGAAAGCTTGTATTATTAAGTGGGTTTGTCCGTTCTATTTTTACAAAGGTACAAAGAAGACTCTTTCAACATCGACTTGTACTGGCACAATCTCAAACAGTCTGTGCCAGTGTAGGTAGCGACGATGAGACAGCTGTGGACCAAGAAAGATATACAATTACGTGACAAAACATAAGCAGAACTTCTTGTATTTTTCAGGTGGTCTTATCTCAATCCACTCGCATGCAGCTGTCCTAATACGGGCATGGTCGATCAATGCATGTTTCCAGCTATAGACTAAATTTTGATCTAGGCAAGAAGAACAAAATCCATCACCACAGCTAGAAAGAGCATGTTGAAATTAATAAAATTGCAAAGTTTGGTTGCGAAATGTTGTAAAATGAGGAAAATATAGCTCTACGAAATTTGAAAATTTTGTATTAATTTGTATTACCCGCGGGAATTTGCACCACTTTCAGCCCAAATGTCAGGGTGCATTTTCCCGCGCGTAATACAAATGAATACAAAATTTGCAAATTTCGCAGGGCTATATTTTCCGCATTTCAAACTATTTCGCAACCAAACTTTGCAATTTTACTAATTTTAACATGCTCTTTCTAGCTGTGGTGATGGATTTTGTTCTTCTCGCCCAGATCAAAATTTAGTCTATACTGGAATCAGCCATTCCAAACTTAGTTTTGAGGTGCAGGGACCATAGATATCTTATATACACTAGATAGCGCATCTCTTTTAGTAAAATTGAAGCCAAGAATATTCCAGCGGTTACCCCCATTTGAATAGATGGCGGCCATGTTGGAGTTTCCCACTCGCTAATAAACTCTTAAAAAACAACAATAACTTTCAACATTTGAATAGTTTGAAAATGTATTTGGAATAGTTTTAACTTAATGTTTAAGTTCCCTGTTTAAGAAATAGAAAACATACAAGTCTTCTCTGATCTCAAATGCGGCGCTTATTATGTTCGGGGGCGGCGCTCAATCGAGTAAATACGGTAGGTAATAGTATGGTTTAAGTGCAATTTGGGAAAAACAAGCGTGACACGAGTGAGTTTTTCAAATACGATCAAAATTGCGCGAGTCTGCGAAGGACGAGTGCAATTTGAAGACTTTGAAAACTCACGAGTGTTGTTTTTTCAAAACACTCTGTGACAACACCGACTTTAATATAGGGCCGCTGTAATTGGCGAAAGTGTGGCGTCTACCTGCCATCTGTTTATATATGCATGTGTTTGTCATATGCAGCATGTTCTTTGGCAAAGTTAAATAAATAAATAAACATCTAAAGTAAACCTAATTGTTTTCAGTAACCCGAAACACAATTAAGGCTGTGTGGATTTCCCGGCATGCCACAGGAGGTAGCTAACCGTTAATAATTTGTGTCGGTAATTTCTTTGAAGGAAACTAAAACTCTATATTCCATCAAGCCATTAGGTTTATCAATTCAAATCGCAGACCTTTATCGAGATAAAAACATAAACGCATTCATACTTAGATACAGGGATCTGCTTGATGAATCTGCAGCTGACACAGCTGGTATTTTGCTATTGAAGCGGGTTATTATTAAGGTAAGCTAAACAAAACATTTGCTGTATCTTTATGGTATTAAGCATGCTCCGATATTTCTTAAACCAAAACACAGCTGTATATTAAATATTTAGAAACACAAGGGCCTCCTTCATGTCCTTTACGGCTTTAGCCAAGTCAGCTGGAAGATAAATCTGCACTAGATCCAGACCGCCACCGAAGGCGTAATGATGAAAGAAAAGATAAGGTTTATTATTTTATCACTGGATTTCTTTAATGTAGCGCGGGCGGTATATATAGCATAAAGCCCTCATCGATAAGAAATGAAGAAACATCAAGCAAAATTGTTGGCAAAAACCTTCTCGGTTATAAAATAACGGTTAAATAAGTACCTCGAACAACGGGCAGTATGCTATGACAATGTTTTTACATAGCAAGTTTTATTTTGTATAGCCCCTAGCTCTGTGGACGCACCCAGCGCTGTATACAGTCATTCTCGGTATTTAACACTGACTTAGGCTACCTCCACACTAATCCATTTTCGTATTGTTCTCCGTTCATGAAAGAGTACAAAAAACGAATTAGTGCGTGTAGATGCCGAGGTAGGCAATCTTCGAGTTTTAAAAACCCTTCAAAACTGTTCAAAGTTAAGCCCCGACCACGCGTCCAAATGAACCATGCATGTTCAAATGAACTACGAGTAATTTTTTTATGACACATTAACAAATATACGCGCAGCGTAGGATGTGTATGAACTGATAACTATATTTCCAGCTATATATTGTGGACGACTCAAATCATTGCTCTTAACAGTCGGGGCTTAACTCGAGCGTCGAATATTTTCAATGACTTCGAGCACGTCGTTAGACGCTCGGCCTTATTGGGGCTTGATAACGAATCTTCTAATTTGTCATCACGTTCTAATATCTGCCTCATGAAAGAATATTATTTATCAACGTCATCTTATAGATAGAACTGTGTAGGTGTTTATTTTAGAATACGTATATTTATTATGAGAAAATATTGCAGAAAGCGCAGCAGGTTGAGACGTCATAAATTTGGTTCTCTAAAGACCACAGAAAACTCGTTTAAATAAATAATAATCAGTAAGAGAACGGAATAAATTATGTTTGTACGTATTGCGTGCACTAATTTTCGGCAAACGCGCAGGTATATAATTGCACCTTCACTTATTTATAATTTCTACTTCTCTATAATAATAGTAATCTAACACTTAGTTCCAATTCTGTTCATTTCTCGCAATTTCTTAATAGACGCCAACTATTACAAGAATAACTATTCAACAAACTGAGTAAGTTCTTTGTAGCCGTATAAGACTGCATGGCGATAAAACATATAATAATTCTTGTTTATGGAAACACCATGCCAATGGACCATTTGCATTATAGACTAAATTTTGATCTAGATAAAAATTTCATCACAGCTTGAAAGTGCATCACAAAATTAGTAATATTCCAAAGTTTCGTTGCTAGATCAAAATTTAGTCTATAATGCAAATGGTCCATTTATTAGCTTTCGATCCGTAAGCCCGGATCTTCATCAGTGCTAATAATATGACTTTAAAATTAAAATTTTGATCAATGTATGAGATTGCATCAAAAATCTTCTTCTTGTTAATTAAAGTTTTGCTTTTACGTGCAGACGTAGCACTTGAAAACACGTTTGCACAAAACTTTCACTTTTTTTCAGTCCTCGTTTACAGAGACAGGTGGATTGCGCGCATTATGTTTTTAGTTATCTCGTACGCGTGGATGCAAAATAGGTTTTTAAACTAAAAAAAAAATGTTCCTGTAAAACATTTTAAGATAACCACCTGTGGTTACACTTTATGTAAATAACAGAAATCTATATTAATGTGTTAATAGAACTCGTGTTGACATTGTGGTGAAAGTATCAGAGTTTGTTTAATCAAGACGAAGACATGGCAAGCGTGAACTCGACGGACATCATAGCAGAAATAAAAGATAAGAAGAACATGTCAAGCTTTAACTCGACGGACAGCATGTCAGAATGGCTCCCAATTCAATACGGCTATCTTACAATCAGCATAGTAGCAATCCTACTAAACAGCACTGTGATCTACTTGTTTCTAACAAGAAAATATTTACGAAATATGTATTCGAACATATTCCTGTTCAGCTTGGCCATATCAGATCTATGCTATGCCGCTGTAGCCATACCCTTGCTAATAAAATGCGACCAAACTATGCCACAGTACGTTTGCTACGCCTATGCATATGTTATGCTGTTCTTTGGTTACAGTACAGTCTACCACATTCTACTGGGAATCTCAGAGAAGTTATGCGCAATATGCTTCACGTTAAAACATCACTCAATGTTCTGCAAATCCATCGCTATCAAGTTAAGTTTCTCAGTGTGGTTATTATCCATCATCTTCACACATATCCCTGTCTGGTGGGAACACGTTTTTCCTGGTGACACAAGGAACGCAACGGAGAAAAACGTGGAACAAAACAACGAACGCGACGAAGCCTATTACAGGTTCCATTTTACAATAGGATTTGCAATTCCTGTGGTAATATCAGCAATCATGTACTCCATGATCCTTCATAAAATATTCAAAGCTTCCAACAGAAGATTAACCGAAGACACCCAAAGAAACAAATTAAGATTGCACGCAGAAAGAAAGGCTGCATTGACCTTCGCCATTATGTTAGCAGCTTTTCTGTTCTCGTGGAGTACTTGGTTTTTAGCACGAATCGCATACGATCGAATCGTTACCGCAGATGCTGTGTACTACTTCTTAACAATAAGTAGATTCTGTGATCCAATATTCAACCCGCTGCTGTACACATTTCTCAAAAATGATTTTCGACGAGCGTTTTTCAGTCTTTTCCAGAGTAAAAAACAGAGCAATAATCTATCGAAGATGCGTTTGACTCGATTGAATGATCGCACTTCAAAACAGGACACACAGGAAGATACAACACGTTCTTCGCCACTTGCCGTAACCAAATCCATGCTTTCAACTCAACGCAAGCCTTCACCTTAATCAAAACTCGTGTTGAACATGTCCTTACATCAGAGACCTTACGATTTAGGACGGCAACGGCTACCAATACAAGAGATCATTGAAAAGAATTGAATAATTACAATATATGAATAATTTAGACATTGTTTACAACGCCAAATCACAGATTTTCTCGTCTTGATACAACGGCTGCATTTCAAGCCGCAACAAGTGCAACTTCAAACTGAGTTCAGCAGAACTCTTCCCAAACATAAAACCCATGTCTTCAACTTCTAAGACTGTATTAAGAGTTTGTTTTGGCCGTCGCCGTCGCGTTGCCGCCCTAAAATCATAAGGTCTCTATTGCTATACTCTACAAAACGTTAAAATTTAAAAATGTGTATACTAATAATAGTTCCTAAAAACGTTATAGCATTGTTTAAATATTTAATTCTTTGACAAATCTTAAAACAGTTACTTCACTCTAGCTAGACATAAGGAAATGTGACTTTGATTATAAATAACACGTATAGTTAATATAACACGTTTCTGGTTATGTTACTGTAATCATGTAAGACTGGAATATAAAATGAGTCTTTTGAGAAATATGAAGTGAAAAACGATAAGAAAATATGTGATATATAATACATAAAAAAGAGTCTTAGAGTCTGTGATTCTTTGATCCAATTTTCAACCCGATACTGTACGCGTTTCTCAAAAATGATTTTCGACGACAGTCTTAAGATAGAATATATGAAAAAATATATGATAAAAAAAGGAAATAAAACAAACAATATAAAAAAGGAGTTTGCCCTTAAATGTGATGCTTAAACACTCTAGTCTTACTGCAAAGTTGCTTCAAATTTTAACTCTTTTTTCATGATTTAAACATTTCATTTCCTGAGCAGCATGAGCCTGACTTTATCATTGTTCATGCATTGGTAAAACTCATGCCTAGTTTCCAGTCCCTTACAAACGCAGTTTTTGGACTATAGTGACTTCAAGTCATGGTATCCATGAAATTAAAAGACGAAATCAAAAGCGGAAAAAACTATTTGTCAACTTTCAATTTAACACATTGAGTGGCAGAACGCTGCCCTTGACAAGTAAAATCATCTGGAGTTAGGCGTAAAAAAAATATACCTGTGGTTCCGGTTCCCGACCGACCCTATTTTTTTCTGCCGACCCTATTTTTTTCTGCCGACCCTATTATTTTTTCAACGCGATTGACTGTGCGACACTATTTTCTCCAGGTGGTTGCGGGCTACTGCCAAAATGGCGTCTGTTGTGTCACACTAATTATTGAAAAAACCATGAAAAAAATATTTAAAAAAAAAATTATTTCCGATCTACTGACCCTAATTTTTTCGCGATATGAAACCGGAACCACAGGTATTTTTTTTTACGCCTTAGACAGATTGGAATAATAAAGTAAGGTGCATCAGGGCACATTGCCAGTCAAGGGTTAAATGCTTGACATTGACAGCTGGGAAGTTTGACAAGTTAAAAAATAAGTTTAGCAAGAATAATTGGTTGAAGTTCGAATGAACTGCTGTACGGAATATATTCAATAGTGACAATATTAAAGATGCTGTAATGTCCGTAATGTAAACAAAAGCTTTGTTTACATTTTGAACTGCTGTATTTGTAAAATATGATATAAGTCTATTAACGGAATACCCAACACTTTTCTGGTTCGTTATACTTGTAAATGAATATAAACTAAACGTTTCAATTCTAAAAAGTTCAAAAGATGAAAAATTTGGGCAATGTTTATATCTGCGAGTCCCCTTTGTTATGAGCAGAACTGATGCACAGAACGGACGTCACAACATCTTTAAATATACTTGAAAATGTATATGAAAATGTTATTAAAACTTAGTAAAAAATATTAAGTGAATATGAAAATTTTGTGAAAAAATATTGTTGCCTGGCCATTGTAGGTCTACAAGGGATAAATGTCTGCAGAACTTAAATACAGCTGTAGATGTTAAAAATGCAACACAAGGTCATCTGGTAGGAATTGGACCTACGGCCCTGTACCTTGTGCTGCATTTTTCTCAGTCATTCTTAATTGCAGGGCCGTAGGTTCAATTCCTACCAGAGGACCTTGTGCTGCATTTTTCGCAGTCATTCCTGGTCAGGTCTTAAAATGTATATATATTCACTTGGATTACAAACCCTAACATTCTAATATTAATTCCACCAAGTGAAGTGCAAGAAACCAAATAATTGAAGTCCACCTTATCACAACCCACACACCCGATTACCTATATATACATGAACTTACAGTTACAGCTCAACAGCTGGCCTCTGTAGCTCAGTTGGTTAGAGCGCTGCACCGGAATCGCAGGGACGTAGGTTTAATTCCTACCAGAGGACCTTGTGCTGCATTTTTCGCAGTCGTTCCTGGTCAGGTCTTAAAATGTATATATTCTCACTTGGATTACAAACCCTAACATTCTAATATTAATTCCACCAAGTGAAGTGCAAGAAACCAAATAATTGTAGATGTTAAAAGAATGGTGACAACCAGCATTAAAAAATTAAAAAACAGATAAATTGTATTTTGCCATCCTGCCTTGCTTGAATTTGGTTGCAGCACTAATGTCTTATTATTCCAAATATCTTTATCATCTTTAATATCCTTTCATATAAACAATATTTAATTTCAAAAAAAGAAATGGCAATTTTTCCAAAATTCGTAGGCTTATCCAAAAGCCATAGGCTTATCTTATCTTTAATATCCTTTAAAACATTCATTAACAATTCATAAGCTTATTGGCAAAACATATCAACCATAATATGTCACGTGAAGAGGCTTTGTACACACATAAAAACGTACAAGTTGTAACAAACCTGCAGCAGACTTGTAACAATGCTGTTCCAACAACTTGTCAACAGGATGTGTTCGCACTGCTTGTTCCCAGCTTGTTGACAACTTGTCAATGGCTTGTTGACAACTTGCTGCAAGTTTGTTGAACTCAACAGACTTGTTACAAGTTGTCCAAATAACAGCATTGTTACATCTTGTTGAAAAGCTTGCTACTAGCCTGTTGTGAACACATCTTGTTGACAAGTTGTTTGATTTTTACGTGTGTACCTGATAAAACTCATCTTCATTAGAATTCTTTATATAAAGAATATTAATGAGACGGCATCTATTGTGGTCGTGTTTCAAGCTATTCAAAACACTTGTAGTCGTGTTTTATCATATCTAAAATTATGCTCGTGCTGCGTATTTTAAATATGACATATCGTCTTCAATATTTTGCCCCTCTTTAATTAATATTCTTTACAGCTGTTGACAAAGCTTTAATAGCAATCTGTATACAGGGGCGTAGCATGACCTTTTTAACTGGGGGGGTGTAACATCTAAGTTTTACCGACCCACGCGCCACGAGGCGCCACCATGGTTGGCGCCGAGCGGAAAATTTTTGAAAATATGGAGTCTCTAGATCGTTGGAAATGGCATTTTCAGAGCCTTCTGTACCTTATACACACAAGGTTTGGTAGCTTTTATTTATATCAAACAAAACCATATTGTTGAAGTTGTGTTATTTTCGAAATCCGTGAGAATCCGTCAGATATTAACAAGCTGTGAGACTTTAGGTTTTATTAGAATCCGTGACCGCCCCTTATACGTTACATATAACATATACCATAACAGCTATACAGCAATTGACAAATAAATATTTCGGCGCGCGTTTAATGAATTTAATGACACTTACCGTGACTTTAGTCCGCCGTCTAGAAATAACGTAGAACCAGAAACGTAGCAAACGCTTTATTAATGGTCATTAATTGGAATAATTGTTGTCTTTGTTACTTCGCGATAAGTCATTTTACTCAATGGCATTTATCTTGTTGTTTATTGTAATGAACAGACTTGAAAAATTGGCGAAACATTTTATGAGCACCGCGTGTCAATAACAAATATATAAATATAATCTTTAATTCTTTTGCGTATCATTTTATCAAGGTCAAAAGTTCGCGCACAGTTGAGCATGTCCAATCAGAACCGACTGTTTTCGCAGCTCTTGCAAGTGTAATACGATAGGAAATTAGGGGCTCCAATGCTTATGCGTAGATATTTAATATAAGTGTTTTAATACTGAAGAATTACGTACATTTTGCATAACTTTACTGGAGAACAAGGCACAACATTAATTTAATATTTTTTTATTATTAAAAGCCATTTACCGAGGAGCAAAATTCCACTTTAACCGATTTGTTTTACCGACCGCTGTCATGGCTCTTGCCATTACCGAATAACTTCGCGTTTTACCGACTACCTCACTAAAACTGGGGGGGTGTCACCCCCCCCCCACACCCCCCCGCACGCTACGCCCCTGTCTGTATATGATAACCACAAATCAAATGATCACACAAAGTAATAAAATAAACTATATTTAACTTACCTTTGGATGAAATTCTCGTCGACTTGACTTGACAGTACTCAACTCCATGCTTATTTTGAAGTCGAATAAATTGTCGTTTATTTTCTTTATAAAAGGCCAAATTTCCCACTGAAACACTGTTAAACCTGTAAAATATATACTTAGCTTTAATTTATTTTGTTTCGTTATTATCTTATCGCTTATTTTAAAACAAAATTTACCTCTGAAGTCCGAACTGTCACTGCCATGTTTAAAAATATTGTCCTCCATTTCCACACGTGTGAACACGTGTGTAGTTATTTGTTAAAATTCATCACTCAAACGGTTCTCTGATGTGATTGGCTGCTCTTGATAATCATTGTTTCACGACCAATGAAAAACGTTGCGCAAAATATGCGCAAAAATTTAAATACAAAATAAATTCACAGCGGAAAACAACCTCGTACCCAGCGTTCTCTTTTTGCTGGCCGCGGAAAAATGAGGGCATTTATTTTTCGCCCACCTCCCCTTTTCTGCTCTCTCTCCCTCCCCCTGTGCCTCGACGCAAGCTAGCGCTGGTTCGACCAAATATGAAATATGTTTAATCATACAATGGTGTACTAGACCAAAGAACTCCATGAAATCATTGTTGTTCGGTACTTTTCGACCTGAAATAAACAGAGAATTTCAATTTTCGTAAGGGGTGGTACCAAAAACAATCGCCTTTTTTTAATTTTTTTATTTTAAAAACTTATGTACAATAAATTTATGTGTAGTACATTTACAATAATTGTAGAGTGCGGGCTAGAGACCTACTAGAAATCTTAGCAGACTTTTTATTTTTTACTTGAACAACATGAGCTTGAAACACCAACAGGCCTTAGATTTAGATGTTGCGTTCAATGAATTTAATTGCTACAAGATGATGCATTTCTATACCATTTGCGTTTACCAAAAAACACAGAAGATAAAGCGTGCTAAAATTTTAAAATTTAGTATTTTCAATCACAATTTGTATTTTTGTGAATGAATTTTATGGTTGAGATCTGACCGTTGACTGTTTGATTTCATTCATTCAAACAGGTTTATAAATTGTGGAAATTGAATTTCTGAGGCTTGATGTCCGAACTTATTGGTTTCGGAGGAGGGCGGGGAGGGTATGCCCAAAGGTATAAGAAATGCATGTTACTCATATTCTCACTCATTTTTAATTGGCAAAGTTGGACGGTCTGCCGTAAAATATTCTGCTTGAATCCTTCATGCAGGCAATATTTAACAACGAAGAAAAAATTCAGTCCATAGACACAAAAGATGTCTAATATTTCAGTATGGATCAAAGCAAACAACTGACCATATTTTAATAAACAATTAGCTAATCAGTTAAGTCGGCTCAGGTGAGTCAGCTACTCTGAAGCTGTTTTGGACGAAATTACAACAAATCAAACCATTTGCTGAGCCACCACAGTTACTGCTATGATTTCTAATGTACTCACTATTAAAAATGAACAGTTTATACACATCCTTACAGTTTATATTAACAAAACTACTCAATTTTTGGTATACGTAACTAGTCTTGACTTTCGCTAGTTATTTTTTCTCAAAATTCACGAGTTAGATGTTATACACGCACCCTTTAAGTAATTGCATCACAAATCCTATAAGGTGAGTGTCCTCAGCTTGAGATGAAAAATGTCCACCTGATGTACCGGAAGTAAAACTACCAAACGCTTTTGGATCTTCAGTCGATTCAATCTTTTTCAATTTGACGTCTCCAGTACCAGTGGTCAGCGTCCCTGGCCTCAAGGTATTATTATTCCCGTGTCTGTCTGTGTAGTGTGCTGGTTTGGACCAATCTGCGAAAGCCTACTGGTGAAGGACAACTTTTTGATTGGGGGGAAGATGTAGCAGAATTCTGATGGTCAGAAAACAGCGTTTTAGTATTTCAAGGCGTATTTAATTAACTATATATTGGAAAAGTTGCAGGAAAGTATGGGTAAATACTTGATTGATTGATTTTTGATTACTTCATCCTTTGCAGTTTGTTATGGATAATGTAGCCCGCTTACAATTAATCAATTGTCAGTATTTTGAAGGTATATTATTTAAATGATAAAGGTCTGCATGATTTTGAAAAAAGAACGATTATTAGCCCCCCAGCCCCCCGGTTGCTACGGCCCTTTGCCAGATAATTCTAAAGTCTGCCTGTACCGCTTGTTTATAGTCGTTCTTATTAATGAAACTGTACAACAACGGGTTGAGGACTGCCCCTGCAAAGCGTAGGGAAACTAAGAAATCCTTAACCTCTAGTGAAACCAGGTACTGATGCTCAGCCTTTACGCTAAAAAAGAACCAGGGGGTCCAACCAACGATAAAAAATGTGAAGAACATTAGGAACATGAGCACCGTTTTCCGATCATTCCTCGCTTTTCCTTGTACACGTCCCGTCTGTGTGTGGGAGGAAAGTTTGCTACGAATTTGGAAGAACATGCGTATGTAACAATACAATAAGATCACACTTGCCAAGCCCAGGAATACAGACGTATAGGCTATGCTATAGATATGGAACTTATTTAACCAAGCAGGCGACACTGCGTCATCGTACATCCAAAATAGAGGCACCAACGCCAGTACCAAAGCCAGAAGCCAAACTGTGGTTAATATCTTTCTGTATGTACCACGAGTCGAAACCCTGAGCCTCTGAAACGGATGGAGGACGGCTAAGTATTTTTCGAGTGTCAAAGCAACTATGTGAATTATCGTAGAAAAATCTAATAAGTTTTTGACCAAATAGTTCGCGCGACAGAAATCGACAAAGGTTTCGCTTACGGGCGCATATTTGGTCCACTGGTTTTCGCAAAATATCAAAATGGGGAGATAAATCACTCCTACGATCAGATCAGATATTGCGAGGCTCAGTAATAACACGTTGCTGCAATTACGGCGGACATTTTCATGGCGTTTGTAAGTTTGAATCGCGAAGAGGTTACAGATAATGATAAGGAATGAAATATGCCGCCACTTATGGCGCGAGTTAAGGCGTCACTTAAGCCGCGGGTTAATTAATTTAAGCCGCATGTTAAAGCGCCACTTAGGCCGCGGGTTAAGGCGCCACTTATCCCGTCATGTGTTTCCTCACATGACCGAAATGTTTATTACAACGAACCAAAAGATCATGGCATATGTTTACATATTGTTTGCATTATTATCCACAGTAGAAGCAGTATTCCCAAAGTATGATCCCGCATTGGGTGTAGGCTGTAGCGCTCTATAGCCAAGTAAACTTGAACTTCCCCTAAGTTCCACCTCTATTATCCGAACTACTTCGTCAAAATCAATTGGAGCTTTTCTTCTCCGGCATCTTCAGACTTCTTGCTCTTAGAATTCTTTCAAGCTGCCTAAGACTCAACGTGAAACCATAGACATTGGTAAGGAAAACAACCTTTAGTCTGAGATGAAAGTCCTTTTCAACAAACTCGTCGCGATTTGGTGTATCTAAGGCACCCAAAGCGGGATTATACTTTGGGAATACTGCTTCTACTGTGGATAATAATGCAAACAATATTATGTAAACATATATGCCATGATCTTTTGGTTGTGATAAACATTTCAGTCATGTGAGAAAACACATGACGGGATAAGTGGCGCTTTAACCCGCTGCTTAAATTAATTACTGCCGCGGCTTAATTAAGTGCGCCTTAATTAACTCCGCGCCATAAGTGGCGGCATAACTAAAAGTGCGCGGCTCAAAACTGGAAGTACGGCTGATATAAGTGGCGTGATAATTCAGAGCGCGACCAGAAAAAAGAAGAGCGTTGGCCCTTCTGAGCCACCGTAGAATGTGAATCTGTGACGTTTTCTTGTATTTTATGCGAAAACAACTCTTGTCACGTTTTCTTTCCTTGTTTCAAATTGAAAGTTCTTGAGACTTACTGACACACAAGTCAACTCACGTTTTGCTTGCGTTTTTCGATTTCTTTCAATCGCACACGTCTTTCACTGCTATAGTGTGTAAAAAAGTTCGAGAAATACGACTTACAATTCGCCTTGACTGGTAGACGAAATAAGAGAGATCGTTATTGCATTTTCAGTCAATATCAGACTTATTACTCGACTAGTATTAGCATGACAAAATTACTGGATGCTGATTGGTTGAGAGGAGTACAATTATTGTCCTGCAGTCTGCAGTAGCCTCCTCCGCAGGCAACTCTTGAAACAGCACAAATAAATTCATGGTTGGGGGATCCCTCATGTGTTTCAATAGTTGCCTGTGGAGGAGGCTAAGTCTGCAGTACAAATGAAATTGCCCTAGAGGAACTTAAAGCAAAAGAACTAAATGAAAATAAGAACAAAAGCACCAAATTTTGGTTGAAAGTCTGGCAGGACTGGGCTTTGGCGAGAGAATACAATGTTGACATTGACTGATTATCCAAATAATCATGCGATGTTGCTCGTACAATTAGGGATTAATAGTACTCGTCATGTTTGGAAATTTTGCTCTGAAGCTGTTTTGGACGAACTGATTACAACAAGTTAAGCCATTTGTTGAACCACTACAATTACTGCTGCGCCTACGGTTTCTAATGTCTCACTAAAATGAACAGTTTATATATACATCCTTACAGTTTATATTAACAAAACTACTCAATTTTTGGTATACGTAACTAGTCTGGACCTTCGCTAGTTATTTTTTCTCAAAATTCACGAGTTATATTTTATATATGCATTTGGGTAATTACGTCACAAATCCTTTTTTGGCCTGGAAGACCTCGTTCTCGTGAGTGAGTGGCCAAAAAACTGAATTTGTGACGCCACTGACGTAATTATTGAAAAGGTGCATCGGCATGAACGTCGACTGTGAAACACGTACCAACTCTCGAATTTTCTTGAGTGCTAAAATGCAAAGTCATGTAAAAAGTAAGCCATGTAAAGCTGGTTTTCCATTTCAATCGTACAGAAAAGGAATTTCTTTGTTCCCTGAGCGGTAGTGTGGAACTAATGACTTTGACACAAAAGAAAATGCTACGATACGTTACGATCGAAGTGAAAACCTGGCTTAATTAAAGCCGGTTTTCTACGAGGAGCAATTTTGCGCGCGCAGGGGAAATTTTCTTTGTCTTGTGATTTCTCGGGTGGAACTAATTAGAAAATTCTTCACGTAGTGGAAAACCGGCTTTATACAGGGTGTATAAAAAAAAGCGCAACCTCGGAATTTCCCAAGAAATCGACATTGTTTTAAAGACAAAAGATTTTAGGCGCCTGGGAATTTAAAATAGCATAACTGTCAAAATTATTGCACACGCGAGTGCATAAAGCAAAATTTATGCATTTATTTAATGCACAACAACAGTAATATGATCTATTAGCAATTCGATTTCAATTCCCAGGGGCCTAAAATCTTTTATGCTTAAGAATTGCAAAGTGATTTCTTAGGAAATTCCGAGGTTGCGTTTTTTTTATACACCCTGTATAAGTCATGGCTGGGGGACTCAAGCAAATTCGAAAAGTATCTATTCATGATAGTTTCGTTTAAAGGTCAGTGTCCTCAGCTTGAGATGAAAAATGTCCACCTGATGTACCGGAAGTAAAACTACCAAACGCTTTCGGATCTTCAGTCGATTCAATCTTTTTCAATTTGACGTCTCCAGTACCAGTGGTCAGCGTCCCAGGCATCAAGGTATTATTATTGCCGTGTCTGTGTAGTGTGCTGGTTTGGACCAATTTGCGAAAGCCTACTGGTGAAGGACACCTTGAGCAGAAACGTCTAAAGTCTGCCTGTACCGCTTGTTTATAGTCGTTCTTAATGAAACTGTACAACAACGGGTTGACAACTGCCCCTGCATAGCGTAGGGAAACTAAGAAATCTTTAACCTTTAGTGAAACCAGGTACTGATGCTCAGCCTTTACGCTAAAGAAGAACCAGGGGGTCCAACCAACGACAAAAAATGTGAAGAACATTAGGAATATGAGCACCGTTTTCCGATCATTTCTCGCTTTCGCTTGTACACGTCCAGTCTGTGTGTGGGAGGAAAGTTTGCTACGAATTTGGAAGAACATGCGTATGTAACAATACAATAAAATCACACTTGCCAAGCCCAGGAATACCGACGCCTGAGCTATGCCATATATGTGGAACTTATACAACCAAGCAGGCGACACTTCATCGTACATCCAGAATAGAGGCACCATTGCCAGTACCAAAGCCAGAAGCCAAACTGTGGTTAATATCTTTCTGTATGTACCACGGGTCGAAACGCTGAGCCTCTGAAACGGATGGAGGACGGCTAAGTATTTTTCGAGTGTCAAAGCAACTATGTGAAGTATCGTAGAAAAATCTAATAAATTTTTGACCAGATAGTTCGCGAGACAGAAATCGACAAAGGTTTCGCTTACGGGCGCATATTTGTTCCACTGGTTTTCGCAAAATATCAAAATGGGAAGATAAATCACTCCTATGATCAGATCAGATATTGCGAGGCTCAGTAATAACACGTTGCTGCAATTACGTCGGATTTTTTCATGGCGTTTGTACGTTTGAATCGCGAAGAGGTTACAGATAATGACGAGGAATGAAAGAGTTATCAGGCCATAGTGATAATCCTCGAGTTTTGAACTCCATCCTGCTGTGTCGTTTGTCACTTGAGTGGAAGTTGTAGTCGAGAAATTGTTATCTCTAGGAAATGTTGTCGCCATTATTGAATGATCAAAATGTAAATGCTCCGAACGTTTCGCTGACTGTAACTGTTCCTTTAATCCGTTACCGCTACCAGTTGTTTTTCTTATATTTTGCTATCTCTTTCTCTTTCAATTTGGAAGCTTTCGAATGTGAGTTGTCGTACTGTCCTTCTGTGCAAATGTTTAGTTTTGTTTATCGCGAACTTTTCGGTTCCTTCAGAGCAGCGTGTTTGTCCTCTTTCACTGGGACTTCGGAATGTGAATCTGTGACGTTTTCTTGTATTTTACAAGAACCGTACGACGTCACTGCGTCAGTCTTTATGCGAAAACAACTCTTGTCACGTCAAGTCAACCCACGTTTTGCTTGCGCCGTTTCTCGATTTCTTTCAATTGCACACGTCTTTCACTGCTATGTCTGTAAAAAGGTTCGAGAAACACATTTACAATTTGCCTTGACTGATAGACAAAATAAGAGAGATCATTATTGCAATTATTGAATTTTCAGTCAACATTAGACTTATTACTTGACATATAACTCGCACTATGAAATTTCGGGGACGGCCTGCATGTAACATCAGTTCCCGGTATTTATTATTATTTTATGGTATTTATTTAGCTTATGAAACACATTTACAATTTGCCTTGACTGATAGACAAAATAAGAGAGATCATTATTGCCATTATTGAATTTTCAGTCAACATTAGACTTATTACTTGACATATAACTCGCACTATGAAATTTCGGGGACGGCCTGCATGTAACATCAGTTCCCGGTATTTATTATTATTTTATGGTATTTATTTAGCTTATGAAACACATTTACAATTTGCCTTGACTGATAAACAAAATAAGAGAGATCATTATTGCCATTATTGAATTTTCAGTCAACATTAGACTTATTACTTGACATATAACTCGCACTATGAAATTTCGGGGACGGCCTGCATGTAACATCAGTTCCCGGTATAGAAATTGAGAAAAGCGCGCGCTTTCTCTTTACGTGCGTGTTTCGTATTAATTGCGTAGTTGTAATAATAATATTTAATATTTATATTGCGCAAATAATTAACTCAGTTTTTGTGAATTCAATTCGTCAAGAACTTGGTAGTGACAATAACGCCTTTAGGGTTTAAATTTTAATTTAGCTTATGCTTTTATTCAATTAACAAACTCAATCAGTGAATGTCTGCTTTTGGAAAAACTGTTAAAAGGAATGAATAATTAACATTAATCTTCTTGAAATTTCAAAACAAGCCTATAAGTGGTTTCTCGCTATCTTGAGATTTTTGGTCTAGTTCGTAAAACTTGTTTAACTATTCACTTTATGTGCTACGTACGCTTACTCTTTATAGTCGGTATTTCCAAGGATCTCTTATAGATCCTATCGTTGTCTGTTGACAAACACATAACGACACTGATCCAAACGTAACCCGGCAAGCGTTTCGCGTAACTCAGCAACTCATTACTGCTTCACAAGAAAAAATAAAAGTTTTTTTTTATGAAAAGATAAAAACTTTAATTCAATGTTCGCCTCTGCACAAGCGAATTCAAAATGTTGTGTTACTGCAGGAGCGTAAAATTGTTTATGGAAACTCAATGTTTTCGTTGAAGCTTATATAGCATGATACCGATAAGTGAAAAATTGCATTGACCATTGCCATGTAATTGAAACTTATATATTGAAATTGCTCTTAGTGCTTATTGCGTATACCGGGCAACGGCGCTTCGCAAAAACAATGCTAATGGCTAGCTTTTATGTCAAACAATGTTTTCATAGCCCATGTAGTTATGCTTTGAAATAAATAGAAGGCGGTTTACCATTCATTCATAATTATAACATTCAGAAGTAAAGTGCTTATATATAGGCTATACCTCTAGACCTATGTGGTCAGTCCCTTCTCTAGACAAAGAATATATCAGTCAGCTGTCATTAAACCAAATCCTTTGTATTAAGACTGCTCTAAACATCACAAGATGGCGAGAGATATATACGGTCAAAAGATTAAATCAGGATTTTTGATAAATCTTGGATGTCAGCCCTGTGCCATCTGTCTCATTCATCAACAACCTTGAAATGATTCAAAAATGTCGATCCGTAACGTACTCCTTGCGATATGAGAGAGTTGAGAGATTCACGAGTTATGTAAGCTAGAGAAAACGTTTTTCGTAGAGTCTTTAGGCAATTAAGCAGATATCTATATATGAGAAACAAACAAAATTAGTTATTTATCAATTAATTCAAAATTGTCTTCTTACGATGCAGCAGTTTGCTGAGAGTTGAAAGTTTCACAATTATAACTGCTATAGAAAATATTTCATTTTCAAACCTTATAGATTCAAAAATCATCTATACACTTGATCATACTGGCGATGTAACAGTTAGCTGCATGACACAAGGCTCATGGACAACACTTTCTTTGTCAGTGTTATAAACAGAATATTTATTGTTTCTTACCATTGATGAATTTGAGGTGCTGAATGATACAAATCAAGTTCCAATATGAATCAATATTGCATTTCACAACTAGTTGGTGCATTAAATAATCTCAAAATGTTCCTGTTGTCTGTCTTCACTATACCTACGTGGTGTGATGATGTCAACTGTTTGTTTGCCCGCTCGGCTTGTTTTTATAACTGTGGATTGATAACTGATTAACTGCAGTCACAAAGCTGTAGTGGCACACACGGCACTTGGAGAGCCTATACCACGCCCCCAAAAATGTACGTAATATCCGAATTCAAGTGATATATATTGAGCTTAACTTGAAATCAATACAATTCATGTTAGCTAGCCTTGAATCTTCTCAAAACAGCTTTTCTACTAAAACCATAGTTTTGTGAAGATTTTCTTCGTTCAACTATAAATGTGTATCTAGTTTTATTTAGGCGGGAAATGTTCAAAGCACAGAATGCACAGAGAGAGAATAATTGCTTTATGTTTTGTGGACATTCTGTAAATCAAGCTCAGGCAAATCACTAAGATTGATTTGGACAGTTTACGTTTCAACTCGCTAGGGTGCCAAGTTTATTTTTGCCATCAAAACAATTACAAATTATAAGGTTGGGTAAATTGTATTGCCAACTGTAGTTAAATCACTGGGCTAAATCTATTTTATAATATATATTGTTTGAAGGTATTAAACAGCAGTAAATCTGGTTATATCTTTGTATCTAAACTGACTCTGTAGAAAATTCCATTGATATATATGTGCACAGTTATATATAATTTGCATTTTTTTCAGTTAGAAGCTGTGTAGCCTGCAGTTTGCTAGCCAATACATTTAGCACCGGTAGCCTGCTGTATGTGTTAAACTGAAATGATTAAAACAGAATCATATGAAATCAGTGAATATATAGGTCAGTTTTAATGACACAATCCTATTTAAATGCAAATTTGGAAAGTGAACAATTTGGCACATGTACACAACAATATTTCTAGTGACAAATTACTCAATTTGTTGGGCAGTATCTATAAAGCTTATTCATGCTGGGCGAATCTAAAATAATCACAAGGCTGTCTTTACCTCAATTTTAACACGCTGCGCGACTGTGCCAGCTGTGAGTCCCGTTAGACTCTTTCAATCTCCGCTTTATGCAAAGATTTTATTGCATGTGTATGCGCGTTAATAACATTGATATACATCGCTTCATCGTACAATCGGTTCTTCCCAGAAGCTGTCGTGGTTTGTACTTCAGACACAAACCACGACAGGAGTTTATTCGGTACGTTTGAGATATCTTTTCATTAACAATTATTACGGTAATTCAGATACAAATCACGACAGCTTATTGTAGAATACTATCAACACTGGACCACCACGTTTGAGACATCTCTTTCAGGTAGTTCAGACACAAACAACGGCAGCTTATCGTAGAATACTACCTACACTGGTCACTGGACCACCACGTTTGAGATATCTTTTTCAGGTAGTTCACGCACAAACAGGATGCCGGAAAAAATCAGGGGGACGGAAAGAAATTTGCCCGACTTGTTCCCATTGTGCCCGACTTGTCACGAAAAAAATGCATTATAATTTACTATAACTTTTATATTTTCCCTCCATTTTCGACTATTATATAGCATATTTCCCCACAATATAGAGAGAATTCCTCTTGTTTATTTTTATAATAAACCAATATTGCATGCCCGACTGTGAAGCGAATATTGCCCAACTGGCTTAGTCTGCCCAACAATAATGAAGGTATCTTTTTCAAACACACTGGTAGTTCAGACACAAATCACGGCAGCTCAAGGTTGTTGAACACTATATAGGCCTACCTATATAGACCGAAATCCCAAGTTTGAACTATAATTCAGTTTATTCGTTTTGCCTTGAGCAATAGTTTTTTTTAATAGTCGCAGCATCTTTCATTATATAATTTTCACCGTTATATGACCATTCCTGCTAGTTTCAACCCCGAAAACAACCGAAAATATTATTGAATGGTTAACCACTAAATGAAATCTAGGTGGCCAAAGCCCAAAGGTGCAAAGTCAAGGCCATGCATGCATGCCTAGAGTTCATTGCAATTGCACATATTTTTTAGTTAAAATACAAAAGGTTTAAATATATAATGCCTGTAAATGGCAATCCGATTTCCTTTCTCGTAAGACAAATAGACAATATATATAACTAAAAGTGTATAAAGTGCACATGCACGGAAGACTGTAATCTGTGTCACATGCAAAACTAGCAGATCATTGCACGTAGGCTATAAACTAGTAGATCAACGTATATAAACTAGATATGTCGTCATACCATAGGCATAGACGATAAAATTATGAATGGCATATCAGACTTGGCCTATAGTGATACTTTATAATTTATAGTTCCACTTTCACTGATTTCATGACTCCTTTCACCGAGATTAAGAGTGATGTTGATATTTCACTCCACAAAAAATCATTTCACTTTATGTATATATGACTTCAAAACGTTGAAAAAATTCTCTTTGAAAAAAAAACTATAAAATAATTGAACAGAGCCAATTGATCTCAGTTCAACAGACATAGTTTTCATACTTTATACGGACATGTTTTAACAAGCATACAGCCGGCACGTTTCATATGACAGTTTGGGCATAAGGGAACTATAACAAACGATGAACAAGCGAAACAAAGAGTAATGAATAACGGCTGTTGAACTTCGCATGTTGGATTTGCTAAGGTCAAAGGGGTTTTTCTTTGGGATTTAAATTTCTCCCGCCAGCACTTTTGCGTCTCCTTCAGTTTAAGCTCGGGTCCTCTTTGAGAGGCAGATTTCGAGCAAGTTTATTTGGATGTGGACTTTTGCAGGTAAAAAACAGACTTCCAAACTTAAGAAAAACTAATTATAGTTTCTATATTCAGTAATAAATGATCGTGTGCGCAAATACGGACAATAAATTACGTTACATGACGTCAGAGAAAATCAAACAAAGAAAAATATCAATGTTGAAACTCAGCATGTTGCAATTGTGTTTGTTATTAAACATTTTTCGTTAAATACACCTGACATGGCTGGAAACATAATGAATGATGACAATGCTAATTTGGCTTAAGAATTCATTCATAGATATCGTATGTGTCTTTGTTTCTGAAATTGAATAATTGGATCTTAAGATTCATTAAATCCTATAGGAATGAAACATTGAATCCTAAGACCGAATAATTTGAAAAGTTGAACACAGAAAACAAAAGGTTTCGAAATATGGTAATGTAAATATCTTATTAAAGACCGGAACCTATCCTTTGGAAAATTGATAAATCCGAAAATAATTACGGTGCCAATGTAAGTATAACGACGATAACTGACAAACAGATGGAGCGAGAGATACAACTCAACTATCTTTGAGTGCCTTCGCTCGAAACAACGATGAGTTCTGCTATATATTTTTCAAGTAGTTGCACATCGCTCTCACATCACAGCTGTTTGAAAATAATTACTCTGATTGATCATAGTCCGACAATCCTGGTGGAATAATAGTATCCCTTGCTCACTAGACTCGCGACCTGTATAATATACTTGCATGCATTGCAGTTAATTTATCACTCTACATTGTTTATATATGTTTAGCTACTATTGTCCCATTCTATTGATGCTACCTAACATGAAATAAGGGACGCTAGGGATGGGCGGCAGCGGGAAATTACCCCTCCCCCCCAATAATTTCCGAAGTGTTGAATGACAGCTGATGACTATAGGTAACAAAGCTGTAACAATAATTCTTCAGCCATGAAAGCATTGGTAGGCTATAAATTAAGCTATATATTGCGTGAAATTTAAAGCAGAAAATCTATACAAGTATAAAATTTCTAGTAACAAAATTTAGTCATATGGTGGCAAACTAAATGTCCCTCCTCCCCCCCCCCAATATTTCGTGAAGCGTCCGACACCGCAACCTACGCAGGGCTACTAGCCCTCTGATCGATAAAGACCACACAGTTTCGTCTTATCGTAAATATTTGACATTCCTTGACATTGAAATACAAATGATTTATCATGCTAAACATGTCCTTCACGCGGCAGGCGAGCGGTGAAACTTTCTTCGCCTGCGGTCAAAACTATATTCTTCAATATATTTGTTCATTTGAAGCCAGACAGTGTCACAGTTGTTCAACATTCTGTCTGATTGACTTAAAAGATAAATCTTCAGTATATACGGTCAACTAAAGCTTAATAGGGAATAAAGATATTTATTTTTCAGTATCCATATTTCAATGTTCAGAGTTCTGTTTTGCGGCAGATCAGCTTCAGTTATTGCAAGTTGTAGGTGGTGTACAGAGTCGGCTCGACAGCGTATAGCTGTAATGCTGTATCGCAGTTCGATTTGTCGTAATCAGGTTAATCAGGTTCTAATTGATGACTTCTGTACATAATTCTTGCAGTGTCACTGATTAGTAGTCTTTAAATTTAATTCTATTGGCTCCATTTTCGCAGGCTTCGAACATAACTTGGCCAGGTCCGAGCTAATCGCTTGTCGATAATCGTTTTTCAAAAATGCATAAATTGCAGGGTTTAGGAACGCTCCCGCAAAACGCAAAGTCACCAAAAAATCCTTAACTTCTAGAGGAGCGCGTAACATATTATTATCCAAGGTGAATAGAAACCATGGAAACCAACCGATGACGAATACAACAAAGAAACATAGGAATACCGAGATTGTTTTTCGGTCTGTTCTTTCGCGTCGTTGAACTCTGCCTGTTAGAGATCCTTCGCAATCTTGATTGTGGATTTTCGCAAACATACGAAGGTAGCAATACATTAAAGTAAGTAGCGATAGTCCAAAAAATATAACGAGCTGAAAAATACCATACACATGAAACTTTTTATACCACGATTGAGATCCTTCATCTTTAAAATACCAAAATAAAGGAATTAACGCGAAGAATAAAGCTGTTGTCCACAGCGACGCCAGAATTTTTCGATACAACCACCGAGTCGAAAGGTTAATTTTCTTAAAAGGATACAAAACCGCTACATATTTGTCAATGGTTAACGCAATGATATGAAACACTGTTGAGAATCCACATAAATTGCCAAACATGAAATGATAGCGTTGAAGTGTAAGCAACCATTGGTGTTTTCCACGGAAATCCGAGCGTTCAACAATGACCAGGACTGGCAGATAGATAAGGCCAGTTAGTAAATCTGACACGGCTAAACTGCACAGTAAAATATTGTTGAGATTTTTACGAATTGCCTTGTGACGACAGTATATTGTGATGGCAAAACTGTTGGAGAGAATGATAAGTACAGAGATCACGAGTAGTCCTAGATGATAAGCCTGGTATACTGTATAATGTGGTGTAGTATTGGTTGTCGTCATGTTAGTCATGTTAAGTATTCTTGTCATCGATGGATTAAGCACAGCAGAACCGTTCAGCATGTTTCTTGTGAAGGAAGACTTTGACTATCGCCAAACTTTAGTTTTTGTAAAAGGTCTAGCTTTACGCAAAACGTCGATGTATAAGGTTATGTATAATTATCAGCAAGTGATCAAAGATTAATAACTGTTGATTTCAAATTTCAATGACTATATTATTATAGCTTTGTCACATACTGTTTGGGTATTGTATGCACTGTGCTATACACAAAAGCTTGTCATTGAAAGTAATCTGTCATCTAATCGTCGCCCCCCACCAATCTTTACGTCAGGATAAAATCTGCGAGTATTTTTCCCCCGCTTAAATATGTCTGGAAATGTGGCATATGTTAAAGATTCCTTAATAATTATATCCATACTGGACGTAAAGACGTTCTATGAAAAACAAAATATAATCCAAAAACAGACAAATGAAAGAATGAGCTGGAAACATTTCCAAGCTGGTTCTGGCGACCCAATCGTAGTATCTTGGTGTGGGGTTGTTTCAGTATAACAGAGTATTTAATATAAAAATATCAATAGACACTAAATACATAGGCCGCAAGGATCACCAAGAATACAAGTCAGCAAATGAATGCGGGAAAACACGAACTACTACACTGTGAATTTCGAGAAGCACAGTTCAACCTTTTGAATGATGGTTTTTAAGGCGCATTTCAGTCATTTCATAGGAAAATGAATTATGCATAATTCTATAAATTCAATAAAATTCAATAAAAATGTTTTAAAATGTTAAAAACATTACGTTGGCTGATCTTGAATTGTGCGTAATTGATTTTCCAAGCCAGTAGTTTTTTCAATTAAAAGGGCTGAAATGCGCCTTAATAAACACCATCATTTAGAAGGCTAAACTGTGCCTTTAAATCAACTGGGGTTTTTTTGTCACCAAAAGTAAATATTGTTTAAAAAATGTATATAATATCACTTTTTTTTCTTTTAAATACTCTATTATACTGAATCAACTCTATCTCAAGGACCCTCAAGGGCTAAGATTGTGCCACTTGTGGTCCAATATTATTGAAATAATGCATTGTACACACGCACGAGTATCAAGACAATGCAATGTGGATAAATGTACAATACAGACATACACTATCATCAGTGTAAAACACTCGAGATATTATGACGGAGATAACAGTGAAATCCTATGCATTGCATGTTTTGAAAATAATATTTGCATGACTAAAACAACCACACAAGCATAGGCGTACCATGCAGGGTGTGTGTGTGTGTGTGGGGGGGTGGCGCTTGGGAGCCCCTACGGAGATCTATATACACAAGAGTAATGGAAACTGATAGAACGTCATCAGAATTTAGAATGTCATTAGCATACCCGTGCAATATTTCATCCACATTTTGCTACAAGCAATATGTACTGATATGACGCACATGTGTCTCAAAAACTTGCCGCATGTTTTTCTAGAAAATGAGAATTGTGTTGCATGTGTAGTAGGTCATGCCCTCTACGTCTTAAATGTATTTGATAATAGATAACGCCGTCAAAAGCCGTCTTTACTACGCAAGTTCTAAAATTAACATTCTAGAAACTCATAGAAAAGTTGCAGTACCTTCAGGGGCAGGCAACGTTTTACTATACGTTATGTTCCATGATAAATGATAGAATAACAACACTCATATGACTAGCTTTTTGTATAGAAGTAAAACTTTGGACATGTTTTTGTACTTTATGCAAACACAGACACAGTATTATTCATTTCAACCATGCTTTTGAGAGACATGCGCTCTTTGTTCCGAGGTTTTTCACAACAAAGACTTCTACATATAAAAGAATCATGCGGCTGGATTCAAATACTTGTGTATCTCAAACAACGCTGAACAATTGCGACTAAACAGCGCAGGCTGAAAGTTTAAAACAACATATTATTGCTTCGTAAGTAGCGAACCTTGAAACTTTAAAATTATGAGGCAGGCACCAGGGAAAGGAATTTCATTGGTGGAAATCGCGAGTTTTGTGATTTTGTGTCTTGTGTCAATTTTTACGACTGAAGGTAACTGCATGCCGTATAATTTCTATACTATATCTTGCCAGAATATTTAAGTTCTAAGCCATGAGCCTGAAAACTTTGATAGACCTACATTTGGGCACTAGGTTCCTTTCACATATAAGTCAGATCAGTCTGGTTAAAACCAGATTGGGTAAAATAATGAAAGGTGTTACGCATATTATATGCATGACAAATGGCCAATGTATTGCCAAATGTAGCAATTATCATTTAACCACAAAGATTATATATTGGTCCTCACTCTTAAACACTCAAAGGTTTTATAATGTTTGTGAACTAGACGAGTCAGAATATCACAAATCTGTTATACTGAAGTGCACTTGAATTGTTAATTAAGCAAGCACGTGGTGTCCTCATTGTTCTGATTGTTCTTAACACGTGTTTGTTTCACACGCGTGTTGCGCGCGAGAAAAGCCACGAACACGTTTCTGGATGCTCGTTTCTTGACTTACAAAATATCTTAACTGATAGCTGACAAACAATTAAACAGCAATTTGGAACTGATATCTTACAAACATCTTACAGAAAACTGGCATTCAATGATGCCAAACTATTTGCCTAATATAATTTGAATCTTCTATAGCGTCCCCTACAATCCTAACGTCAACCTCAGGTAACTTCAGTTACCCCAGTTACCCCTCCCGGTATTCCCCAGCGATGGAAGTCACGTGGGTAATCAAGGTGGATGAAGGCAAGCACATCAACCTAACACTTGATGTTATAGATGTTGAAGCGTATCGAGGAAAATGTATTGATATTATCGAGATTAAGGACGGTGATGATTCTGAAGCCCCATTTCTAGGTAATAGACTTTGGCAGAAATGCGTCTATAAACTAAATGTTATATGAATGTCTACAGGTTGAAAACAAAACAATGAAACATTCTGATCACTAGATCATGACTGGATGGCTTGGAGAACAGTGACATTTTCAAAACAATGAAAAGACATTGGAACATTCTGGTCACTGGATCATGACTGGATGGCATGGAGAACAGTGGGATTTTCAAAACAATGAAAAGACATTGGAACATTCTGGTCACTGAATCATGACTGGATGGCTTGGAGAACAGTGAGATTTTCAAAACAATGAAAAGACATTGGAACATTCTGATCACTAGATCATGACTGGATGGCATGGAAATTCCGCGAAGGGCCCATTCCTGCATTACTAACTTGAACGAGTTTTTTTCAGGTGGATATTGCAACTCACATAAACCGACCTATAGTCTTTTATCAAGCAGTAATGCATTGCGAGTGTGGTTCCAATCAGCGAAGAACAGTGACGGAGGTCTGGGTTTTAATGTTTCCTACACGACAGCTGATAATAAAGGTTGGTGACCGACAATCTAAAATCATTAATTATTCATAACAAAGCAAAGGGAATATGACTTTGCGCAAACGCCAAAGACTGGTTCACACTGTCAAAATTTCCCTGATCACAGTTGGAATTTTGCATCGGTACTGAAATTCTATGTTTTGAAGGATTTGTGAGAAATGTTTGACAGTTTGAGGGAGTTCCCTTAGTATAAGTTCTGGGAATTTAGTATTTTTCTTGTATAATCTCTAGCCTGTGGAGGTAAGCTCGATTCATTTCCTGGCACCATCACTACTCCTCGTTATCCTCTCCCGTACCCAAACAACCGTGAATGTAGCTGGAAGATCCTAGCTCCACCAGGAATGTATATTCATGTCGAGTTTCATGGCGTTTATAGCTTGGACTACCTGTGCAGTTATATGGAATGCGAATGCAAAGATATTCTTGATATTAAAGATGGCGGGAAACCATTACCCCATGTCCCGTTTCATGGGTGAGTATGCACTGTTAACAAAGACAGCTGCGAATTGATAGAGGATACATAAAGCCCAATTTTGTTTTTCTGCATGTTAATGTTCTGAGTATATGTACCTTCCAGTGGTACCTTCATCTGAACATAACTTATCCACTCGTTCACATTCATCATCAGAAGAAAATCGCACTAGAAATCGCAGAAAAAATTGCAAGTGTAAACGGGCCTTTAAACTACCTGAAAACTAGGTCGAAGTTCTGCCCACAGCTTTCTCATTATCCTCACGACCTACACGGGTACAGACCAGACAGTTGAGTAAGAAATTCAATCAATTATCCGAAAAAGCGAAGTCTGTTTTCCACATCAATCATATCGTAATGTACCGTAGAGTCTTCTTATGTGAATATCATTGATTTTTCTCAATATATTCCTATTTCCTCTGAACAGATATTGCATTGCAAAACCATGGCCATTCACTTCCAGAACAAATGAAGTTTCATTGAAGTTCGTCTCAGATGACGCTGGACGTTTTGAAGGATTCAGGGCGATATATACTACTTCACTAACTGAAAGTAAGTCACAGAGTAGATAGATACAGATGCCAGACTCAGTCGTTTCTCTAAAAGTAAGTCACAGAGTAGATGGATACAGATGCCAGACGAAGTTTTTTTCTTCTGTTTTCTAACTCAAATCTCACCACCTTACTAGATTGTGGAGCAGATCTTTGGAGTGATCATGGACTCATTACCAGTCCTAATTACCCTTACAGTTATCACTCGTATAGAACATGTATCTGGCGAATCACAGTGCCAGATGATCATTACGTCATTATCACGTTCCACGAGTTTGACATCAACAAATCACGCCACGAGTGTTTCGTGGATAACTTGGAGATTCACGATGGATATACAAAAGACAGCCCCTTGCTAGGTAACATTTCAGCGAGGAATTTCATTTCTCTTCATTTTTTTCGAAAAAATAGCAGAAGCTACTAGTGCCTTTCCCTTTAACGACTGCATGACGGCTTACAGGACAGTACTTTAGGGAGAACAGTTTAGAACTGATAGAGCTTTCCAGTATGAAGACTGAATATAGTTTAGGCTTTCTCAATTAGTAACTGAACCATAGTTACTACTAAAGATATGATGGTCTGGAAGCCTGGCAAACTTCAAAGCTATAAAATAGAAGACCTTTGTTTGATGATGAACTGTGCCTCACCATGCACAAATCCTTTGTCTCAACTTCATTAAATATTATTCATCGTGGTTGCACGTTTCATCTCAGCTATCCTTATTGGACGATTACGTCATTATACGAAAATACAATGAGCTCAATCACCGTGACAGTGCACAATTTAACATATCTAGGACATCTAGCTAATAAATTCAGATGTGTTTCCAAATTCATCATTACTGTTAGTATTGCCATGGATAATACAATACATGGATAGGAAACCAGCTGACGTGACCTAATGTTTTCAATGGGATGATGGCGTTGCAACCTAGTTGCAAACCAAATTCTCAAAAATGGCATGTTTAGCGATAATACAGCTAAACATTTTAGTCAAAGAGCAAATAAATATGACTAAGCCATTCTACGATGAAATCTCTAAGTATTCCCGGTCAATTTTAGCAAATATTTCAAGCACTAAACAGTGAAAAATGCATTGCAAATTTCGTAAAAATTGGCGACGCCAATTTCGTTGCTGCAAATGTCAAAAAAATACAAAACAAAGACGAAAAACACTTACCTTGAATACTTTGTCGTGGCTTAGGCATGTTTTTAAAACAATTAGACCAGTTTATGCTTCAATATTACTCTTTTGAAGCGGAAAATATAGCGAAACAACAAAAATGCTGAAAATTTTCGCAATACACATGACGTCACAGATTGCAACTAGGTTTAGACTGTGACGTCAGGAAGTTTCCTATCCAGTTATTTTACAATCCATGGTATTGCGAAAAATACTTTAACACAAAAATTTTAATTTTTTTTTGTAAATCTTTGTTTAGCCAAACTGTGTAATTCCAATTTTGTGAGCAAAGTGAATTCAACAGGAAACAAAATGTACATTGTGTTTAATTCTGGTTTCAATTTAAAAGCTAAAGGATTCAAAGCAACTTACGCCAGTTATAAAAGAGGTAAGGACTAAGGACAAATTAGGAGTAGCCAATCAAGTGATACTAAAGACAGCGAATAATTCTGCTGCATACCAAGGAGTTGCATGCGAAGGAGGCAAGAATATCATTATTTTTTTCTCTTTAGATATGCTTTCAGGGAATTCGAAAAAAAGGGCACCAAGACATAACGAGATGGAACTATCAGGTGGGTGTGACTTCGAAATGAAACAAACCGTTTATCCTAGAGGTCAGCCTACTTCCCCCGCAGGCTAAGGCGCCCGTTCGCAGGCTAGAATTTGAAAAGGTGGTAGAGTAGAGGCAATCCGCAGTGTTTGATAACACTCTTCTTACATGCGAGCGAGACGGAGTTGCGACTGCATATCGCAAGATTCGAACCAGGGGTAACAGAAGCTACACAAGGTGTGCAAACCACTGGCCGTAACCCATGTATATTTCTTGTTAGGATTTTCACAGAAGAAACCATTCAATATGGCAACAAAGATGATCGCCTCATTTTGGATGATACCTTTGGGATTGCTAGGAATTCTTGGACATGATCTTTGAAGACAATCTGCAGAAAACACCATTGTTCATCACAACCAACGGAGTGGATGAAAACTGTTAAGCGGGTTCATAAGAGTTCTTATATCTGCGCAAGACACTAACTTCACGTTCATATTAAAATTCTGATCAATGTTTGTTTCTTTGGCATGTAATTACTGCATAGAACGAAAACAAACGCCCATATAACATACTATAAAAGAATATTTAAACATCGTAAATATTGTCATTATCTTCTTTGTGAGTCATTTTATTAATCAATACAATATTTGAAAATAGGAGAAATAGACATTGTATGGTATCAGGACGTTGCAGAATATATATTGCACTGATCTTGATGTTTGTGTACATGTTGCAAATATTATAAGCACTCCTTAAAGGACATTACTTTGTGAAAATGGGGAACAGAAAGAATAAGTTCTTTCGCAATTTTAAAGTCAGGATATTTCAACTAAACAATTACGAAAACTTTCATTCAAAATCATAACTAACATTCAGGAATCAGATCAAAAAGTAAGCACCTGATCACTGTAAAATTATCACCCTGCTTATAACGTAATCATTTCCATATTAAACAAACAAAATATCAGAAGTTGAAAACTTTTTAGTATTGGGTAGAAGAAACGTCTTTAAGGAATACAGTATAATATGAACTTAAACTTTACCAATCCAAGATTCTACAACGTCCTTAACAAGCAATGCTCAGTCAGGACCCGGGTGAAATCAGTCCGAGAAAAAAATGATTCGTTTCAAAAACGATTGCCAAATCTTATTGCACTTAAAATAATATTTCAAATAATATTAGAATTATCCATAGCAAAATTGTTTCTAGAAAAAATAGCCTCCCAACACCACACCATTTCAAAAATAGGTTTCAAAAACCCAAATGTCAATGATGTACAAAAACATGTTCTCTCCTCTCTCCAGGAGTTGCTTGCAAAACCATCTCCCCCCCACCCCACCCCTGCATCCCAAATATTGCACTATGGATACAAAAATCTCTCTTAAATATAAACTGTACATTATTATTTAAAGCAAATTAATGCTTGACAAAAATTTGATTATTCTTTGCTTGCCGCGTGCAAAACCCCCCATCTCGCTCGAGTTTCATGGTTACACGCGTGATACACGAAGAATTCACGAGCCATACACGCAACAGCCACACGTTATAATCGAGAAACGCGAAAGCCGCGCGGAAAGATATTTAAGTGAATCATAAAAAACTCGTGCGCAGTAGACACACAAGCCTGCCATGGACAAGCAGATGAATCACGCGCGAACACGGAAAACCACGAACGGCGACGTCAATTTTCTTCGTGGACTTAATCTTTGTAAATTAATGAAATAAAAGATTGAAAAACGAATTTCTCTCGACGCAATGCTACCTACTGGGTAGAACAACATGTTTTGTATTGTCCGTTGTCATTTGACCGTCTGTCCGAGACGGGTTATTCGCTTGCGCCATTTGTTGTTGTGGTTGCGTAGCAACAGGATGATACGGACCGTTAGCTTGCCAAGAGTTCATATCGGTCACGTGACGAGTGGCGTCGGAATATGTGATCGGCTGCCCGCGCCCATTTCCGGTTTCGGCTTGCCAATTCGGATTGGCTCCGTTAGTCCAGTACACGGCAGTACTTTCACCATGCCATTGGTGATGCATCTGACCAGGATGGTTAACATGCATCGCATTGTTCTGTGGGGTGGCAAATACCATTGACGAGGAAGTATGGGGGGTATACCCTGCTGCACTTTGTGGGATGTGGGGCATGGATGAACTACTGGTGGGAGCGGCTACCCGGGGTCCTTTCATCACCATAGGCGCTGCTGTCCCTGGTTGGCCTTTCATTTGATTAAATGTATGCTTGTTTGTTGACCATCCTCCCATCGCAACACTCCCACCTTTCTTCTTCGACGCATCGAATTCAAACTGTTGCATACTGCGTTGTTGAAGTTTTGTGAGGTTTTCATCCGAATGATGGATTTGTTTCTTAACAGTGGTCTTAACGCTATGCCCGTTTGAAGACTTGTGTTCTTGAACAGTTTGAGTTGTGATTGTGGTTTTCATTGTAATATTTGACACTACTGATCGTTTGGGATCCTTGAGTAGTTTATCGTTCTTTCTTTGCTCTAATTTTCTGTAGATGTCTTCAAGCTCTCTAGTTTGTCGTTTCTGTATCTCTTCAAGCTCTCTAGTTTGTCGTTTCTGCATCTCTTCATGCTCTCTAGTTTGTCGTTTCTGCACGTCTACACGCTCTTCGTTTTGTCTAAAACAACAAAGCAGACACATCGTTTTAGGCGAGATTTCAAAGAGGGGGTCCGGGTCCAATAAAGGTAGAAGAGAAGAAGAGAAGAGTCCGGGCCTAATAAAGGTAGGATTCTACAGCTGTGGTTTTTGTCTCGGAACTCCCTGAAAAAATATTGAAAACACTTAACGTTTGGAGGACAGGATTTTCGTCAGGAGGTTATAGTAAGTTAGTAACATCTTGTTGATGGATCTGCACTCGAAAAGTGTTAATCTTTACTTTGGCAGCTCAGACACAAAACAGCATCTTTTAAGGTCCAAATATCGAGATCGACTTACTTCTTGTACAGTCGCTTTAAATCGTCCACTTCTTCACGGGAAAGTTGTAAATTAGCAAGACCACCTTCACCATCACCATCACCAGTCTAGGGAAATACAACAGGGGAAGATGTAGCTGGCAAAAACAGGAGATGAACGGAATCTTCCTATCTAATATGTAATCTGACTGTACGTGTAGTCTAACCCGCACGCAAATTTCGTGTAGTCTAACCCGCACGCAAACATCGTGTAGTAGAACCCGCACGCAAATTTCGTGTAGTCTAACCCGCACGCAAACTTCGTGTAGTCTAACTACACGAAGTGCCCAATTTCTTTGCCTGTACTTTAAGACTCAGCGGCACTGTAGGTAGATTTCATAACATTACAGCACATGGTGGGTCAACCAGCAGTTACCAGAATGGGAAAAGTGATGTTCACTCTGCCATTATACATGTTATATTATCACAAGAGGTCGACCACCTTCGTTTGCCCCATAACGCTTACTCAAACTTACCAATAATAGAAATATATATATACACATGATTTTTTTCTGTGTAGGTGTAATGTACTCAGGTCAATAGAGTAGTATTCCGAACCGTAGGTTCGATTCCCACCGTGGTCAGGCATATTCTTCAAGCTTGCCCGGTGTGGATATACACTCAGGCCCTGTTTACACTATACCGGATTCGCTGGTCACGACATCTTCTTTTGCCGCTACGGAGCAATGGTTAGTAGCAAATGCTTATTAGTTTGACAGAATTGGCATGTTTATTTGGGTCTCTGAGATTAAAAATCTTCACAGCCTTTCGATACCTACAAAATTTGACCCACTCCGATAGCAATCCGGTATAGTGTAAACGGGGCCTCAGAGTAACATCACAAGCATCATACAATTACACAGTTACCTGGTTTAGCCAATGTTCAATATCCACTTTGGTTTGTGGTATTCCAATATTCTTGTGCACAGCGCTAGGTATATCCACGTCGTGTGCAGAATAACTATCGGATGACTGTCGGCTGTAGGACTTTTCGCTAGAAACCGAACCATCACTATCATCATAACTTGGTGGTTGCTCATCAGACGAGCTCTTCTCAATCGTTTTTCGTTCAGTGGATTTCTTAGACTGCTCTCGAATAACAGTGTTTTTATCAAAACTCGTCTGAGTTTGAATTGACGAAGTCAGTTGTACTATGAAGTCATCATGTTTCGTCGTCTTTTCACTCTCTGTGGAGTTTTGAGATTTCAGACAATTCTGAGGTTTCTCTGAAACTGGATCGTCCGTGCTTTTCGAAGTATTGTTTTCATTACTGGGTGTTTCAGAGGGGGCAATGGGGATGTATATAGGAGGGTGGTTGCTCATTGGGGACTGCACACGGATGTTTTCTTGTGGCAAATCGCGTGTTTCTGTTGAAGCAGAGGCTTCGGTTTTTTGTTCTTGAACAAAGGAGGTTTGCGTCGAGGTTGCTTGTTGTACAGCATTAGCAGCATTGGTTGGGTCTTGTGTCGCAACAGACTGTGTCGGCTGCGCAACGGAGACGATAGGGCTTGCAGGTCTTGGTGAGGATGTCCCTTGAGGCTTCCGATGTTGTGTCGGCGAACCTGTAGGAGTTTGCGCGGATTGTGTTGCAACATTATGAGCTTGTGTTGCATTTTGTACGACGTCATTGCCTTGTGATTGTGTTACAGTAGTCTGTCCTGATGCTTCAGTATTGGGTTGCTTTGTAGGCAAGCTAGATGTTACTTCATTGTTTGTTTTGACCGACTGTTGTGTTGTAGTTCCTTGCGCACTTGTTTGTGATGCTACTATAGGCGCAGCTACCTCTTGTATTGGCGACACCTTGGTATTTTTTGGTACATTAGTATTCACAGAAGGACCTTGTGGCACATTAGTGTTCATATTGGGACCTTGTGGTACATTAGTGTTCACAGGTTGTACAGGCGTAATTGGTAAGTCCGTCGCCGAACCGTTCTGAGGTTCTTCTAAAACCTGCACCTGGAATTGTTTTTTCTTTGCTACAACGGTACGAACCTCGGTGGGTGTTTTGGTCGCCGGCTTTGTGGTTGTATCTTGTGGCTGGGTTGTCAGAGGTTGGGGAAAAGTTGTTGGAGGGATTACAGTTTGTTGGCTAGCCTGGCTCGGTAAGGTTTGTTGGCTAGCCTGGTTATAAAGTGGTTGGGGCTCCACCTGTGGGGTGGTTTGTTGAGAGACTTGAGGAGTGGTGGGCTGTTGGTTGATCGGTGGTGTAGCGTGTTCATTAGCCAGATTGACAGCTTGGTTAGGTTGCTGTAGGGTGACTTGGTTGGTTATTGGCTGCTTACTTTGTTGGTCAGCCTGTTGGGTTACCGCGATTTGGGTAGCGGGGGGGATTTGGGTGGGTTGTTGGATAGACTGTGGGCTAGCTGTCTGCTTAACCTGCTGGGAGGAGGGGTCGATTGATTGTGTAGCTTGCCGAGTGGGTGGTTGCCCGACTTGTTGGGTGGGTTGCAGGTCAACCACCTGTGTATTCTGCTGAGAGGCTTGCTGGATCTCCTGGATGGGTTGTGGTTTGGCCACCTGGGGAGCGGGTTGTTGGTGGGTCTGTTGAGGAATGGTAACCTGCAAGACGGGAGTTGGTTGCGGGTTGACAGCATGTACAGCATCCTGCGTGGGCTGAGGCTTCGTCTGTTCTTGGTTGGCAGTTTGCTGGTTAACTGGCGAGGTTTGCGCGGCCTGTTGGTTAGCTGGTACACTTGGATCTTGTTCGCTGGATGGTTCGTTTACCTGTGAAGATGGTTCAGACTTCGCTGGCTGGGCAGGAAACTGGAACGCTTCGTTCCTCTCTGTTGGCGTGGGTAAAGTCTAAGCAAAGAAAAAGAACATTTGAGACATTCTGGATATTTCGTACACAAGGCATTTGCTTTTGGTAAACATTACCGAAAAGCAGGTAGTGGTCATTGTCTGAAATTTATATGAGCAAGAAAATTAAACTATATGATTTATGATTTATTAATGAAAATACATATGCAGCTCGGAAGCTTAATTGCGTATTAAACTAATAGAATTTCAGTGCGGCTCATATAAAAGTATCTCAAACCGTGCTGAGTTCAAATCCTAACAGTTAATATTAAAAGTACTAGATAAAATGATATATAATATCATGTCACTGAGATCAACCATTTTCAATGGTGGAAGACTTAATAATAGTATCATCTTTCAAACACAAGACTATTACACATAACGAAAGGAATTCACAACTACCATGCCAGTTGATCACCATCTACACAGTATTTTCTCACTGTGACAACTACCATGCCAGTTGATTACATCTACTGCATGATAGTGAAACCAGCTATCTACGGAACATAATCAAGGAGGGTGACTTACATGCGCAGAACCAGGATTGCCCTCCGAGGACGTCTGATTGTCAAATCGAACTGTCCCACTGTCTGCGTCTTTCTTACTGCGAGCATCGCCCAGGATTCGTCGCAATCTCTCCACAAACAACGCTTTGCTCGCTTCTCGTAAATGACCAGAGTCAATCTAACAATACGGAAAATTTATAAAAGGTTATAGTCGAAGTACGGTATAAGAAGTGTTTAACGAAGGGGTTAGGTGGCACAAAGTACAAGTGGCTTTCAATTCTGCAACGGAGTTATCTGATTATATTTGCGTTTTAGTCGAAGGCTTCATCCTTTAGTAGCACCGAACCAACGAGAAAAAGCGCTCACTTGACACCTCTGTGGGGAATATAGGTATAGAACTAACCAGTATAAATAAAAGTGGTCTATCATAAGTAAATAAAAACACACATAAATACATTTCCTTACCATGCTCTTCGCGATATCCATAGATTCATCCTCATTGATATCAAACTTAAAAGTAATCCTGTAATTCTTGTACGTATCAAACGAGCATTCAATCACATCTCCACTAACAGTGAGTAAAGCCAACTTGAACGCGCGTTCTTTTTTCTTCGTCTTGCCTACAGATTGGGCTGGTGCAGGTTGCTGGCCTTGTTGTGCGGGCTGTTGGGTGGACGTCTGACTTGCAGGTTGAGATCCAGGCAGAGAAATCGTAGAAGAGTTGCCACTACTAGACATACTGACCGTCTCATTTGAAGCTGAAAAGAAGCAACTTGAAAATAAGCAACCTGTAGCATTTCATACTCATAATAAACCTTTTAAAAGTACCTTTGAAAAAATAAACATAAAGAAAAGAAAGTGTATTTGAACTGAATTTACATTAGATGAATCCTATTAAAAAAGACACACAACAAGTTGTTAATGTAAGTTATTTCATAGTATAGTAATCACTCAAAACACGCATTACCTTTGTAATTGTATACTGACCTTTTCAGATTTTATACGATCAACACACGGAAAAACATAGATATAGCATCAAAGAAATGTTCAATGGAGGGTCGCAGAAATTTCCGGTTTCTTCGAACAACATTTGGCAAAAAATTCGTAGCCAATGTGTGCGCATTTGAGACATAAGGCAGGATGCCTGAATGGCTTATGTTTGTCCAAACGAAAACCTATATGTACATTCACAAAAACTCCACTAATCTACGTATTGGCCACTAACCTTTTTCGCTGATTGTCGAAAAGGACTCCACGCTTGTGACCAAGCCTTTCTCTAGGTCCGGTGAGGCTGGACAAGGCTTGGTATCAGCAGACGTTGTTTGGATGAGCAATGGTTCCTTAAAAAGATAACATGAAAAGTTGTAACAACGCCCACCAGATGGTGCGCGTGGCGCAACTTTCCATTCATCCTCCCTTTACATGGGTGTAAATATTTACCAGACGTTGTCCTGCGGCGTCTTCTGAGGCCACGGAGCTCACGACGGACGTGTTCGAGATACCAGAATCCTTGCTCGCCACTGAGGATGCCTTTTGCAGAAAATAGACAAACACAGAAATTGGAAAATGTACATATAGATACAGACTAATTGGTTGGCGTGCAGAAAACACAACGAAGGGTGGAGGTGTAAGTAATCACACTGTGGTGAGGTAGACGGTATGTTCACTGGAGGACACTATAGGGGCGGGCAACTCCCCAATATTTCGCGAAATGTCCGGCACTGGAATGGTCATTACCGGGTCGCGAAAGAGAAAAGTTTAATACTAATACACTAATAAAGTGCTTAACCACGAATATTCCATCACACAGTCAGCGCCCGTGTCAGTTTCATTACTTACAGTGGTCTTGGCTGGTTGTGCAGCCAGTTCTTCATTGGTAGAATTCTGCCTTGATCTTACTTCTTGACTTTCAGGTTCGTTTCTTTGCTGTTGTTGCGGTTGAACCTGCTGTGTGGACTGCGGCTGTTGATGAGACGATTGTCCTTGGTGTTTATTTAATTGACTTGCTGTAGCGCTACGAGAATTACTTTGTGACTGATCTAAAGATTCTTCAGCCTGACTCTTTCCATGGTCTTCAATGTTAACATTGTGAGAACTTTCCGAAGCATGATGGTTCTTTTCCACAGGCTCAGTTTCTTTTTCATCCACAGCTCCTTTCTCGCGGTTTCTCTTCACAAGTTCAACGCATTCTTTGATGGTTTTCGCCGCCAATTGCATGCTGTTCGCATCGATAAATCCCGACGAAACCTGAAAGGAATGTGAGTTAGTTTAAGCCACTTAACTTAAATTTTAAATACTAGTTTGTTTGAGGAGCTGCATCATTCATTATATATCTGGAGCAAGAAGTTCAGTCATTCGACCCTGTATCATTCATTCATTATATATCCGGAGCAAGAAGTTCAGTCATTCGACCCATGAGAAAAATAAAGGCAAGATGGCGGCAATAGACCTTTCCCCTTTTAAGTGAAATTTTGATCTTGACTAGGCTGGACAAAAAATTAGTAATATTCCGAAGTTTCGTTGCAAAATGTTGTAAAATGCGGATAATATAGCCTTGCGAAGTTTGCCTTTTTCAGTCATTTTGTATTACAAACGGGAAATTGATAATCAGTTTGATCATCTGATTATCAATTTCCCGTTCGTAATGCAAAATGACTGAAAAACAGCAAACTTCGCAAGGCTATAGTATCCGCATTTTACAACATTTTGCAACGAAACTTCGGAATATTACTAATTTTGCTATGCTCTTTCCAGCTGTGATGAAATTTTTGTTCAAACTTGTCTAGATTAAAATTTCACTTAAAAGGGGAAAGGTCTATTGACATCCAAAATCTATGAAGGTCCTAATCAGTTTCCATGCCATTTTCCACAACTAATTCCAGTTTTTTTCTAACAGATTGTAATTTGTTACAATTTATAAACTATTACGTATTGTACCGTCCTGAAGTTCAAAATATCTAAATATCTTAATCATACTAAAACTTACCAATTCCTTAGATATCTTCTCGGGATTATCTTTGACTAAATCAAAATCAAACTGAATAGCTTCGTTGTCTTTATGTTTATCTTTTCTCAGTTTTGGATCACCCAGCCGTAATTGCAACTTCACAAGTTCTGGCTTGTCCGGGTCCACTTCTAATGGCAGCACTAAATCCACTTTGATACCGACACCAAGTTTTAAGAATGGACACTTGAGAAGGTAAGGAATCGTGTACCTACATGGAGATTTGTCGTGAATTACAGAAAGATATATATTCTGGAAAAAAATATCATAGATGGAATGTCTACATAAATCCATTAGTTTCACGTTCTACCAATTCAATGATCGAGTTCAAAGCAGGAGAATAATTGGTCAGCATAAATTTCAAGTTTTAGAGTCGACTCAACGAAAGTGAACAATGTCAATTCATTGTAAAAAAATACATGTTGAAATGAACAAAAACTCTGGGTGTAGTGAATGCACCTCGCATGATTTTTTCCTTTACGGTTTATTACACGAACGAAAACCAAAGTGGCTGCAATAGTCCTTTAAGAGCTAGGTTAATAATATTAATACACACCTTTCCTCCTTCTTGTATTTAGTACAGCCTTCGATGATATCATATATATCTGAATTTTCCACCTTAGCCAGACAATCTGGAGCAATGCCCTGGAATTAAAGATCAATATATGTAGAGGAAAGTAATATTCAACGTACAGTGTAATGACCAGTGTAATAATATCGTATTATACCTGCGTGACACGTTTGTAAATCTGAGCAGCATTTTGGCATTCCATGTAGGGATATTCCAACGTAACCATCTCCAACATACACATGCCAAACGCATACACATCAACGGACTCATCGTAACGTTCTTCGTACATTTCCGGAGCCATGAACTCAGGAGTACCTGCAGAAATGTAGGAAAGTGATGTAAGTACCTTAAAGCACAGTTTCACACTAGCAATTTTGTATTTCTGACAGATGCAAATGAGTGAACTCACACACAAAAGTATAGAGTCGCTTTTCAGAAGTAAACAAGTCTAAGTCTTTTGCATGTCAGTCATTCCATCACATTTGCCAGAAGGAGAAATATCGCCGACAGAATTTCTAGTGTGAACCTTGCAGACTTTAAAGACAGTTTCAATGACTTTAATAAAAAAAAAATGACGTCATTTGATAACAAAACCTTTGAAGACAAAGATATTTTTAGACACTTATATTTACCAATGACACTTTTTGCAAACGAGTGTTTCTTTAAGGTGGCCAAGCCCAGATCGCCAATCTTGATCAATCCAGTCGAACCATTGACAAAAATATTGTCACATTTTAGATCACGATGTATAATAGGCGTCGTTCGAGTGTGCAAAAAATACAAGCCTTCAAGGATCTGTCGACACCAACTCTTCAGAACCTTCTCACGAACACCTTTGAACCTTTTCAGATACCTGTAAGGTTGAAAAAATCTCTATATGATTTACAGCTTTGCGTTACGCAGAATAATCTCTTTGCATAACGTCACAAATACGTCAAAACAGTCAGTAATTGAATGGCATGGAGAACATCAGCTTTTTTAAAGAAAAAATAACAGGTGTCATTGCAAAGAACAAACAGATTTCCAAAGGCTATATACATTGCAAAACATGTTTTAGAGGGAGAATGAAAATTAGTCCATAGGTAGCCTGAACTTAATCTAACTTATTGTAACAAGTTCAAGTTGGGTCTGTACACAGGCCAGTCTATAGGTTGTGAGACATACAAATACGGAATACCCCCAACTGTGAGACTTTGGGTATAGCCTTCTTACACAAACAGCAAAAATAAACATTCTGATATTAGTATGCAAACATTTGCAGCAAAATGAAAACGTTTGCAGCATCAGCTAACAGGTGGGAAGCTTTTTCAAACGTACGTGATATCAAAGGGACATATTAAGAAGTGCTTGACATTCAAACATGCAAGAAATTATCACAAACTGCTTTAGATAATAAATATCTGAGAAGTAAACTATAATTGTGTTATGTTTAGCTAGATATTGAGTAAATATAACCTGTTAACACCTGTGCCAAGGCAATTATTGTGAAAACAAATTAGAATAAGTTAGAATAGCATTAAAAATTGTAAAACTAAGGAACAGAACATAAATTGTATTTATAGGAAATAAAATACCCTGTTTATAATAACATTTTTAACAAAAATTTTTTAATTAAACAAGCATTGAATGTAATATTCTCCAAGCACAAATATCATAACATGCAAACTTTAGTAAAGACTTAACTAAACAATAAAGGTATCAGATAAATTTGCTCATGCTATAGTGTGAATTAATATAATATAGGATGCTACTGCCAGAATGAACAAGTGTATATTATGTTTCTTCCTTCCATAAAATTCAAGCACCCATTGCCCTTCCCAGCAATTGAACGTCACTACCATGATGTGACAGGAAGCAACGAAATATCCTGCTATGATTATCACGAAATATTTTTAAGACTACCTGCCAGACCATGTCTTTGTTTCAACGAGAATGGTAATTAACAAACACGAACACATAAAACCACAATAACATTGAAAGAACAATATTTATTATTTATAATCTAAGATTACTTTAAATATTGTGAATAAAGGCTATAAGACTTTGATAATTCCGGAGAAAAATTCTTATGCTTACATCTACTACAATCTAAATATAATATCACTGATCTTCAGAACACTTTAACTCACTGAGTTGCATAGTGCTGGTGCTCTCAATGAGTTGAAATAAAAATATATTTTTTAAATTAACATAAAACTTGTCAACAAAACCAAATAGAAACGCCTCAAATAAAGCTTCTTTGTGAAGTAATAATAAAATGTTCCACTGAATTGTGACGACGCTGTCAAGTGCCTCGTGACAAGATATTATTATCACAACTAAATTACTACCGGTATGCATAGAATGGTTTGAAATGGGCCCTATAACTATGACACCCCTTTTCATTATTTACTCAGTCTAATGCCAGATGATTTTTAAGGGAAAACTTGTCAGCACTAATAGGATTAAGAATATTGTATAGTTTCTAAGTAAACTACTAATTGTTAGTACCTAAAAAGTGTAAGAGTAAAACTTGAGAAAATTTACAATACATGTTCGTCTGCCCTGTTATTTGTAGTATTTACATAGTATTAGAAAAGCCCAAAATTAATGTCCGCATGTTAAATTGCATCCCTTAAGTCCCTTTGACAATCCCAACTCCAATTACAGAAAGCTTAAAACGCTGATAATCTCAGAGTAAACAGATTAAGTTTTAATAATTTCTAAGCAATAGTGCTTTTATCATATACAACTAATCCTTTTGCACTCATATGAAAATTATATTACCAGACATAAAAATACATGTACTTGTAACCGCACTAAATGTAAGTACTGTATTATGTTAGGAAATATTAAAAATCTTGTAGCATGCATTTCCACACATTGTTATTTCAACAAACAATTTGTCATACTTCAGTGGATGTATACTAAAAGCTTAGGTAAAGCATAACCAAGGATTAAACACACTCAATTATATGCTAGACCAATACTTAACCTTGTCAAAACCAGTCATGCATATTCCTAATGAAAGGTATTATTCACAACTGGCAATCACCCAAAAAAAATGTATGCGGCCAAAAGAGGTCAAACCTCTTGTACAGCATGTCTAATATAAATTTCATATATAGGTAAGAATAAACTGTAGTGGTTATCAGCAAATAATCCATACAACAAACCATACAACTTAAACATGGATGACAAACACGATGATTTATCATCAAATAATTGTACACTGATGAAGAACTGGGCTTACGAAATTAAAACTTTTCCAAATAAATAAAATTTGTCTTTTCCAAATCAATTATAAAAAACTTGTGCAATATACTTTGCAGCCAAGTTCAGCACAGCCTGTACACCTTAGGGTACAAATTAATACAAATAAGGAAAACATGTATTGACCATAGATATCTTATATACACTAAATAGAGCTAGTACAAAAACAATCCTTGGCTATAATTTACAGAGGACAGCCATATTCAGAGAGCCTGCAGCAATCTGGACTAAACTCCTTATCGGTCTGAAGACAAACACTGTGTGAAAAGCTTTTCCTTAAAATATCAACTGACAGTGACCATAAACTCCATGCACTGCTGCCGCCAAAACACCAAGCGAAATATAACTTACGACACAAACGCCTCTATGATCTTCCAATGACTAACACTAAGGAACTTTAGGAACACTTTTGTGCCAACCATGATATATTATAATAATTGAGTAGACTAATATTTAAAGTTATATACTATTGTAAAAATCTACGTAATTCAGCCAAAGTGGCTGCAAAGTGGCTTTTAATAAAATATCTATCTATCTATCTAATTATTCTGCAATTCAAAAATTGAAGTCGTGATTGCAGGCTCAGGATATTCCCATGAAATGAGAAGACTCGTATGTTTTCTATTTCTTATACAGGGAACTTAAACATTAAGTTAAACCTATTCCAAATACATTTTCAAACTATTCAAATGATGAAAGTTATTGTTGTTTTTTAAGCGTTTATTAGTGAGTGGGAAACTCCAACATGGCCGCCATCTATTCAAATGGGGGTAACAGCTGGAATATTCTTGGCTTCAATTTTACAAAAAGAGATGTGCTATCTAGTGTATATAAGATATCTATGGTATTGACCCTTTACTCTCCCACCTCACCTTCTACAAAGTTGAAACAATGCAAATTTCAGTCTAATTCACAAAATAGTGTTTATCATTGGTGTTATCTAATATAAACCCTTTTCAAAATAGATTTAGAATCATACCAGACAACCTCTTCTGATAAACTAAATGTAAGGAGAGTCAGATCAATTTGGTATAAATTTATAGAAAAAGCTATGACATAATCAACTTTACACGCTTGATTTGCTGACAGACAAATACAGTACTGCCAAAATACATACTGTATTACATAAACCCATTCAAACAATTTCACAGCCACATATTTAAATGTTTCATGAACATAATTGGCTGGGAAACACTGTCCAAATTCACAGTCTAGATTACTGTATCAAACTTAAAGCTATATACATGTGAGGTTAAAATCCATACATGTACAAAATAGCAATTAAATTGTTGCAATGAGGAACTACATTTGATGCATAAATAATAGTTTCTCATGTTGCATACATCAAGAGAGCTTTAGCCTTCAATAACTTCTATGATAATAACAACTATATTTTACAGTCTAACAAATCTTAAATTAAAAGTGAAATATTACTAGACTCTTTGAAAATTTGAGCTATCAGCTTTATATTTTTTTCAACAGCACAGGAAGTATAGAATAGGAAGGATAAGATTGCACGACCTTTTTCTACAGTTGAAAAGCTGTGTAAGCAATTAATTGCAATAAACTATTACAGTCTATACCCACTACAGTCTTACAGAAGAAGAATCTTTTGAAAAAGGTTGGCAAAAATAAGCCACACAAATTATAAAGAATTCAATTCAAAAGAAGCGTTACAAGCTGTCCAAACAAAGAAGGAAAGCACTAATGTACAGTTGTCACATAAACAAATTTATGGATGTTTAAACACCAAATAACTGTAATGATACTACGATAGCTAGTTTCATTAAGAACTACTGTACAAGATTTATAAACTGTCTGAACGAAGGAAGGAAACACTACAAATGAACAATAGCCTCATGAACAAATATATAAATATCCATAAAGCTGTGGACAATAGTAATGACGTGTAGTACTTCCATTTTACGAAGTACAGTACAAATGATGTAATGTTAGTAAAAATCCCTTTGACTACAGTTTCAATACACCCTGCCATGCACCGCATCACTTAAATTATTATGGTTATCAGCAAGCAATTATTTGTTGTTTTATGGTGAATACCCTCTGAATCACAACTTGATGTTTCCATGAAAGATCGAAATCTTACCATAAATAGACGTTTGATTTGTATGGTTGCATGATAACCCAGACAATCTCTAATCATACTTGTGGTATTCTTTCTATTAGTTGCAAAATATCTTAGACTGGGGTTTTCTCTCTTCTTTACATTTTTAATTGTGGTTTATGGGCATGAATCATTGAAGATATTGAATTGATTAGACATGCAAATCTACAGTGTCGTGTCTGGTTTTGGGGGTGATCTCGCCTGTAAAGAAACCAAAAGGGACCAACTGGATATACCATGCTCATCAAGTAGTGACAACACTGAGGTATTAACAAAACCAGAAGGGTGCCCGATGTCAAAAGTGATATATCATAATTTCAGGTCTAAGACAAAAGACAACACCATATCAATAAAAGATTACTAAACGTAATGCCACAAGAAAGCCACATCATCTTGTCTACTTGTGCTTTCATATAAATTTGAATTCAATATAAATATATAAACTTGCGACCACCACTTCGTCTGAGAATTTAAATTGCCCAATGGTGATTTTCCTGTGGCAATGTTTCGTGATATAAACCCCCCAAATTAGTTTTCTACTCACGTTTTAAGAGTGCCAGAAGTCATCAATTCTGTGACAAGAATTAGTTGCTTTTTATCCTTTTGACCGTTTCTATTCCGCTCGAAGAACTCATGAAATTTCACAATATTTGGATGAGTAAGCTGTTTCAGCATGACGGCCTCCTCTTTGAAGCGAGATCGCTCCGACTTCGAATATTTATCCTGAAACAGCGAGAAAATAACAACAATTACTGAATAAAGTCAGCGAGGTTTCGAAAGAATAACTCTGTGTATTTAGGACAAAACCAACGAAATACTTGCGGCCCGAAATTTATCGCCTACCTGTAATTCACACCAAGCCACAGCAACACCAGTTTCAGTGTCTAGACCTTTAAAAACAGTTTTAAACGAGCCCCGACCGATTTCAATATCAAATGCGAGGAATCTACCATCTGGACTCGAGGCTACAGCCTTCTCTTCCGCTTCTATGCTTTCATTTAAAAGATTTTGCCCTCTCTCCTTCGTGTCTTCGACGGCCTTGTCGTCTGAGATTGAGTGAGTTGAATTGGTTTCTACCGCATCCGAAGTTGGTTTGGAGTTGTCGTCTCTCTTCGGTTCGCTTTCTCCTTCCGTCATAATAGTTTGTGAAATTTCAGCAGTCATTTCCCCGGCTTCGTTTACTTGCAAGGTGCTCATGAAATATCCTTAAAGCACGTAACACGCCAAATGCTTGTATTCGCATCCAACACGAAGGTTGACATCGAGCCTTTCTGAGGACATGTTTTGCGAGATTTCTCGGGTAAAACAAAGTCCTTAAGACTTACAACGGCTTCTCTGTTCACATTTTTTGATAACACACGATGTAAATTTTAGTTGAGTTCGACTGAACTTATACAAAACGATTCAGGCCGACAACTAGCGGTTACTCGCCAACGACGACTCGGCGCTTTATCATGGCGTTGACGGAAACTGTTTGACGAAATACGAAACTTCGAGCGAGTGTTTCTCTTCTCTCAGACACGTAGGAACCTCACAAAATGGTTGGAGGATACTCCAAGAAGGGATAAACCCCTTAGCGAGGATGGTTTCCCGAAAAGTCGACCAGTTTGCTCTCCTTTCGACGAGAAGTAATCACTTGCAAATACAAAGGCAACTGGTTGAAGCACATGAATGAAATTAACAGGGGCAACAAGACGACAAACTGGGCATGCGCAGAACCTCCTAATACCGGTCATGCTTTTGTCCGCAAACCAAGATGTCTGAAAAAATTCCTGAAATATCTTCCGAGATATTGGCGTTTTACAGCCTATTTCCGAGGGTTATTTCTTCCTCATTTATTTTATATTTTGGACTTACCTTTCTTCTGCTTAAAACCTCCAAAAAAGTTTAAAAAACCCCTCAAAATAATGTTTAAATATTCAGGATTTTGTGTCACTCACTCATAATGAGATTGCGTCATGGCAAGTTTCGTAACTGCGAAACTGGTTAAATAAGAACCATCTGAACACGTTTTCTATTTATTTAAAATCGCCAACGTTGGCTTTGCGCTTTATCAATTTGCACAATTAGAAATGCAAATTAGAAATGCAATTCTGGCAATGTTGGCAACTGCAGGCTTATCTAGTAGGGCCGAGCGTTCAAGTGTTTTTCAAAACGTCATTTTTGGCAAGTTATCTCGAACAAGCCTCCTCCGCAAGAATCTGAACACACTCTGCGTCTGCCGAGAGGAGGAAATCGCTAACAAACAATTAAAACCACCAAAAACAATAGCGGGAGACAGGATTTGCGTGACTCGGGCGGAATATGTGGGAGCAAGACGTAACAAGACCAGTTACGAAATCAGTAGAATTAAACGGAGTAGGAACGCCGGTAGGAATAAAATAACCGGATAAGAACAAGTCAACGGACACAACGAGAACTGTCCTGATAGCCGAAATTTCCACATCCTTTAATAACTGTTTATAATAGGCGCTTTTATCTTATCGTATTTTTTATGAAGAGTTAAGGATTATAGCCACTGGTCATTGCCACTGACTTTAACAAGTTCAATACTAAAGATATAAATAAAGGTAATTTGTCAGTTTTATTTTGTTGACGCATTACTTGTTAATTTCACAACTGTAGCGAAACAGTGATAATTAAAAACGATCGGTTTCGTAGTTAGATCAAACAGCGAAAATTATCATTTTGCGCGTAAGGTGGTGTTCTGCGTCATTGCAAATATGCATTTGAGTGCTAGATTATGACCACTTTGAGGAAGTAGCATAGCTGAGATTTCGAAATTGAATGTGACGTCAGAAGCTGCCGTTGATAAGCTATGTTTGTGCTTTCTAAACAGTTGACAGCTTGTTCCTCTGATAATTTGTAGACCATATGCTTGTAGTAATGCGTAGTGTATAGCAGAATTGAGCAAGCCATTTTGAAAAAGAATTCGAAGCTAGATTATCTGCTACACTACGTAGTAAAGAGCCAGGCTCAACACTCCAACAGTGCATTTCATGATGTAGGTATGTCAATCAGTCAGTGCGCTTTAAAAACAACAACGGGCTTTGTTCCGAACTCAATCAAAAAGCCTCGCTCTCAGGATACTGACGTACACAACAGAGTTACACAATCATGTACATGTGCACGTTTCCAAACTCTGTTAAAAATACTCACTCGTCTTTTCCGTTTGCGTTTGTTCCCAAACATCACGTCGCATCCGTTTTCTTTCATTCACAAGGTCAACGTCTTTTATTGAAAACGCAAAAAACAGACCATCAAAAATTGTCTGAATTTATACAAAACAGCAGACGGTCTAACGCGATTGTCTATATTGGTTAATCAAACGTTGGCGTATTTCATTTATTCAGGTAATAGGTTAAGTCAACAAAAATGCCATGTGTTTAAAAAGATGAAATGTTTAATTCGAGGTTTAATTAATATTTTGCCGTCACAAAGAGTAAGTACAAGCGACAATACATTTCCGAAAGTGCAGGGGGGGGGGGGGGGGGAAGCCCAGTAGACCTGGAGCTCCCTTAAAGTTTTGTGGTACTTTCACACCAAGTATTTCATAAGGGCAAAACTTATAGCAGTCCTTCATACAGAGGGATAGGTTCTTGCTGCGTTTTTAACACGTTGACGGTTGTTGCATTTTCCCTTGCCATGTACGTAACAAGACTCGTTCACCATGAAAATTCACGTATTTAATACTTTGTGCAAATACACCTTATAAAATACTGTTAACTCACTTTATAATATTTCCTTTGGGTTACTGTGCTTTGACACGATTTAAATTTACAATTTTCTACCCATGACACACGGCTTCAAAGTCAGACAGTGATCTATATTGGTGCCAGTACATGGTGGTGAACTTGTGATGTATTGACACGTATGAAAGCGAGCAAATGATGGTAAATATTTCCATTACCAGTGACGCAGCCAGGATTTGGAGGGGGGGGATTAATAATTTGTAACGTCACAATTCTAGGGGAGTCTGGAGGTATGCTTCCCCAGAAACAAAATGAATTTAAGGTCTCTGAAACGACATTTCCTGCATTGTGGCGGCACTTGGAGAAATTATGTATTTTCGACCAGTGCGAAAAAAATTCTTTTTCTATGTAAAGGTCTTGATAAATCATTTTTTAACCGAATGCATTCAAAAATCTGCAGCCACACTCTGAAAAGCATTGAGGAAAGGGACAGCCTCCCCCCCCTGGCGGCACCACTGTCCATTACATACATATGCTACGAAACGCAAGGTCAATACATACAGACCACCATGCGTTGCCCTCATCAACTTCGTGAATCCCAGAGCTTTGTACACTGGCGAACAAGTTTTCTCTGCTGGCGTTTCATATCTTGGCGTTAGGGCGAGGTCAAGTTTCCCCCTTACCCTGCACACACAAGCCAGGAAAAAGCTTGTGAAACAGATTCTTTGTACAAGACCAGCTTATGGCTATGTTTCAAATGCCCAACTATAAACACCCATTTTAGTTCCCAGATCCCTTGACCGCGCGACTCTAATCTTTTGCGCCAGTCAGTTAACTACATGTGTCTACAATTTATTCACCCAAATATTCACGACTTGGAGTCAATATAAGTATTAAAAGGATTTCTAACAACACATAATTTGATGGTTGCTGGACCATGCTGAAGTATTTGAATAATTTCGTAAATATTTAACTGCGTCAAGTCTTTGTCGTCAATCTACAAAACGTAGAAAAAAAGTTCAAAAAATTTGGACAATCTCTTAAAGCTTCTCAATTAAAGAGCATAATCTGATAAGGAAGAGAGTGTCCAAGTCCGCCTTTCTCCTGTAATAAAATTGAGCAAATACAAGATGACCCTTGTTGGACCTCTAGGGAGAACAGTTTAGAACTGATAGAGCTATCCAGTATAAATAAAATTCGGTTTAGTTTAGGTTTCCTCCTGTAGTAACACTGGATGAATAAGAAGAGATGATCCTTACTGGACCTCTAGGAAAAACAGTTTAGAACTGATAGAGCTATCCAGTATAAATAAACGGTTAGTTTAGTTTAGGTTTCCTCCTGTAGTAACACTGGATCAATAAGAGATAACCCTTACTGGACCTCTAGGGAGAACAGTTTAAAAATGATAGAGCTATACAGTATACTGAATACGATACTTAAAATACAAAAATGGCAGAGACTTACTTTAGTAATTTTGTCCAGCGGTTGCAGCAATCCATCGCAAGGGCCGCCGGGAAGAACAGACGCAATATACACCTCTTGTTTGAATTTATCCGGCATCAAACTAAAACCAAATCCATGTTCTTCTGATTTCCCCACGGAAAATGTCCGTGTTTCTAAAACGTCTGAAGATTGAGCTATTTTTGAAGGCGAGGCTAAGAGTTTATCGTCCGCGTCATTAGAAATATCGAAAGAGTCAATGCTAGTGAAGGTTTCTGTGTCTGTTCGAGAACTACGGCCACAGTGAGGCAGGTCATTCGCAGAACTTCGGAGCGTTGAGTTATCTGTTTCATAACCTGAGGCAACTGAGGGACTTCTTTCGAGGGATTTCGTAATTTGCGTGGTCTTCTCGAGGGATTCTTCCGTCGCGCGAGATCCATGCGTTGTGTCCTCGCGGGATCTATTCGTGGAGTCCTTGCGGGATTGGTTCGTGGTGTCCTCGTCAGCAGAAAAACCGTTAGATTTGGAGTCATCGCGCGTCAATTTTCCACGAGAGTCTTGTGTTAAGTACACGCAGGACCGCTGCGTGGTTTTCTCTCGAGTTTCTTCCGTGGGGTTCACGCATTTCTCGTGAACGACGTAACGTATGGAGATAGACTTCCCTTTCAGTGTACCAGACGACGAGTCGTGAGAAGAAGCGGTGCACTCCTTTTGGGTAGGAGCAGCGTAACTGCAGATTTCAGAGGTGTGGATCGTATTTGTAACGGATTGGTCTGTTTGTTCTTTAGAACTCTCGCCTTCCCATAATTCATCAAACTGTTCCCAAAATTCGTCATTTCCGCTTTTCACCTCGTTACATACAGTCGCTGTTATTTCACTTTCCGCTAACTCTTTCCCAGTTTTTTTACTGACATTCCCAGATTCGGACACCCCATCATCCTTTGCAGCCTTAGTTTTGACCTCAGGCTCTTTCTTCACAACAGACGGTGTACACGCCACAATTTGATCCAGTTCGCTAAATATTTCAGCCCAGGCGGAAACCCGGTGTAGAGAAGACATATCCGGGATCTCAAGTCCTCTCGGGTTTTCTACACTCGGTTTTTTAGCCCTACGAGCATCAACACTCTGAAGGCGAAGTTTTACGACCTCGCCACTGAAATCTAACATTTGGTAAACTTCTTTGACCGGTTTATTTTTGACAAAAATATCATTGATCGCCAGAATCCTGTCACCTACATGCACTGCGCCACTTCTATAATAGATAAACAAGAGATCGAGATCCAGAATCTCAAAATGAAATCGTTTAGTTGTTTCATAAAGACGACGAGATACCGAGAGGGGGGAGGAGGAGGAGCTCTTTTTGCATCTAACTTTCCAATTAAACAGAGTATAACATAAAAACTAGACTTGCTCCGCATCTCTCTCGAATTGGCTTCATAGGGTCTATCCAGTTTATTATGAGATCAGTTCAATTTCAATTGAGTCCATCCAGTCTAGTATGAGATCAGTTGACACACTGATCTCATGACAGACTGGATAGGCCCGATCAAAAAAGAAGATCCGAGTGAGGCATACAACAAGTCTATTTAAAAACTGAAAAACGATATATAACATTGTTCAATTTAATGTTGATGGCTCAGCCCTCAACAATATTGGGTCATGAGTATTGTTGTCATCTCCGACCTGGGAACGAGGTTGCCCTGGGCCCTAGTCACTACCATAATTAGCATTTATTGAGTACCTACGAAAGAGCGAGACTTCTTACCTGTCCGCAACAGTTCCAGGAACCAAAGACGTGACAAGGATACTTTTACTTCCAGTTTCTTCACCACCACCTTATCAAGAAAGAAATATTTAAAATCTGACAATAAAATTCCTTTATTTGCTGAAAAAGAATGTATAATCCCGGGTAAAAGGTCTTAAACAAATCACAGAGCAGTTTCTTTCTGTAAATGAGTTGTGGTCAATAGTATTTCAGGTCATTTTGGTTCAACGCCAATGGCTTCAACTAAATACTGGAAGGCAGTTTTTACTAATTCATTATAGCTATCTAGGGCTATCTACTTTAGTTTAAAACTATACCTAGGGCATTTTTTAAAAACTGGGTACAATCATTTTCAAAAGTTGTTGGGACACAAAATTCATTAATGAGCAGACCACCCCAAGTCTTGGAGAAAAATTTAGTATAAAAATTAAAGATCTTAATAGAGAATATAATCTTCGAAGTAATGATACTGATCTAGCACTTCCAAAACCTAAAACAAACTATCTTAAATGAAGTTCTAAGTATAATGGTGCAATGCTGTGGAATAGTTTTCCTTCTGAGGCGAAAAAGGCATCCTCGCTTGACCAATTCTGTTCGCAGGCTACGTTTAAATTAGCCTGCGAACAGGCTCTCAGGCTGAGTATGTCCACTATACCAGAGACCCAGAGACTAGGATGTGAGTTAAGATAGTTTGTAAGTAAAACACGCCCCATCTGAAAATCAACTCATTGTATTTTACCGACATGTTGTGTATGGCCAGCGTGGTTAAATTTATTTTTAAGTAAGTAAGTACTTGGGGTTTTAGATCATCACGAGATAAATGCAAATTATTACAAATATTTACATCTTCCTTCCCTTCTCATTCAATGTTGTTTACCCAGTCCAGACATAGCACACCACTGCAGTAAGACGCTAACTGCCGACCCAATATTGAAAAGGGGGGGGGGGTTGGGCGAGGTTTTAGTCATAATTATAGGTAGTTGTGGCATCTGTCCAACCAATTGGAAAATGACTGTATCTATAGGACTATCTAGTTTTCAAACTATCTAAGCGGGTAGTTTTGAAAAAGGTAGCATTAATTATTTCTTTCGTTCTGCAGGTAGTCGGCGGATTTTAGGACAATTCTGGAAGCATTATACAATGAATAATATATATAACCACCTGTTATGACAATGCCGACGGTACTACGTCCTTGTTTGGATAATTCTATGCTATAAACAACGCCAGAATTTTCGTCTATACAACATAATAAAACATTGTTTCAGAAAACTGGAAGAATTTTTGCGAGGGAGGATTACTTTTTCAAGCGAGGAAAGATTTATGTAAGTGCAGAGAGTGAATTTATGATTTTATGTTTGCTAGCTGGGGTTGTGGTAAAGTTCTTCGTTCAACTAACGCATTGTCGGCGAATTTGTTTTTATAAACACCCGTAATGTCGCTATACATCAATGACTGACTCCATTCTCTCATCCTTCTTACGCGCGGTGCGACGAGGGGCTCTGGCCAAATCCATATCAAACAGATTTAAACTGGTATCTGATTGGCTACAACGAAGGTTATTGTTCTAATACCGGATATATTCTTTTACCATGTTTTTATGGTATCCGGTTTTGGATTTGGCCAGAGCCCCATTCTCGTACCCAGAGCCCTTCTTACGCGCGGTGCGACGAGGGGCTTTGCATGGCCAAATCCGGCATAACCGGATACCATAAAAACATGGTAAGAAAACAATATCCGGCGCTAGAACTAGCCACTCAGATGCCAGTTCAGATATGGATTTGGCCAGAGCCCCTCGTCGCACCGCGCGTAAGAAGGGCTCTGGGTACGAGAATGTACTGACTCCACCTAACCTCGTACCCAGGGCTTCCGCGTTTGTGAGCCTACTCCTACACACGCAAAAATCTCACATCTTGTAACAAGTTTGTCAACAAGCCGTCAACAAGTTGTCTGTCAACAGTTTTGGAACAACTTGTTGACAACGTTAACTTGTAACGACCTTGCCGAAATTTAATATCAGACTTGTTACAAGGTTGTTCTGACAAGTCCGTTACCGGCTTGATATAACAAATTGTTACAACCTTGTGTGTTGACAACCTTATAACATCCTTGTTATATCATGACTGTATCAAACTTGTTCGAACAACCTTGTAACAAGTCTGATGCCATCAAGCTTGTTACAAGTTGTTAACAGCTTCGCGGTTACAAACTTGTTGCAACAACTGGGAACAAGCAGTGCGAAGACAACTTGTTGACAGCTTGTGAACAGACTTGTAACAACTTGTTTGCAGACTTGTTACAAGCTGTGCGTTTACGCGTGTAGGAGCCCACTCATGTGACCTGCAAACTGCATGGTATATATATTATTGGTACATCGGTACGAGAAATTGGTACGAGATTGTATTGACTGCCTAGATAAGTGCGATGCCGATAACACACGAAGGCGCTCAAAGTATGACAGTAAGGTACTTTACCAGGATCTAGCCAAGATCTAGCCTGCACAGAAGGCTTTGTTAGACAATGCGGGTTGTGAGCTGGGCAAAAGTGCAGCCGGGTGGGAAAACGGCGAGGCGGGCAATCAGGTGATCTGTATAAATTTCTTACCTTCGTCTTCGACCTCTTGTTCTTTCTGTACAGTGACGCTGACGATCTCTCCCTGAGGTATCGCATCAGTGAATGTAATAGCATCCTCCACACAATTCATTTTAGTTCCATTCAAAGCCAGTAGTTTGTCTCCTAGATGCAATACGCCTGTTCTGTACGCTAAACTGCCTTTCCGAACATGACTGATTATAATGCTTGTCTTCTCGTCGTGCATCAATTCTGGAAAATATTGAATTGAAAGTTAGAGACATACCACTAGTGATACACAGTCAGCAAGGCCGCCGAGAGGGGGGGGGCAGCGGGGGCAAATTGCCCCGGGCCCCGAGGTGCTGGGGGCCCCTGAAAAATTTTTGTTGGGCCGCAGTCTTTTTTGTGTGTTAAATATTTCCGCGCAAAGGACAAGGTATCTGTTTTCTTGGGCTAAGTACCGAAATTTGGCATAAAAAAATGAGATAAAGTCGCTGGCCGAAAATTTTTTTGGGGGGGGAGGTTGTTGTCCGGAAAAATTTTTTTCCTGAAAATTTTTTTTTGATAGGGGGCCCCCCAAAAAATATTTGCCCCGGGCCCCCGCCAACCTCTCGGCGGCCCTGACAGTCAGTCACACTCACAGTCACAGACCTATTTACTCATACTTTTGAGGGCCACAGGTTTTTGCAGTTATATTGCTGTCATGTGTTTTTACAGTAAAGTTCATTCATTCATACTGCACATAGCCAGGGGCATAGGGCATAGGCTTAGGGACGGACCATTAGAAAAGTGATGGGGGGTGGTCCATTTCCAACGTGTACGATTATTTTTTCAAAATTTTTTGCTTGTGTCGATTATTTTTTTTTAAATAATCCCTTGCTCGAATTTTATTTTTTACCCAAAAATTGTTGCAAAGTTTGGGGGCCACCCTTACACTGTACCTCTGATAGGCCCTGTCAACTTAAAATTTTCCCTATTGAAAAGTCTCTGCACGATTTTTTTTTTCAAACTTTTGTGGTGCACGAATTTTTTTTTCTGTTTCCCTGCTCGATTTTTATTTTTGCTTTTGCCCCCTCCCCCCATCAACTTTTCTAATGGTCCGCCCCTTATATCTCTATCAGTTCTAAACTGTTCTCGCTAGAGGTCCAGCCGGAGTAAGGCCATGCTTTCTATTGGTCCAAGGTTTTACTTCAGAAAAACCCGATGTACCCCGCCCGGAGAAAACCTGTGGTTGTGTTTATTTGGTAGGGTTCACCCGGGAAACTGTGCGGATGACTTGCGCGTTTATACGGAAATCAGAGTACGGAACTCATGATGATTATTATGAAATTATGATTATTATTATTATGATTAATAGGAAGCAGGAACTAGCACAGCTAAAGCCGCCTAGCCAGTTACAGACAAAGCAAGTTTTCTATGACTATGTCTATGATCAACGAGTTCTACTGGCCAGGGGCCTGTTGTAGACCAGTTTATTTTCTAGGTTAACCAGTGATCTGCAGTTAATTTTAACTATGTTTTAACAGAATTTAACTGGTTTTTTTTGTTTTTACACAACCGGGCCAACCGGCATGACGGCATCTGGTTGGTATCTCGGGCTCGGATTGCGATACCCTTGACCTTGGTTAATTATTCCAAATTAGTGCATAAATTATTTCATAATTATCTCTAATATCCCTAATTATTCTGATAGTGTGATCCCACTTAATTTGAGGGGGCGTTATACCATACTGCTATTCGCAGACGTCCGACTCGAGTTAAACCAATCAAAAGCCAGTATTTGTGATCCTACTTAATTATTTATCCCAACGAGTTCATTATAAAAGGGGGTCGATTCGATATTTCAGCATTCTGATTCTGTTCTCTACAGCGAAGATAATTCCTCTACTGTCAAGAAAGAAAATTTTGCGAAGAAAATGCCTGTGAAACCAGTTGGTGTTGCGTCCAAAGGTGGAAAGAAAGCCGGGAAGAAAGCCGGAGTTGGTGGTGAAAAGAAGAGACGCCCCAAACGTAAAGAAAGCTATGCTATCTACATCTACAAAGTTCTGAAGCAAGTTCACCCCGATACTGGTATCTCCAGCAAAGCCATGGGTATCATGAACTCGTTCGTCAACGATATCTTCGAGCGAATTGCCGGTGAAGCTTCCAAATTGGCTCACTACAACAAGAAATCGACCATCTCTTCTCGGGAAATCCAGACCGCTGTTCGTCTACTTCTGCCCGGAGAATTGGCCAAGCACGCTGTGAGCGAAGGAACGAAAGCCGTGACCAAGTACACAAGCAGCAAGTAAAAAGGTCCTTAAACCTTGAAATAAAAAACCGGTTCTTTTAAGAACCACCAAATCTATAAAAGAATCAAACGAATACTCGATCTTGCCTTTACATACGATACAGAACTCTGAATTGTGATTCAAGTTTCATTAACGAATTCCGGCTTTCTTATTAATCACACCGTGAAATTCAAGATAGCAAAAATATTCTGAAGCGGGAATGTGTTGTTTCTTCGCTATGACTGGTTAATTAAACGTGTAAAAGACTAAAAGTGAACACCTTTTCGAAGTATTTGCAGAAAACCCTCGCACTACTATAAACAAGGTACTTTAAAGGAACTTTTCTAGTCAAATTTAAAACCTTCACTGTATATAAAAAAAAAAAAAAATTCACGCGCTCGAATCCCGCCAGGCGCCACTCGGCCATAAAATTTATGTAGATTCCAAACAACAGAAAAATCAAATATTTGGATAGGATTACCATACCGGAAACTAGCCGCAATATTTAATTGCTCAACCTTTGCTTTGCCCTCCAGACAGCCTGAAGCGAAACCCGGGTATTCCGATATTTCAGAAATATGCCTTTCGAACAAATATTTTACCTGTGAAAGTGATTCCTAATCCAAAATAATGCTTGGGTAGTTTAACACTGAAAGTTCCTGATGTGGCCACTATAGATTCTAAAACAGAAAACAAGTTATCAGTGTTTTTACTCTCTTTCTAGAATCATTATATTTTTATAATTTGTCTTTATATTGTCATAATGACAAGGCCTGATTATTATTCAATGTCAACATTCATCGAGAGACTTACCAGCAACTGTGAATCCGATCAAGATATTTGCATGCGTTCCAAAACTTTGTAAAATTCCATTGCAATGTTCAGCTGACATTATTCCCACATCGGTATCGTTTATGCCAAGAACCTCGTCATTCACTTGTAGTACACCAGATCTAGGGAAGAAATGTGTAGAATTGCCATTGAAAAATTGGCATACAACTTTTGGTGTCCAACTGGGTAGAATTTCATATCCGCCGTGTTAAATTAACCTTTCTCACGCCGCCATTTTTGGGTGACATTTCAGCCGAAGTCTGTGCGAGATAAGTCCACATAACAGCGACTTTTTATATGTTTTTTGGAGAATCATGGTAAAGTTGCTTTGCCTTTGTAAATGGTTAGAACGAGGATTAGATACCACCCAAAAATGGCGGGAACATTCGTCATCGTGAGAAAGGCTAATTGGGCATCCCCCAACACCCATTTATTTCAATGTTTATTTACACTTTTAAAAAATGAAATGTTTCGGTTTCATTTATCATGCTAATCAGAATGCATATGATGTTTCATACTCGAATTGAATAATTTAAGTGAAAGGGATCCATCTTGCAAAAGTGTAAATAAACATTGAAATGGTTTGCATCTATAGGTCAGGACAAACCAAACAAGAGAAACTTCGAGTTAGATTCCTGGTCCCTAGCAGGATGTATTAAAACACTACCACAGAATGAGCCTGTCCCTAGAAACCACTAGAAAACACCGTAAAACACTACCACGAATCGGCATGTCCAGTAATGTCCCTTTGCCGCTCTCACCTTTCCGCAGGTCCGCCATTCTCAATTTCCGCAATCACCAAGATACTTTGCCTTCCAATAAAACTCTCAGCGATGATCATCCCAAATCCCTGACTATCTGCCGTCAAATTCACTTCCACGTACTCCTGTCTACATAGCTGAGCATTTGCAGCACATTTTAGACTCCCTGAAGACCAAAAGCCGTTACTTCTGTTCGACACGTGTCTCCGTCGCATAGATGACGCAGAGTTGACGTTAGAGAAGGATGAGCCTCTGCTCCCCACGCCCCTGTACCCATACCACGGAGAATTCCTTCCAGCTGTACTCGTACCCAAGCTATTAGAGCGCGGTCTTCGAATTTTGGAATATAAACCTGAAGACAAAAAGCTGAGCTAATATTTATTCTATACAACTCTAATGCTCTATCAGTTCTGAACTGTTCTCCCTAGAAGTCAAGTAAGAGCCATAACATTATTCATGCTGGGCAGCTCTATCAGTTCTAAACTGTTCTCCCTAGAGGTCCAGTAAGAATTATCCCTTCTTGTCAGTTCTTGATCTTGTGTTATTACAGGAGGAAACCTAAACTAACATTATTCATGTTGAGATGAACAGTAAGGGTCATTCCTTAATGCAGGAACTGAATCTATGATTCAATACCTTCAGTGGTTCTTCCTCTAGACCGATGATCGGATCCGGGTTCACTATGTAACTCCACATTTGCACGAGAATTCCCGATCACTTCCGAAATTTCTTCGTATGGGCTCGTGTCGTTCATGAGTGCTCGAGCAGTGTTATCGTATCCCGCGAGGTTACTACTTGGTGCCTGGGGAAGAGCCCGAAGAAGACGTTCTCTCGCATCACTGTCGTGCAACTTTCGGTCTTTACTCGGGACTTCTTCGTGTGCGGTCATTTCCGACATTTGATCATCTGAGAACTCGCCAGGTGAGCATACCCAGGAATCTACTTTACCATATCTAGGTAAAATATAAATCATCTAGTAAACTGTCCTTTATATCGTTATGTCACGGTCACAAAGCTGTTAGGGTTAGGGATGCAATTTGGGTAAAGAACAAAGAAAAATATACTCGTGTCTAAATGTGTCTGACAGTAGGAAGGTTAATATTGACGTTAGACACCTAACTTCATTTCAAGATCAACTGTTAGCTGATCAACTGTTAGCTGATTAACCTAACTTCATTTTGAGATCAACTGATCCGTTGAAGCATGAATTAGCAGTTTAGCTGTCGAAAACATGTAGAGCTTGTATTCATACCTGTCTGACAAGGCAGTATCATCAGCATCTTCTTTTAAAGTATGAACTGTAAGAAACTCAATCTTGACACGACTTCCGCTCTTTGCAAGCAGTTCAACAACTCCAGCCAACGACAGTTCCTTTACGAATGTTCCGTTGACACTGATGATCTGATCTTCTTTGTGGAACACTCCCAATCTGAAGACACACAAGACAGTGATGAGTAGCGATCCAACCTCGTACCGAGGACTTGTGAGCTTGAGAGTCACAATTACAGAAGTACAGTACGAGGTTGGTTAGCGATCTCTTTCTTCAGAGAACGAAGTTGTTTTACTCAGCAGATACATTCTGAGCACCGAAAAACATTGAATAAAGAATGAAAGGGGGGAGTTTTTGGTCAGAAATCTACCGTCCTGGGCTTGGTCCGACACTAGCACGTTTGGAGAAATGCAAATATAAATAGCATCAGTGAGCACTATATATATGGAGGTCAATGCTTCAGACGTACCTGTCCGCAACACCGCCTTCGTTGATGTCGGAAATAACAATTACGCCTGATCTGTCTTCTACTATACAAACACACAATCATAGAATAAATTTTAGTCACTGATTCTTCTTTTCTCACCCCCCTGCCCTGGTATTATTTCTCGTTTACTCATAAATCATACCTAGAATCAACCCCAGACTGACAGTCGGAGCAGGTTTCTCAATTTCAACAATCCAGGTTCCATTTCGTGAGCTTAAAGGATCTACAATAGACGAAGAGTAGTTAGTGCATGTACTTTTCATCTCTGCGACCGAGTTTGATTTCCTGCGTTATGCAGTTTTCTGAATATATTTTCTTCACCATCACATTTGAGAAGAGTACTTGCAGGTCGGTCGACTCAGCTCTACCAAACAAAACATATTTTCTCTACGTATTCCGGTTTCCTCTTGTAGTAAAGCCGGTTTTCCACTTCGCCCGTATCGTAGCGAAACGTACTGGTGAGCATGCGCAGACTGAAAAGAGGTTTATAAATACACGTACGTCCGGGTGTATTCGCGTATCAAAATAGAAAGTTCGTCGCAAGTCAACTTTTTGGCGTACTACGGAAGTACTAACCAAGCAACATTCACGAAATTTTGAAATCATTAAAAACGTTTTTGGTACTTTTCGGTACGGTTGAAGTGGAAAACCGGCTTTACACGTTCTGGACCAAGAAGACATGACTTTACTGAACCTCAAGGAAGAACAATGATAGAGCTATCCAGTATAAATAAAGTTATTAGTTTAGGTTTCCTCTTGTAGTAACACTGGACCAACAAGAGAAAACTTTACTGCACCTCAAGGAAGAACACTGATAGAGCTATTCAGTATAAATAAAGTTAGTTTAGTTTAGGTTTCCTCCTGTAAAATAGTAAACACTGGATCAATAAGAGATGACCCTTACTGGACCTCCTAGCAGCATTGAACCAATACGAATGGCTTAACTGGGTCTCAGCTCACCTTTGTGGCACACATCATACTCTATCTGTAACGAGACTTGATCATGTGCATGTTTTAACAATAGCACGGCGTCTTCACGTGACAGACCCAACAACGCTTGACCGTTGATTGCAAGCAATCGATCACCCACATGAATCACACCACGACTGCAAAATAAGAAAGAGAATTGACGTAAAGATGAGCTCATTATCTAGGTGATAAAATCATCAGACGTCAGACAGAAGTGTGAGGAGTCCAACCTTTGAGCCGCACTTCCGGGTCTCACACTTGCAACGATCAGCGGTCGATACCCATGAACTGACGTCTGGGGAGATTCTGTAATGAAGAACAATTCCAAAGTACAATTTTCACACGAAAATTATTACAGTTCATTTGGTTGTTTGGCAACTTAAGTTTACACAAAAACTCAACCAAGAGTTTACTGTATATCCTACCTCTGGCGACAATCCCAAAGCCATCTGCTTCTTTCTTTAACTGTATAATGGCTGTTTTACACGAACTGTTAATGCTAGTATCTGAAACAAAACAAAACGTTGACTAACTTTTTAACATTGCCATGCTATCAATACAACGGTACGGTGCTGTTTTCCTTTTTTTCTCATTATCAATAAGTTCGAGAAGTGTCCCAAGCAGCCAGACATGATGGAGTAAGGCAGGGCGGGATTGCTTACCTGGGGTGGGTAGTTTGTACTGGATTTTCAAATGAACATGTTGACCAGCATTCCGTAGTAGGTCGACCACTTCTTGATGAGTCAGATTCTCAGTTTTCTTGTTATTCACAGCCAAGATCGTATCACCAATAACCAACGACTCACTCCTGTAAGAAAATATGGATTAGAACTGAACAACCTTGTAACAATCTCGTACCCAGGGTCTTTCCCCTAGGATCTGGTAGGCTGTGGTCATGTGATCTGCTATAAAATCTAGCAGATTTTCAATAACATTGTTATGTTATACAGTCATCCCTTCGAGGTACACTGACAGGAGAAAACCAGAGTACCCACTATAGAAGGACAACCCTTATTTGTCCAGAGGAAACTCACGTAGTAACCCATACAGTCAAACAGGAAATACTGATCTAACATGCAACTGAAGAGATCATTAGATATTTCTACGTACTTATCAGCAATTCCGCCCAGTCGCAGGTGAGAAACAACTGGATGGTTACTCCCACGATCAATTCCACCTACAAACAAAATTAAATATTAATTTAATAAATGCTGCTTTTCCAAGCCTAAAAACTTTTCCATTGACCAACCTGAAATTGTGAGTCCAAGACCTTTATCATGTTTCGTCTTCACGAGCTTGACAATCAAAATTCCTGGAAAATAATTTATAAACAACTTAGTCAAACTCAAACCACGTATGTATAGGAATTTATGGTTAGGGTGAACATTTCACAGCCCATATAAAGTAGGGCGCAATGCAAGTTAATGGCAGTGTACCTAGCGACGAAACTCACTTCCCAATGAAGGGCCTTGTGATATTACTTTCCTATTTTAATCCACCCTGTCAACTTTCCCTGTGGGAGGAAACCGGAGCGCCCGGAGAAAACCCACGACTTTCGGCAGAGCGTTGACTTTTACTCTTTTCACATGAGTCCATATACATTACACCTACCGCTGTTAGTGTCCTTTGGCTCATGATTGGAACTTGCACTAAAACAAAAAAAAATTGTGTTAAAAATCTATTCTAATTTTATTTATGTTTTGACTGATAAGCTCAATATGCCATGCATGTTTACAATCGTACATACCTGCTAACAGCACCATCCTTGTTGTGGTTCTTGTCGTTTTTTACAATCTCTGACAATAAACACAGCAAAACAAAGTAAGCTACACACATAAAAACGCACAAGTTGTGACAGGTCTGCAAACAAGTTGCTACAAATCTGTTTACAAGCTGTCGACAAGTCGTGTTCGCACTGCTTGTTCCCAGTTGTTGTAACAAGTTTGGAACAATCTGTTAACAACTTGTAACAAGCTTGATGGCATTATCAGACTTGTTACAAGGTTGTTCTAACAAGTCTGATACAATCATGATATAACAAGAATGTTACAAGGTTGACGACACAAGGTTGTAACAATATTGTTATATCATGACTGTATCGAACTTGTTAGAACAACGTTGCCACAAGTTTGATAAACATCAAAGCTCGTTACAAGTTGTTAACAGTTTGTTCCAAAATTGTTGACAACTTGGGACAAGCAGTGCGAAGACAACTTGTTGACGGCTTGTTCGCAGACTTGCTACAAGATGTGAGTTTTGCGTGTGTAAATGATGCTTAGGTTCTTGTCATTTGCTGCACAGATGGTATCTGGTTACCACGTGCTCCCAATGATCACCATGAGTTATTTAATGGAAATATAGTAAGTCGAATCGTAGGTAGAAGTTTTAAGACTATGTCAGAGGGGATCGCTATACACTCGAGGCGTTCGAGCAGGGCTCTATTAGGGATTATTAGCCCTAGGATAACTGCTTTTTGCCAGTTAACATGGTGATTAGAGTAACTGGTAACTGTTATGTTGTAACAAGTCACGTGACATCACCATCAACATTGTTGCAACTTTTAGCTATCGCAACCATAAATCAACCTTGTAAAAAGTCTGTTGCAACTTGCAAGAACCTGTTCAGTTCACATGTGAATAAGTACATGTTATTCTCAAACACGCCATTCTGGGTCAGTATTATCCATTGAAACAGTACCTATGGGTGATTTCTACAGTATTATTTGAATGTTACAAAATCGACTCGACAATAGGATGAGTGTTACGAAATGAAAAAATACAAGGGGTTTTGACAAGCCAGCAAGAGCTCTCTGCACTATATACAAAGACTTTTATACGATGTAGCCTTATTAGGATATCTTAAACAACAAAGGGGTTCTGCTGTCTGACTCAAAACAAAGACAGCCCTTGAATAATGAGACAAAAGAAGAACCCTATACTCAATATACTCCAATATATTGCTTGCTGAGCTTGTATTGGTCTTTAATTGAGATTTACATTGAGATTTTGTTAAGATTATGAACACTGACATCGTGTGCCAAGAAAATAAATAAAGCAAATCACATATACGTCATAGCACAGAGTTTTAGTGTCTGTATATGGGAGAATAGCACAGTTGAATACAGTAATAACAGGATACAACGTAACAGGATACAACGTAAGCCTACAGGAAATCCACCGTACATAACTGTGAACTATGAGTTTGGTTCTCGCCAGCAGCACTAGCTGCTTAAGTCACACGTGGGGTTGTGGCCAACCTAAAGCGATCTAATGTTCATACAAAACTCATGCGAGTAGAGATAAATCTCCCCACTGCTCACCCCCAGTTTACCCAAGAGATGAATATATAACTTCAGTCATTGTAAGTTTTGATACGGACTAAAAGAGCAAAATCATACCGAACAAATATTCAAGAAGCGTTCCTTAGAGACACCTCTTTGAGATGGACACTCTTCTATGATGGACACCCAACTTTAAGACAGGTATCTCTCTAACACAAGCATCTCTAAGAGTAAGACAGACATCTCTCTAAGACAGACATCTCTCTAAGATGGACATATCTCTAAGACAGACATCTCTCTAAGACAGATCATCTCTCTAAGACAGACATCTCTCTACGACTGACATCTCTCTAAGATGGACATCTCTCTAAGATGGACATATCTCTAAGATGGACATGTCTCTGAGACAGACATCTCTGATCTCTCTAAGACAGATATCTCTCTGACACAGACATCTTTCTAACACAGATATCTCTCTAAGACAAACATCTCTCTAAGATGGACATGTCTCTAAGACAGACAACTCTCTAAGAAAGTCATCTCTCTAACACAGACACCTCTCTAAGACAGATATCTCTCTAAGATGGACATCTCTCTAACACAGACATCTGTCTAACACAGATATCAGGCACTTCTCTAAAACAGACATCTACCTAAGGATGTATCTCTAAGTTAGAGAGACTCTAAGACTGAAATGTATCTTCAATACACATTTTAGGAAATATACATCCACAAGACAACTAATAATGTATTTGGCTGATTTACAAGCAATTCGGCTAATGGGATTATGGTATTTCATAACAATGAAAACTATTTCTGAAGAAAAACTAGCAAATTCTTTAAAAGGTTTGCTGTTTGAGAACCATTTACCCTATTTTGCAAATGCCCAACACGGATAGCTAACATCTGTTTCCTGTCAGAAGGACACCTCTTAAAGATTGATAGCAATACACTTGTAACAGCTGTCCATTTGAGGAGGCCCAGGACACTGTACAATGATAGCCGAAATATGATAAATATGCCAACTCAGATGTTTAAAATACCTAACATATACCACATAGCATAGAAATTACAATTTACAAACAACAATCAATTCAACACACATTTGTTGTTCGAAACAAATAATTTTAAGACAGAAATAAAAATAGTTAAATATCCAGATACTTTGCTATGATATGACACACATCAATTAAATACAACAAACTAAGTTTCTACATATACTGGCAGCAGGTTCATGTTTAATCCAATTATTTTAGAGTATGGCTTTAGCCCACACTCAAAAAATTAATTATTAACCCTCACATTTGTGCAACAGTTCTTCAAAATACTCTTGTGCCACTACCTTTGTTATGGCATACACGAAACATTGCCGTAAAAGGTTTTGTTTTAAACATGTCGCTAAAATAATTGACAACTAAAAGAAGGTATAATATCAAAATCTTTTCTACATACTTTAAACAAATATACCACCATGTATATGACTATATTGACCATAAACATTTATAACACATAGATACACAGTTAAATAAACCTTGAAAAATTAAAATAGCTAGTGATAATAAGTGTATTTTACGAAGCAATAATACCTGACATAATTTTGATATCTTTGTTGTGGGTAAGCGTCTAGCTTTGGGCTTAATTAAGTCACAACTCCAACAGGACTTGCAATTAAAATGGTTTAATCTAACTCATAACCAACAGGGTTTCAAGCTTTATGACAGCTAAACTAACAATAGCACATATTGTTATACAAAGTAAACCAAATGTTTGCAAAAGCTGTTTTACTAAAAAGCATTTTTGATGTGACAAACTTTTAAGCACACAGCTGTGGGCTAATGTTTATGTCTTTATAAGCAAACTTTAGTCTTCATTTACAAAACAGTGTTATTTTCAAATCAAATTTGTTACTGTTTGGTATGTATGGACAAATTAATTTTCAGTTTCACTCACTAATGCTTAGCAGGAAGTCCTTTGCCTTGTTTAAAATTTAAATTTTTATGTTCCTACGTTCTCATGCTAAAAAAAAAACAAAGAAAGACTGCATTTTGTTGCTGTTGTAGTAGAAAAGTATTGCACTTTAAAGCAGACAAACTTTGTGGAATAAGGGCCGTTAATAATTAGAATTCTTTGCAACACTTTAGACAAAGTTAAAAACACAAACACAGAAAGCGTACAGATTATTTAACTTTTATATAAAAAGTGAAATATTTAAAGCACATTGAAACAGCATGGCTTGTGTGTCGCTGTATCACTTTCCGGTAAAATTATAAACAGAATTCAATATCTTTCTCGGCTACGGCGGCCACCGCAAAGTATTGACCCAAGTTTTAATATATAATCGTAATTGCTAGAAACTATGCCATTTACACATTATTAGAGGCAAATTTCGCGCGTTTATACTTCTGTATGATTTATGCCTGTTAAAAGATAGCTGTTTATTAACCCTTCCCCAACTTAAACACTTGAAAGGAGAAAGATTTCAAACAAGCTTATGTAGTCAACACCGTAAGCTTGAGGTGACAATAACATGTTCATTTGCTTGCTTGACAAATAAGCCGGCAAATTCATATTGTAAAATATGTAGTTTTAATGCTAACTTACTTGATTTGACACGGGAGAATATAGAAGTCATCTTGGCTGTAGTTGAGGTTGATTTTAAACGGCACACATCGACAGGAAAAGAGAACTCAAGTGTAGTCCGTTCATGATATTTTGGCCCTGTGTTTCATATCAATTTCACACTTGTCAACATCGTGTTTATATTGGGGGTACGTGTGGGTAAAGAGGGGTAATGATGGGCAAAATTACTTCTTCAGGGGGAGAGGGGGAAGGTTTGGCACCCCAGATTTTTGAAGTATGTTTTGGGCTTGGATTAAGGTTTGGATCTGTGGATTATAGTAGGATAATAAAAACCACGTTGACTTTCAATTGACCATCCAAAAATGAGAAACTTGCCCTATTGTTTTGTAGTATGCAAAATGAAAGAGGTCAAAGAGCAAATACATTCTAAATTTAAGATTGCAGGGTTTTCCCAAAATTAATATATTTCCGCTTTGAATTTCTAGAATTTTTTTTTATTTTTCAAACAAAAATTTCAAGAATTTTTAAAAACAAAATTGATACGGCCGCGCACCTCCTGATGATCTGGGACCTAATGATCGAAATCTGTTTTGGCGCGAAAAATTACAAAAAAATTTTCTCTTGAAAAAAACCCCCAGAAGATAATTTTTGTTTTTGCTAAAAATATAAACGAAAAAGAGGGTTTAATTTGAATGGAAGGTGGAAATGGTCCGTGAGAAAGTAAAGGCGAAAAAGGCAAGGCATAGCCCAGACCAGGTAAAGAAAAATTATTTCGTTTTTGCAGGGTTTTCCAAAATATATTTTGTTGTTGTCCTTTTGTTGATGGTAAACTTTCTCATCGATGAAACAAATTTTCAACCTTTAGTGCTTTAGTTTGGAAGAGGACAATAAGAGTGGTCAAGAATTGATGGACGAACAAATGCTATACGACGAACAAAGTCAACAAACTAAAGAAAATACAACTGAAAACATGGAGTCTCATAATATGGAGTCTGAAAACATGGCGTCTTTGGAAACTATGCTCGAAACAGAGGACATATCAGATGGTATGTGTATTGCCCAAACCTTGTCTCTGCACTAGGGGCAGCGTCTGTAACACTAAATCAGTTCCCTCAATATTTCTTACAAATTCTTCAAAACTTAGAATTTACCTTTGCAAAATTCCTACTGTGATCACAGAAACTTTGATAGTGTAAACCATCCTTTATAACACTCAGTAAGTTTCCTCAAACATTTCTTACAAATCCTTCAAAACTTAGAATTTACCGATGCAAAATTCCTACTGTGATCACAGTATAGTGTAAACCAGCAGTAAGAGATGGTAACAAGCCACAGTCAGTACTTTTTGTAATTAAGTAATTTACTCATAAGTAATTTACTCAAATACGTTTCCTAGTTTGTCTACATAACTAGGAAACAATGATTCCGCAATGATTGCCCTTAATCTTTGGTTTATAATAGACTGGGAATGCCAGTGGCGGAAATCACTTTTCCGGTGGCGGCGCAAACCCTTGTGAATTAAAAAAAAACTTCTTCCACACTTCCGACAAACCTCAATTTTCACTTAAAAAACTGGCTGAACGTCTGTACATCACTTTTAGCCTTTTGACCCTTTTAGATCAACATTTCCGGCAAATTGTCTATTTTACGTAAAAGTATGGTGGTGGGGAAAATGCCCCGGCCCCCCACCGCCCCAGGAAAATAATTGATATGCAAGCAATTAAACCTTTCTCTCGCAAATTGCACGTCAGGATGATCCGATTCAAAGCTACTTTCTTCCTCGTATAACTTTTATATAAAAAGTGAAATATTTAAAGCAAATTGAAACAGCGTGGCTTGTGTGTCGCTGTATCACTTTCCGGTAAAATTATAAACAGAATTCAATATCTTTATAGGCTACAGCCGCCACCGCAAAATATTGACCCAAGTTTTAATATAAAATCGTAATTGCTAGAAACTATGCCATTTACACATTATTACCATAGGCAGCCCACTAAACGACTGAATTTAAGTTAAAACTGCAGTGAAATTATAAAATTTAACGAAAATAATCACAAATTAATAGCGAAACATATTGCGAAATGTAGCTTACATTAAATCGCCACTCGATTGCAATTCACTGCAGTTTTAATTTAAATTCAGTCGTTCAGTGCGCTGCCCACGTTATTAGAAGCAAATTTCGAGCGTTTATATAGAAGTATGATTCATGCCTGTTAAAAGATAGCTGATTAGAAATCCCGGGAGGGGGGGTGGGGGGTGGGTGAAAATTCCCCCAAAAGAATTCGTGCAAAGAAAAATGCCTCGAAAAAAAATTCGTGCAGCCATTACGTCAGAGAAAAAAAATTCGTGCAAGCAAACAGCAAAGTACAAATAGTCTCGAAAAAAAATTCTTGCAGAGGTTAAATGCATTAAAAAAAATCCTGCAGAGACAGGAGACTGAAAAAAAATTCGTGCCGCAAACAATTTATCCCCCCCCTCCCGGGATTTCTAATGGTTCGCCCCTTATTAACCCTTGCCCAACTTAAACATTTGAAAGAAGATTTCAAACATTATCTTGAGAAGTCTGTGTCAGTGTAGATAGTGCCAATAATAAGAAAGCGTAGGATTAATAGGGATACAACTACCTGGAAAATACAAGGAGAACTTCGACGTAAAGCCCTGGGCAAATTAGGAAACATTCTTGTGGAAACATTTGTGATTCTCGATGTTTCCTCAAATGTTTCCCTGTTTGCCCACCCCTGGAAACATTGTTGCGTAAACAAAATTTGCTTCCCGAGAAGCAAAAATGTTTCCTAGCGAATTCAGAAACATTTGATGTTTCCTATGTTTCTCACTATAATGTTTCCTAGTGTTTGTCCACTCTGGGAAACATGGCGAAACATTTGTAGGAAACAATGTTTCCGCAACAATGTTTCCTAGTTTGCCCTGGGCTTAAGTCCGAGTGAGTTGTCAGTGAGCTCTATGTGTATCTGGAGCAAGACCTTCAGTCATTTGGCCTATGAGAAAAGTGAAGTGAAGGAGCATCTGTTCCAGTCCCTTTCCATTGTTTTTGTCTGCGCGGTTAACATGAAGCTGGTTTCACTTTTTGCACTCGAGTTCTCGCTCCATAGATATATATATATAGAGGGTGTCCACCCTTTGGTGAAGGTGAAATTCAAGAACTTTTCCAGGATTTTCAAGGCCCTTTTTCAGTAAATTCAAGGACTTACAACTGGGAAAAATCTTTGAAAATGGCACGGATTTGCCGTAAATAATCAACTTTATTCAGTAATTTTGATCAAAGTCACTAATGTTGGCACAGCTGGAGGTTACGGAAATTAATTCCAGGACTTTCAAGGACTTCTACTGATTTTCAAGGACTTTCCAGTCCTGGAATTTTTTTCCAATTCAAGGACTTTCCAGGATTTTCAAGGCCCGTGGACACCCTGTATATATATATGGAGCTCACCTCGGTGCTCACTGGTAGTTGTATCCGTATTAATCCGAAGCTTTATTCTTTCTCGCGCTAGCTTCCGCACAATTAGAGGAATACAGTCAGAGGTATGATCAAGATGAAGAAATGGCACAATGTGTTCCCGAGTTCGTCGTTTACACTCCAGTTGAAACGAAACCCAAGGTCACAGAAGTAAAACACAGGCCACGAATGAAGTTTACTCCTAAACGCAAAAGTCCAGAAAAAGCACCAAGACGAAAGATTAAGCCATCAAAAAACTCTGCGTCCGTTACACCACACAGCCCACGTATTAATGGTGAATCTGTAAGTAATCGTTTGTAGGAAGGTGTCGTCAACGCATTTCGTGTCGACTAGATGTCCAGTAAGAGCTATTCTATATATGCTACTACTGGAAGAAACCGCGTTCACCAAATCAGGGATGGATCAACTGGACTCTGTATCTAGATGGCAACCATAGAAAATCTGTTGTGTTTGGTGACTCAAATTGGAATCTCAGGCATTGTACGTACACATATATAATTCTGGAATCTTTTATATACAGGAAGATGAATTTCCCAAGGCAAAGAAAGAAGGAACATGGATTCAATGTTCAAAGATCGACTGCTTAAAATGGAGAAAACTGCCGAACGATATTGAACCAAGTTTGATGCCGGATCGTTGGGTCTGTGCTATGAACAAAGGTAAACTCCACGATTACAACAGCGCCTTTTGCGGAAAGAGTGATTTCAGTTTGATTCTATCAAACACCACAACTTTCTACAGGGAAAATAAGGACAAATTATTTAGGGAGTGATTCTTACTGAACTTCTAAGGAGAATAGTTTTAAAAGAACTGATAGAGTTATCCATGGCCTTTAGATTGGCGAGCAGAATTTGATTGCGGCAGAAAATTTCTAAATCCCCAAGCAACCCAGATGACCTACGAGATGCCTGCGGAGGATGCTAGTCCAGCATAAATACAGTTAGTTTAGTTTTAAAGTTGTCTTTCTGTAGTAGCACTGGACCAATAAGAGATGATCCTTACTTGTCCCCAGGGAAGAACAGTCACAGCTGAAGAAGCTATCATGTATAAATAGATAGACTTTAGTTTTATTTTGCTATGTTATGTTTTAGATTTGACGCGGACAGAGTGTACAGCATCGCAAGAAACATGTGATAGTCAATTAGATTTTGATGTAGTCTATACACCATTTGTAGCTGGCTCGTTGGTTTGGGCTAAAGTGCCGGGATATCCATGGTATGTTCTTACCATTAATATGCCAAGTACAACTCTTGTGATAAATTTTGAAAGTTTTATAAAATTGTATAAGTACAACTCCACGGGATAAATTTTCATTCTTTGTTATAAAGGTGGCCAGGAATGGTTGAAGATGACCCCGACTACAAATGTTGTTATGAAACTGATGAGAGTAATGTTAATGCAGTATGTATAGTTGCCACAGCAACTCACTCATAGTACACTAGGAAAAGGGCTCGACAGCCTTATACGTAGCATCCTTAAGAAAACGAGTGCACCTCACACGATCTCACATTTATTTCCAGATAAGTTATCATGTTTCGTTCATTTTTGACAAAGACGTTTCACGATCCTGGGTCAGCTATCTTGGTATACGAAACTTTGACGGGACAGAAAACCCAAACGAGGTATAGTACAGAAACAGAAAAAGCTTGGGATTGGTCAATAATTATTCAAAGATCGATTAGCGTTATGTCTCCTGTTTATATGAAATTAAAACGTCAGAAAATGAATTTTCGACCAAAATGAATTTTCGGCAATACTGTTCCTTTTAGACTGGTCCAAAACAGAAGAAGTGTGCAAAACCTTTGGCAAGAGCGTTGATACAGGCCAGGAACGCGATAGATTTGTCCTTAGCAGAAAGAATAAAAAAATACAGTTTCAACGTGTTGTATAAAGGCCAGATTGGCTCTGAAATGGGTAAGTGTTTGTGAACTAGGAAAATGACAAACTTGCAGACTATCAACATACTTATATAAAATGTTATTATTGGAGTTACGCTTTGGCATAGGTTTAGGAATGGTTTTGGATAAGAAATCTTTGTATTGAAACTGTGTTAAAATGGGGATTTTTCCAATACTTTCATCTTTCTTAGATGAGAAACCTCGCAAGACAAAGAAACGAAAACAACCGAAGACAAGTCCAGAGCAGAGTAATCCAAAGAAAACGAAAGCTATCAAACCTGACAAGAAAATCAAACGCCCGAGCCTCACAGATAGTGAGAAAAGCAGTGAAAATTCACAAAGTATTGTTAAAAAGAAAGTTAAGAAAACGAAAAGAGTTTTAGCATCCAGCGATGAAGAAGAGAGCGGAAAAGAGATGGCTACTGATGGTATGTTTTTAGAAAATATTTTTCTTATTTACCACAACAATATCGGCGGAGTAAAGCGCGCATCGAGCATATTCATTGTCATGTAGCTAATCGTCGAAAGGGAGTTAGACTATGCTTAGATAACTAGCTTAATAATTTTGAAGTTGTTACCAGTAGCTCCCATGAGTTATTAAATATTTAATTCACTCCCTGTACATGATTTTTGGTACTATCAGTTTCTTTCTATCCTTATTAAAGATTTTTCCTGTACTTTGCTTAGCTCCAACAATCAACAACGACACCAGTATAACCCGCGCTGAAAATTCAGACGGCAAGGAAGACTCGGTAGCTAAGACAGAAGAAATACAACGTAGTCTTGAAATACAACCGGAAGCAGAGGAAGGTAATAGTCAAAGCGCAATAACCAAAGACGAAGTGTCCCCACAAAATAGCCTGATTGACAAGGCTAGCAGCGGAGACAATGAGGAAAGCCAAAAGGGCAAAGTGAAAAGTACAAAGAAAAATAGACCAGCCAAAACAAAGAATGAAGGTAATAACTATGGTACGGTGTTGATGGCAAAGTGGTACAATAGTGAATGGGTCTTTTGCCTTTACGACCTAGCTTTGATACCTGTAATTTACTGTTGTAATGATGGTAGTTTCTCATTCATGTGCTTTCAATCGCACTAACACTGACCCAAATAAGGGATTCCTCTTGCAGGACCTCAAGAGAGAACGGTTTAGAACTGATAGAACTATTCGGTAGAGATAAGTTAGTAACACTGGACCAATAAGAGATGTTCCTTACTGAAATTTATGGTCGTATAACAGGACATGTTGAATTTTTAGTCCCCAAGAAGAAGAAGAAGCGTAAGAGTATCACATCTGAGGAGGAAGAAAAACCAACTCAACCAAAAAGTCCTAGCAAAAGCACAAGTCCAGATCATTTGAAAGTCAAAAAGAAAAAACTTAAGAAATCAGAAGATAAACCAACCAACAAATCTGAGGGTAGGAAGTCAAAGAAGAAATCGAAGTTTGTAAATCCAGGTGAAGCTAAGTCAGCAAGTGTTTTAAATGCAAGTAATGCCAGCGATGAATGTGATGCTAAAGATACAAGTACTCTCAGGGAAAGGATTTTGGAGGCGCTTTCCAGAGATACAAGCACTGAAAGTAGCATGGGTGGATTTGCTAACGATACAAGTAATGACAGTAGTGGACTTGTTAATGATACAAGTAATGACAGTAGTATGGATGACCTAACCAAAGATACTAGTGAAGAAATCAGTCATACTGAGGAACCCAATACAACCTCAGATGAATCTCCAGTTAAAGAAACAGCGAAAAGAAATTATTCCAAGGAATCTGGCGAGAACAAGAAACCTAAGCCAAAGAAAAAGAAGCCAGCCAAAACAACCAATGATAGTAGTGCAACCAAAGATTCAACCGAGATCTCTGCAGTGAAGCCAAAGAAATTTGAATTGACATTCGCTAAGAAAAGCAAATCCACAAATGAAAAAAAAGTCAAGAAAGTTAAGAAGATAAGTACTCCCAAGACATCTGGTAAAAAAAATGGAGGAGCAAATGAGGAAGAATTTGGTAAGTACATTACTCATAGAGGATAGGTCTGTTCTGCTTGGAGATCTAGTAATAGCCATACCTTGTTGGTCCAGTGGTTCTACACGAGGAAACCGGAGTACCTGGGAAAAACCTGTGGTATTTGGAAGAACTCTTCTCTCATGTAACTGAAGTGAAATTATATTCAACTAACTGCATATTGCAGAAATCAAACCCCTGCATTGGCACAGATGTGAAAGGCAAATATGTAGATTCGATTCATTTTTTCATTTCACTGTATTCAAATTTCCAATACAGCATCATCATCAGAGATAGCTCTTGAAGGCAGCAGTATAAAGCCTAATAATACAAAGACAACCAAACCTCCAGGTGATGGGCAGAAGGCCAAGACAACAAGCAAAGTCAAAAAATTGAAACAAACATTTGGTAAATTTAAAGCTCCATTGAAAGCCAGTTCTAAAGTCACACCTGCAGCAAAAGTCCCGAGATTGAAAGCAAGCAAAGATGCGAAATCAAGGGAGGAAGCAAAGAAGACCCTGGAAGAGGTTTTAGACATTCCTTCATCAGATGATCCCCGCAAAAATCCTGAAAACTACGTTAACATCGGTATGTGAAAACGAGGAATTAATTGCACTAATACTGTTAGCAATGCACAGACGTAATCTTTGCCAGATGGTCTGGGGTTTTGGTTGAGGTTGGATTGCGTTAAACTGCGGTTTGGTAGCGGTTAGGATGTGGTTTGGTATGCCTAGTATGCTTAGGTTCGGTTGCAGTTAGACTGTGGTTCTATTGCCGTATATTAACCACGTTAGGTTATTTCGGTAATGTACCGACAAGAGCAATCTCTGTCGTCAACTCTATTAAGATAGATGTATTTTATTTTAGATTCGTTGGAAAAAGACATCAGTAACCTTTATCAAGAGCTTTCTGAGAACGCAGCAGCATCTACTGGTGCTGCTGAGGATGTTGACGATGTGACTGAAGCTAGTGATTGTGTCACTATGGAGTTCTTGGATGAAGAAATTTCTGGAAATATAGGAAATTCTGAGAAAATCCCTGCGAGACGACTGACCGATTCACCTGAATTTTGAATCACTTTAATTTACCAATGTTTGAGACTTAGTTAAATTTGACTTCTTACAGTACTGATGAAAGAGATCTTACCTCTTTACGTGTAATGGTAACAAAGAGATATTCGGTCTTACCTCTTTACGTATAATGGTAACGGATTGTACTAAAAGCCTCGTAGAACTTTACTGCGCAGCGCTTTCAATTTATGAAAGCGAAAAGAACTGCGTCTGCGTTTTTTAGAAGTAGGCTAAAGCAGTCATTTGTTTAAATCAATAAAATTCGGTTATTTTATTTCGATTATCGGTTTCTTTTTCTATTCAGAAATAAATCGATTTCTATAAAGAGGAAATCAATTTATTTCCAACGATAAAAAATCGCCTCTGTTGTACCATCGCCATATTGATGTTATTTAATGTTCTATTTAATTTTTATACGATTACAAAATTTGTTCAATGAAATATTTGAACTTGTAATGGATGTTGTCATAATCGCACCATGTTATATACGCCATATTGCTGTACTTAATAAATGTTGTATTGACTTTTTATTATACGATTGTAAATTTTTGCTGAATAAAATATTCGACTCTTGTAAGGAAGTCGTTTTAGCGGTATTAATAAACACCGATTTAAATCTTCATTCTCTTCTTCAGTAACCATTTGGTTTTAACCGTCTTAGTTTTTCTTTCTTATTTCTATTTCCGTGTTTTTTCCACGGTTTACCTACTATAACCATGTCAGATTGAGACGCTTCCATCAATCGTCGATACTGTTCTGTTCCTGTTGTTGCTGACGTATGAGACTTGACATCTGTCTGGAAATAAAATTTACTGGGTTTAAAATAATGAGGCTTTCAGTGATTATCTCTCAAATTGATGGGTTACAGCAAGCGTTTTGGAAAAGTAAATGATGATCAGCTTTAAAAATGTTGACACTTTACAGGAGCATAAATCACAATGCTATTTATTTGCTACTAAATACATTATACAATACTTTTTTTGTGTGTTGGTATTATGTACTCAGGTGAATATGATGTTTGTGGTGTTACTCTGAGTGTGCATCCACACCGGGCAAGCTGACCACGGTGGAAATAGCACCCGCGAGAATTTTCAGCTTGCCCGGTGTGGATGCATCTGACTCAGAGTAACACCACAAACATTACATTATATTTTTAGTACCATCGCCACGGGCACGGGCTTCGCCCTACGCGCGTGGCTGGGGGACAGGACGAAAAGGTATGATGAGAAGATTTAACATCATTTTCACACTGTGCTAACTGCCAGTTGACTATCATCTGCTGCACGACAGTACTTAGCAAAACCTGTCTATATATGTATGCATGCACGTTAAATGTTCAACCAACCTTTTTGAAAAATTCGCCATCCATTTTGTTACCATGTGTTTCCTAAAAGAGAAGGAAGTAATGTTAGTCAGATCACCTGACGTAGTCTTGTGGCTGACTTGTCCCCTGTCGCTCGTTCCACGTTAAATGATGGGAATGCATTAGAGCATTCTCACGGGCCTTTGGGCCCTATTGTTCCGACCCGCAAGCGCCTGCAAATTTGTGCCTTCATGATCTAAATTTTTCCCCAAGCAAATTTGTGTTAGAGTCGGGTCTTGTGTTAGAAGATAAAAATATTCTGCACAAAATTTCTAAGTATAAAAGAAATATCAACTTACGTTACCAGGTATGGAATTTGTCAGAGGTCTTTTCTTGACAGTCTTCACATCAGTAGTAAACGACATTTGAAAGTCTTTAGGCTCGATTGTCGGAGGTGGATGACAATACAGTAGCTTACCCTGGAGGTGAAAGTCAACATTTGAACTCTTGAAAATTTTAAAATTGGATGAAACGAGATGAGAATAGGTATAAAGCCTCGTTTTCGAGATCGAGCCAAACTAGGTTTAACTCATATCTCACATGTAACATACATTAACATAATCCTTCAGGATATATCTTGCAGATCGAGGAGAATCTGATCTTGCTTGACTTGTTAGAAAACCTCTGCTGTCTAAAAAGATTTTGGCAAACTAAGCTAATTAGACCACATAGATCGTTCTGAAGCAATGTTTCTTTGTATAAAGCCCCGTTCAACATTGCTGCTCCAATAATGTTGGACAATGCTAAATGAAACTTTCAAAAAAAGTCAAACCCAATCCAACATCAGTCAACACAATGTTCAAACGAGGCATCCGAGAATGATGTTGGACCGACGTGTTGTACTCATTTAGCATAACACTAAGTGAATAGACCTTTTTAAAAAGTCTGCCTTGTGACGTAGTTTGTGGATAAAGGAAAACCCTGCACAGCCATTTGGTTTGCCTGATTGGCCAAAGTAAACGTTATGCAATGGATTATGGATATTATAGTGTACTTAAAAGTTAACTGGATACCTCCATACACATATATACACACCCTAACCCTAACCTTAAACCTAACCCTAATACCCAACCTAATACCTAACCCCTAACCTATATTGGTGCGCGAAACATGGAACGATAACCAATGTTTCACTGTCTTTACATTGTTTTAATAACCTAACATATTTGTGATGTTATGTAAACGGAATATTCAATGTGTTATAATGCAACTTACGGCTGTATGCATCTAAAAATTCTTCAGCGGAAGGTGGACGGTCTGCGTCCTCCCATTCTTCTGGTTTGCCAAGGTTAATACCATACACTGTCCCTAACACATCACGTGGTATACGACGACATACGTTAGATAATGTTAAGAAAAAATTCTTAAACTCATTACTATTCATGAGAAAAACGAGCACCGAAAAAAGAAATGAGCACCGAATACAACGGGAATATCGCGTCGAATTTCTATTTAATCCATTGAGTTGCATTGTGCCCTACTTTATTATTTTACTCTGTCTAACGCCAGACGATTTTACTCGTCAAGGGGAGAGTGCTAGCGCTCAATGGATTTTTAAAATATTGGTTTGTTTAAGACGTTAATCAAGTCGTCTATTCTATACCCTGGGTTAGAAGTGAGGACACACATAAATTTATACCAATCACAAACAGAGTTCAAATATTGAACTCACCAAAGTGAGGCTGGATGCTTGTGTGACCAGAGCCTCCTCGTCGTGTCCTCATTTCTATCACAAGAGGCTCTGGCACCCAGGGTATCTATTCTAAGGATTACAATTAATTCAAAATATTTTCAAAACTGAGCTGGCACCTCGTGTTTCAACCATTGAACTAAAAATAACAATAATAATAATAGTTATTTTTAGTTCAATGGTTTCAACAGCGTTTCAAATCAACACAATAAAATCCTTGAGAGATGAAGGAAGGACCTCTGCCTCAATGTCGTCTGGGAAGACAGCTTCATAAAAGGATATGAGTGCCACAGGAGGCACGTGATCTCTGAGCTGATCTATTGGTAAAATACCGCTGATCACCATTTCTGCTTTTGTTGATACAAATGATGGAAAGACCAAGCCAGGACAATCACAGAGACAGATTGCTTTGTCCACGAGAAGAGTCTAGAAGTATTAGGAAACCATAGATATCTTATATACACTAGATAGTGCATCTAATTATTCTGCAATTCAAAAATTGAAGCCATGATTGCAGTCTCAGGTCGTTCCCATGAAATGAGAAGATTCGTATGTTTTCTATTTCTTAAACAGGGAACTTAAACATTAAGTTAACCCTATTCCAAATGCATTTCTAAACTATTCAAATGATGAAAGTTACTGTTGTTTTTAAGCGTTTATTAGCGAGTGGGAAACTCCAACATGGCCGCCATCTATTCAAATGGGGCCATGGAGGTAACCACTGGAATATTCTTGGCTTCAATTTACTAAAAGAGATGCGCTATCTAGTGTATATAAGATATCTATGTAGGAAACTCGTCATTTATAGACAGATTTAGATCGAGGACGTCAAAGACGACGAGTGAAAATGGCGTGGCATATCCATACATGGGCACAACACGCCATTTTCACGTCGTCTTTGACGTCTGCGATCTAAATCTGTCCAATGACAAATTTAGATCGACGATGTCAAAGACGACTTGAAAATGGCGTGCCGTGCCCATGTATGGATATGCTGGTCAACTAGCAGTTATCAGAGTGAGAAAATAATGTTAATTCTTTTCAGTGTATGTAGTAGTTTTGTAGTAGTCTGGTGGCAAATAAATATAAATGGAAGATGTAGTTTAATACCACTTAATGCCCTGACTGAAACTAACCAGTATGGACGGTAAGTACTCATCGCACAATCTTAACTTTTTTAGTCTTATGTTTCTCTAAATATTGTACCTGAAAATGTTTTGTTCGTCCAGGTGTAGATGATACAGGAACTTTCTTGGCTTGTAAGATCGCGTTGATGGTGGAACTCTTGCCAACATTCGGGTATCCAACCTATAAATTTGAGCAAAGATGCATGAAAATCTCCAAAAGAAAATATATTTCTGAATTTCAAATTTTGTTTCTGTAAGAATGTTTCCAAGGACTGGCAAACGGAAAACATTCAGGGAAACGTAGAGTTTGACAATTTGAGCTTGACAGCTTACCAAACCAATCACAGTTTGTTGTTCCTTATCCTCCTTCCCAGTCTCCACACGGCCACCATACTGACGGTGTAACCACTGACAATATGCCAGTAGCTCTTCACCAGTCAATAAATGACCACTTGTGTAAAATTCAACATTCTTGCCAGCTATAGCCATATCATTAGTACTAGAATCATTTCCAGGTTTTTCACCAGTTCTAACATCACTCAACGCATCAAGGTTTGAGAGTATGTCAGTAATAATACCATCATTTTTATATGTTTCATGTAAAGATTTTTCAACACTTATACCACCAACTACTCCACCTGAAGAGCCAGAATCTACATTAACTGATATACCCTCTCTACAATCTTGACTTATAACATCCCCAGGTAACAAATTTAGTTGATCAATTTTTGGGACATCACTTGGAATATTGGATGATGTAATCTGTTGCATTTGGTTGTCATTGGATGTTCTAAATGAGTTTGCATTGCTAGGCATTTCCCAATCGCCTGTGTCACCTTTTTTAGTGTTGTTTTCAACATTTTCGTTTCCTTTTGGGTCATTTTGGGTGGTTTCACTAGGGTCATCACCCAAAGTGTCACTTTCCATAAGGCTACTTCTCATAGTGTCATATTTTGTAGCGCTACTTTCCTTAGGGACACTTTCTGCAGACCAATTTCTCATAGAGTCAACACTGTGTGGACTATTATTTTCCATTGTATCACTCTCCATAGGGCTACTTAATTCTGTATAGTCATGTTTGATACCATCTCTTTCAGAACTGCTAATTCTTCTTTGACCATCAAAATCTAGTTCATGGTCATCTGTTGATGATGGCTGACCATTCACTTCAGTGCTGTCTGGGTCTTGTTTCAAGTTAAGAAATTGTGTCACATGGCTATCAGTTAAAACTGCCTCTGGTGTTTCTCCAACAACTTCAGGCTGTGATGGCAGTGTTTCAATCTTTTCAAGCTCTTTCTAAAATGGAAAATGGCATATGAATACAGTATATGTTGATACAAAACACAATCATGTAAAGATGCTACAATTATGGTGTTACTCATTTGCTGTAACAAAAAGTACACTGTATACCATACCATTTGCTTTAGTCTTTCTGTCTCAAAAACTGCTGACCAAAATACAGCTTTTACATTGATATTCTTGAAATAGGTAGCCCAAGTCTCTCTAAAGTAAATTTTCTGAACAATTAGAAAACAGGGTGTGGCCAATGGGTGTTGCTTTGGGTACAGCTTATGCTATATCCTTGTATGTTTAGGTGATAGGTTGCATACCTTTGTTTCTGGGTAAGAAAATCAGCTTTATTAATCAACAAGACATTCACTTTATGACTGTTGACTTCCGTCACATAGCTTTCTAAATCTTCACAACGAAACAGTGATGGGTTTCTGGCATCAACAATTTGCACCACAACATCGCTGTATAAATTAAATAATACATGAATACCACACACAAGTTTGTTTCTTATTTAATGAAAATAACAATACCTTCTTTCAATAACTCTCCACAGCTGTCTCCAAAATTCAAGATTTCTTTCAAAAGGTGTAAGAATTAGATCATCTTTTTCTTGCAATCTACAAACGGCATGTGTGTGTTACCACTTAGAAATATCTATATCTATATAACAACAAGTTTATTCATAAAATAATTCAAAAATCAGAACATACTCAGCTAAGGACCTTCTCCACGCCAAGAAATTGTCTTTCTCCAGTTGGTCTAGTTGTTCAGGAGTTGTCCTTTCGTCCCATTTAGGTCTAAAAAGATACTCAACCCATTAAGTTACATTGCACCCCAATGCATTCAATTTTACCATTTTACTCTGTCTAACACCAGATGACTTTTCTAGTCAAGGGGAGAGCACTGGTGCTCAATCTGTCTATGTGTCTACTTAACCCATTAAACCCCAATGTGCCCTACTTTATTATTTTACTCTGTCTAATGCCAGATGATGTTACTTGTCAAAGGGAGAGTCTTGTGCTTTAATGGGTTAACCCATTGAGTGGAAATGTACCCTGATGCACCCTATTTTATTATTTTACTCTGTCTAACACCAGACGATTTTACTTGTCAAGGGGAGAGCGCTGGTGCTTAGTGGGTTAACTGGCCTATCTATCCATGTGTCTAGTTAATCCATTGTGTTGCATTGTCCCCTACTTTATTATTTTACTCTGTCTAATGCCAGACAATTCTCTCATCATTGGAGAGTCTTGTGCTTTAATAGGTTAATCTATGTACCTTCTTGGAATCTGCAAGAACTGTCTGTGTTGATCTTGTACTTCTTGTATTCGCTGTTCTTCTTTCCTGGACGGCAAACCCCCACTGTGATCTGCATTGCATATACTTATATTCAGCTTTTCTAAAGAAAGAAACTATTAGTTTGATACAGCAGGGTCAGATTAAGGGACAAATATTGGTATATATCTAGACAGTTCCACAGGTGGCTCCATGCTCATCTGAAAGATATGGTTCAACACAATTATACCTGCAACAAATTCTGTGCCAGCCAACTTGGCTGTTGCCAGAAACTCATCCAAAGTACTTTGCTCTGTCACAGACTTTGTATTTAATTCTTCACCATCATTTAGCTCACTGGTATGTAACTATAAAAATAAATGAACACATTGTTGTACACACTTACACTAGCCCGGAATAGATTGATACTAAAGACAATGACATTTGGAGGTCCTTCATTATAGCGTATCACGCCGTTGACAGAGTGAGCATGTATAAATAACACCAACACACACAAATATCATATCCTTAGAATACACTGATATTGAAGGAACTAGACTCAGGAACTGATGAAATATCATCAACTTGAACCGACTTGACCACATAGCTCAATTGGCAGAGCATTGGACTAGCTAGTATCCCAAAGGTCGCGGGTTCGATTCCCACCGTGGCCAAGCAAACTTTTCAGCTTGCCTGGTCTGGATGCACACTCAGAGTAACATCACAAACATCATATTCACCTGAGTACATAACACCAACACACACAAATATCAAAGTTTTTATCGATCTATCTATCTAGTATAACTGCTGGAAGTGGAAGGCTTTGAACACTCCAAATGTCAACATGTTTTGAAATTTGCAGGCTAGTAATTTTCAAGTATCAATAAAGCCCTGGGCAAACTAGTCAACATTGTTGCGGAAACATTTGTGACTCTCGATGTTTCCATGTTTGCCCACCCGTGGAAACATTGTTGCAGAAACAAAATTTGCTTCCTGGGAAGCAAAAATGTTTCCTAGCGAATTCAGAAACATTTGATGTTTCTCACTAATGTTTCCTAGTGTTTGCCCACTCTGGGAAACATGGCGAAACATTGGTAGGAAACAATGTTTCCGCAACAATGTTTCCTAGTTTGCTCAGGGCTTAACAGTGGTTTCTTATAACTACACTGTGAGGCCATATAAAATAAATTCCTTGATTCTCATCACCGTCCGACGATATTTTGGTTTCCGCGTTGATATATTTTTGTATTTTGTTATAAAATATAAATTTACCGCCCGACCGAGCATCTTCAGAGATTTAGTTATTTTTATATTTTATATTGGAATTTTTGCGATATAAAATTGTTTTACCGTTAATATTGCAACATGTTAAGGGATGCTTGGAATACTGAAGGAAAAAATGGGCTTATAGCCTTATTACAACGATTTGTGTGGACCCTTATGCATGTTCATTAGCACATGTGCAATTATCCACTTATACAGCGTTCTTCTATAATATATTTAAGGGCAAATATAAAAAGACCTCCCTCTCCAATTTTTTAAATTTTAAACTTTTTTTTTATATTTTGAAATAAAATATAAAATATAAACCTCCCGCCTCCTGGGAGTTTTTAAAATTTAGCGATGAGAATCAAGGAATTTATTTTATATGGCCTGATCTATGCAGAACCCCAAAATTTATAAAATTCACACTAAAGCCAGTTCTCCACTAGGCAAATTTTTTCGCGCGACGCAAAGCGAAAAACAAATCTTGGCAATGTGATTGGTCAGCAAAAACAATTCGCCACAAAAATGTTGGATCAGTTCCTACTTTATTACTGTTCGTGCGAACAAATTCGCCTAGTGGAGAATGGGCTTAAGGCCATGAAAAAAATATCCCAGTTTATCATCAGCACTCACATCCATTTTTCGTGCCCCCAGGAAAGTCCCTTTTTCCTAAATTTACACAAACAAACCAGCGAAAAATAACAAATTGATAAACAAAAAGTAAGTTTTAGGCTTTATCCTTTCTCCTTGTTTAACAAAATCGATTTAAATTGTTACGTTTTTCTACCTGGCACTAAGTAATGATGATAAATTATTGTTAATAATTTTTTATTTTTTGTGCGTTTTTTCCTTCTTTTATTTCAAATACAAGTATACTTAGCATAAATTTTAGAGCAAATTTAAATGCTCAGAATGCAGGAAATGGCATTTCAGGGCTTCAAATTTCAAAAATTTTCTGGGGAAATATGCCCCCAGACCCTGTGGCTGTCAGCCATTCCTATCCTCCTCTAATATATTATCTCACAGAAAGGTCCCCCCCCCCTCACACGGGAAAATCTTTAAAAAAGGCCCAGACCAGTATACCAAAAAAACTATTAAATGTCTGTTTACATATTAAATTTATACTTCTGACAACACCACATGTTGTTCGATCACCAGCGCCATAGCAACCGGGGGGGGGGGCTGCAGACCCCACAACAATTTGCTAATAATTATTCATTTTTCAAAATCATGCAGACGTTTATCATTTAATTCATGACAAACTGCAAAGAATGAAGATATTACCCATACTTTCCTGCAACTTATCCAATATAAAGTTTAGTACTACAGAATTGTAAATTTCGCTGTTTTCTGACCATCAGAATTCTGTCAAATCTTCCCCAAAGTCCAGGAAATGGCATTTCAGAGACTCTAAATTTAAAAATTTCCTCGGATCTTCGGTCCTCGCTTTCAGCCCCCCCCCCAATCGAAAAGAGCTTCCTACGGCCCTGATTACACATGCAATAGTGTAATCAGGCACAAATTAAACTATATATATCAATTTATAATGTAATCCACAGCAATCAGATGGACAAAAAAATTGTTTGCAGAAGGAAGCAGGCGCAAAAAAATTGTTTGCAACGACAACAGCACCAAAAAAAATTGTTTGCGTTGACGAAATGTCCATCCCCCCCCCCTCCAAAAAAATAATGGTCCGTCCCTAAGGGAGGTGGGGGAGGGGAACCCCTTGTCTTGTTTGGGAATTGGTATTAAAACAAAATTTTCATCCTTACCTTCAATTTTAACTCATTTCAAAGAAACGATAAGAAATCATTATAACAATTAATTCAAGACATTACCGTCACTTTTACCATTTAATACTGTAGATTTGTATTAATATTCTATTTTTTTATAGAGTAAATTACTTGTAAATTGTAACACATACCCAACTTTCCTTGCCTTTTCCCAGATTTCCTCCTTTACTTCTATGTTTTAATACAGCCCTACCAACACTAGTTTTACCTTTCTTACCCATTTTACACAAATTACCTCTTGAAAATAATAAATTATCACGTTTTGTCCGCCATGTTGTACAGAACAGACTTCGCGTTTCCCACGCGAGAGTGCGCGAATTCCACTCTGCCGTCGTTTGCACCCAGCGATGAACAGTAGTTTTGGAGCGATGAACAGTAGTTTTGGCAATAGTTTTGGCATAGAGGGTTTTGGTAGTTTCAATTTTGCATACGTGGGTTTCACCAAGCCAGTATTATTGTGCAGCAGACGGTAGTCATTACAAGTGTTAACATTTCTGAAATTGGCTATAATCTGTAAAACCTCAAAACGAGGCCATTTTATTAATTCGGTTAGGGTTGCGGTCAGAGTAGGGGTAGGGTTAGTTGGTTTGCTGGATGGAAAATAGTGCTAACTAATATACAGTGTGTATAAAAAAATAATGAACCCTTTCAAATTCGCTGTAACGTATTGTAGTAAAAAAGAAATACAGTATTTCTTTTAAATTTTTATACGCACTGTAGTGCTAATGGGGCTTTGGTTGTTTTAAAACAGCGTTAAATCAGGATTCATGTAATTTACATCAAAAGTACAATTACATCTTTGTTTTAACTCAGCCAAGCGTTCAACACTCCCTCGTGACTCCTGATTATATAAGCACCAATGCACCACAGCAAAGAAATTTGAACCACATACTATATTTCATCATATTTCACCAAGCATGGAAGGCGACCAACGTTTCACACAACCTCACCAAGAACGACCAACATTACGGGGAATATACTTCACCGTTCTTCGTCCGAGTTTGGCAGAGTTCTGGGGTGTATTCTTTTTAACTTTCGGTTTATATTCGTCTTCTGCATTATTGGAAGCTGAGAAACCACCACAGCCACAGCCTGGCGGGGACCCCGGCGGCTTTGTCGGAACGATAGCTGTTGTATTTTTATATATCGGAATTTATTCTATAACCAGATCGATCAGGTAGGAGTACGAATCATTGTTCAAAATTGTACATATTAACGATATTGCAATTTCTACTTCAAGTGCTTTTGAATTCATCAAGTACAAAGTACGAGTAAATATTTGAACAGCCTTATTGATAGGATGGTTGAACACCAATACCACACATTATAAATACCTAACTACCATCTAAAGCCAGGCAAGTTTACAAGGTTGTCAGTACAAAAGCTTGCACGCTTATAAATTAATATGGCGGTAAATAATTCAGACAGTCAGATGAACTTAGATCGGTTTATGATAAGATATTGGCATATAATTGCGAGGTATTCCTAAGTAAATGCATAGTATAAACACATATCACTTCGTCAACTGTATTCACAGGTATTCGGAAACTTATAGAATATAGAAGTCTTGAATGATTATCATTGGAAATATTATGTGTTCGCAGGGCCGCCGAGAGCTTTCCGGGGGTCCGGGGCAAATTTGTTTCGTTTAGGTCCCAATTTTTCCGGAAAACTTTTTTCCGGACAATAACATTCCCCCCCGTCAGGAAAAAATTTTCCGGACAAGAACGTTTTCCTTGCTTTCGCGGCACTTTCCCCAACTTTTTCCATACCAAATTTCGGTACTTTGTCCGAAAAACAGAAATATTTCGCCCTAAAAACAGAAATATTCGCCCCCAAAAAAGACTGGGGCCCCACAAAAAATTACTAGGGCTTGGGGCCCGGGGCAATTTGCCCCCCTGCCCCCCTCTCGGCGGGCCTGTGTGTTCGGCTTGCAACTGTTGCTAATATCTTAGTTACGACCTTTTAGTTGTTCAATTTCCACACGGGTTAAAAATGAATCTACTTTTGATTTATTTGAAGTGGTGGCCATCTTAACCCAATCATCACACTGATTCAAATGGGGAGAAAAGCGACCTTTCCTTTGGTGGGTGTGTGTTACCTTGGTGCTCATCTTCTGGGAGCAGTACTGGGTGCACTCAGTGTCGAGGTAAGGGGGGGGGTCACTCTCAAAATGGGATAGGGATGCATAGTGTGAGTTAAACTACGTCCATTTGTTATCTGACCACGCCTAATTTCTTTTGTTCATCCAGTTCAAAAGGTTTTCTCATATCTGCAACCTCTAAGAGTCCTCCATAATCTTTTTCATTATTTAGGCTATTACTGAAGTTTCACCAGCGTCTCAGAGTTTAAAGCCATTTTTTGGAACTGGTCATGCTATATTCGGTGAGATGATTGGGACGGCAATAGTGATCCTGGCGTATCTTACTTTGGCCAATCAGAGTAAAGGAAATACGGCCATCTTGGGAATAGGTTTTGGTTATGCTGGTGCTCTACTTGCCGTGTAAGTGAATGGTGGAAAATTATGATGTTTGTGATATACTGCTGTCTTCTGTTTTTGTATTGTGTTTTGTTTTGTAAATATCGAAGTGCTATCTGTCTCACGTAGTTTAGACACAAACCACTGCAGCTTATGTACTATTTAAAACATGCGAGTGCAAACACGACTATAATAGACGCCGTCTCATTAGTATTCGTTATATAAAGAAGACTAATTAGGATGGACTTTTATACAAAAAATACTAATGAAGATGAGTTTTATCAGGTACCGTATAAAGCCTCCTCACGTGACATATGATGGTTGACATAATTTGCCAATAAGCTTATGAATAAATGAGTGTTTGAATGTAGAATAAATACTAGCTATACTTGACTTCCACGTTTCAGATATTAGAGAGGTTCAGATTCGACTACCGCTACCTGTGACTTAATACGCATCTGATTGGTTAATCGGGTAGACTAAATGCCTCTGATTGGTTAATCGGGTAGAGTAAATGCCTCTGATTGGTTAATCGGGTAGACTAAATGCCTCTGATTGGTTAATCGGGTAGAGTAAATGCCTCTGATTGGTTAATCGGGTAGAGTAAATGCCTATGATTGGTTAATCGGGTAGAGTAAATGCCTCTGATTGGTTAATCGGGTGGAGTAAATGCCTCTGATTGGTTAATCGGGTGGACTAAATGCCTCTGATTGGTTAATGATAGCAGTAGAGGAAGTCAAAATCTAAATCTCTCTATTTTACAGTCGCTGTTGGTTCACACTTACCAACGTTGTATTTCTTCAGGCATAGCGCTGCATCAGGCTACCTAAATCCAGTCCTAAACTTTGGCATCGCAGTGGCGTCTGGGACATGGACTAAACATTATGTCTACTGGGTTGGAACAGCATTGGGTGGAATAATTGCAACAATACTTCATGGCCTGATCTTCGCCTCTGATGACCAACTGTGGATTAAATCACGCAATTATGTACCAGAAAGAATTGCGTGATCAAGTTATTTGATAGGATTAGCCTATTGGATTAGACTGAACAAGACTACCTGTTTGAACTTTTTAGATCCAATTGTGTGATAGGGCAGAGTACAAGAACTTACTACTCTATGTGACATCGCTTTGATATGGCGTGGAAATGTATTTTGTTTTATCATGTTGTATTAGAAATAAAATTTATCTCCTATCATGTTGTTTTGATTGTAGCTTCATTGTACGTACTATTTAAAACACGAGTAGGAGTGTTTTATCAGATATAAAACGCGAGGCGCAGCCGAGCGTTTTATATCCGATAAAACACGAGACTTGAACCTACGTAATTGAATGAAGCACAAACTGTTTCATATGGCTCACTTTATGATATTTCAATAAATAATATATACATGTTATATATTACACTTTTAAAAATAAATTAAAATAAATTACTATTCATTAAAAAAATTATAAGCTTTCCTATTTTATAAAAAGGCATGAATATTAATTAACATTTAGCGGAATAGCATGCATATCATCCAATTATAGTACAGTGCTATTGCAATGCAAAGTCATTTGTTCAAATGCAGATCATTTGGATAAGTTCTTTTCAGAGTTGGGCTTACTAAGGAAGGAGAGAAGGGACCTCAAGTGTCTGAGTACCTTTGCATCCAATGAAATCCACTACACTACACCATCAAACGCTCACGTTACCACCAGTGTTCCTGAAGGAAAAAACACTTTGTATCCCATGAGAACAACACTTACCCCAACAAAGTCCTACAATGTCGTACGTTACCACCAGTGTCCCTGAGGCAGTGAGACAATTTGTATCCCACGAGATCCACACTTTCTCCGCCAGTGCGACAATAATCTATTATGAGTACCTTTTCGTCCCATAAGATCCACACATACTCCACCATGTCCTACGTTACCACAATCTGAGTGACTTTCCATCCCATGAGATTCACACTTTCTTCACGATGTCCTACGTTACCACCAGTGTCCCCGAAGGCGGTGAAACAATGAATGATGCATCCAGTGAATTGACAGATTTATCTGGCGTTCTGTATGCTGGGGTTATTGAGGTCTGCGGTGAGTAGTCTGTGCTGTTGAGTGATTCATGTAAGCGGATTCTATTGAGAGCATCGTACAGTGATTGATTGTTTACAGCACTGTTCAGTGGACTTCGTGATTGATTCTGAAAATAAAGAGATAAATGATTTGGTAGCCTGCTTGCAGCCCGAAATTTTGGAAATCACGGTCTGCTAAACTGGAAGCGTAATCGTGTTCTGGGACGTTTCATTACCAGGAAACAAAAAGCAATGTACCTGAATTTCTCTTTAAATACAAATTTGTTTGGGAGATTAGGCGCCTTCAGATCAGTGTAATTAATTACTTTTATTGTATTATATTGTAGACCAGGGCCAATGCAACGATCTATATGCACTCGGAGTGGAACTAAATCAAGGTATTAATTCCCTCTACTTACCTCAGGTTTTTCAAGAATTCTATTCAGTCTTTCCAAATGTTCATTCTGTCTCATGACGATGTTAACTTTATCTCTCAACTCCAAGTTTTCTTTCTCCATCACAGACAATCTTGTCTCAGCCTCGCGGAGGTTTCTCAAATGTTCCCGGATGATTTCTTCGCTTTCTGTTAACCTGAAACAAGATTACTCCTGTAAATATCAACGACAACGTACAACTTGGAAAATGTATATAGTTAAAATACTCATTAATAATGCATAAACCTTGTGGAAAATCATGTCAGCCATAATATGTCACGTGGAGTGACTTTATATCTGATAAAACTCATCTTCATTAGTATTCTTTATATAATTGTTCATCCTAATTAGTATGATTATATAATTGTTCATCCTAATTAGTATGATTATATAATTGTTCATCCTAATTAGTATGATTATATAATTGTTCATCCTAATTAGTATTCTTTTGTAGTCGTATTTTAAGCTATTCAAAACACTCGTTGTTTCGTTGCCTTACCTCGTTAAAAGATCTTGTTTCTCTTCCACCAGTTGCTTTCTGACGCCATCAGTTGTTTGTTTCCATTCTTCTTCCTTCTGGATTTTCTTACGAGACAACTCGAGAGTGTTCTGAAGTGACAACATGGCCGCGTTCGCCGTTCTCTTTTCTCGCTCAAATTTCTCTCTGAAATACACAAACAAGAACAATAGATAATGACGTCACAAGGCTTGATGCCCGCAAGGAATGCTGGTCTTAGTAGTCATCGTCCGGGAAAATTTCGATACTGGTCATTTTGAATTGTTTAATTTTTCCGGGCGATGACTATTAAGACCAGCATTCCTTGCGGGCATGATGCCTTGTGACGACATTATGCATAAGGTCTATTGCACGAAATTTTCAAAACAATGAAAAGATAATGGAACATTAAGATCACAGAATCATGACTGGCTGACACCAGTGGCGAAGACAGCCCGAACATTTGGTCATGCTATGCAAATATTAAATCATTATCATTATTCATTTCTTTAGAAATTGATTGTTTTCACGGTCTATAAACACGGAAATATTTGCATAGCATGATCAAATTGTCGGGCTGGCTTCGCCACTGACTGACACATTTGTCATCCTAAGGCAATTCTATTAGTAGACAAATCAAACTTACTTCAAAGATTGTATTTTATGTATCGCCTTCATCTTCCTCCTCTCACACTTGCTCTCCAGATACTCAATTCTTTCAGCAGCCACAACTAGATCAACTTGAAGCTGGTCGTTTGCATGACGGATTTCGTTCAATTTCTCTACCACAGTTTTACCTTCATCTTCAACCATTTTATGCTAAAAACAGCATCGATACACAAAAGTAAATTGAACCGCGAGGAACATACATCACTAACAATCACTACCAGCACCCCAAGCTCTCTCTCATTAATAATTCATGAGAAAACACACAAGAAATCATGACCGTGAAGGAGTTTGTATATCTGATGACATGGCACAGAATAAAGACTATACAAAAGCCCGACGTCTTGGTCACAGAATACTATACAGAAGTCCATCTCCATTGTTTTTTGCGTAAGCGTCATTCGTCATGATTCGTCACTCAGCAAGTACCGTAAACAGAAGCAGTCACCCCCGTGGACGTGCGCCATTTCTAGTATTTCCAGGGGGGGACTGCTTCTGTTTACGGTACTTGCTGAGTGACGAATCATGACGAATAGAGCTTACGCTAAAAACAATGGAGATGGACTTCTGTGCAGTATTCTGTGTCTTGATTTTTCTTATGATTTTGGGTAACCGTAATTCGTCATCAAAATGCTGACGCCATGGTTTCTAGCCAGTAAGTTTATGAGAGGCTTCACCCCCCTGATAGTATTCAAAATGGCGGACGTCCAGGGGGGATGCCTCTCATAAGCGCACTGGGTAAGACCTGGCAGCGTTTACGCTTTTTCGGCTCAGTCGACCTTCTGTGTGTCTTTATTCTGTGGCCATGGATCCAAGGATAGTTGAAAAATATCGACAGTGTTTTTATGATCCATGCTCATACAAAACCCCGTTGATTTTAGGTAAATCACCAAATATTTTTCATGACTATTGAAGAATAAACAAACTTTCACACTAACTCGCTGGAAATACTATACATGTTAAATTTCTTACATCGTCGGAAACTTTGCGTAGTTTGTTCTGCAGTACTTCTACTTTATGTTCATAATCTTTGACAATTTTCTGAAGTTCATCAATTTGGTCGTAGGCCTGATTTTCTCTGCCATGAAGCATGTCCACTTGTCGTTTCAGCTCATCGATGGTAAGACGATGTAGAGATCTAATATGGAAGCAGTGTAAAAATAATTATCAGAACATTTTCTTTTCATCCAACAGTACGATCACCCGTCATTCCTTTATATAAAGAACACTGAAACTAAAGCCCTGGGCAAACTAGGAAACATTGTTGTGGAAACATTTGTGATTCTCGATGTTTGCTCAAATGTTTCCCTGTTTGCCCACCCGTGGAAACATTGTTGCGGAAACAAAATTTGCTTCCCGAGAAGCAAAAATGTTTCCTAGCAAATTCAGAAACATTTTATATTTCCCTATGTTTCTCACTAATGTTTCCTAGTGTTTGCCCACTCTTGGAAACATGGCGAAACATTGGTAGGAAACAATGTTTCCTAGTTTGCCCAGGGCTTAACTCTATTTACACTAGATTGCTCTATCAGTTCTGGACTGTTCTCCCTGGAGGTCCAGTCACAGCTATCCCTTATTGTCCATGGCTTACCACAGAAGAAACCTAAACTAAACTATAAGTTCTAAAGTGCATTTCTAGAGCTCCGGTAAAGATCATCTCTTTTCTCTAACCTGTTCTGTTCCTCGTCATCAAGTTGTGATTTCAATGTAAAACTTTCCTCTCTCGTCATCTCCAGTTCAGCTTTCATTTGATACGCTTCACCAAGATCTTTCTGACTTCTTTCTAGATCTTGTTGTACGTTCTCTTTTTCTCGTTGCATCGACATCAACTGAAAGGAAGGTGCGAGGTGTTTATTGATTTCGTGTTGTTACAAGAGTAAAAGCAAAGTGCTATCACCTTCTTTGAAGATTTCAAAGACTACCTTCAACTCGGCTGTTTCGGCTCTTTGTTCTGCAGTATCCCTGGCAACCATCAAGCTGACGACATCAGCATCTTTCTTCTGTAAACTATCTTCAGTTAACTGGTACATCTGAGATTTCTGAAAGACATGATGTGATAGTACCTTCGTAAGAATTGAGGATTATGATATGCAACTAACGTGATTTATCAGTTCCGCCTAAACTGGCTTCTCTTTCAAGAGCGGTCCAGTAAGGGCTATCACTTATCGGATCAATGTTTACTGAAGGAGGAATTTGAAATAGCGCGAGAAATCTGCGGTGTTTGGTACAGTGTAGAGTCAAACTGGAAGCACTCTTCTCACAGGCGACGGAGGGGACATTCTAATCAGACAATTGTATATTGCAGGAATCAACTTCAAAATCTGGTAACAAAGATGAAAGCAAATGATAAAACGACTGTACCATCAAACCCTCTAGTACTACATGTGGCAAAACAACTAGTGCTTCATCTCACCCTCTCTAGTTCTCTCTCTAACTGTCCTTTATCTGCTTCGATCGTAGCCAACCGCTCCATGAGGGATTTAGTTTGTCCCCAGGCCTTTGCCAGCTCGCTTTCTAAAGTACTGTTTTTGTTCTCCAGTGTTTGACGAAGACGACTTTCAAACTCGAGTGCCGTACTGGCCTTGGTTCCAGTCCTACTCGTCGCGTTGAACTCACTTCGCAGATGACCAAGTTCCTGCAAGTCAAATATACGTTTACACACAAACAAACAGAGACACAAACAGACAAACAAACAGACAAACAAACAGACAAACAAACAGACAAACAAACAGACAAACAGACAAACAAACAAACAAACAAACAAACAAACAAACAAACAAACAAACAAACAAACAAACAAACAAACAAACAAACAAACAATGTTAGCAGGGTTGGTTGGGTAAGCCACTGACCCTGATATTCCCCGATGTATCGTATCTGTACTCCGTGATCAGGCGACACGAGTCATAAACCACCTTTACCCTCGAGTCGATCAGGTTGAACTGCCGGCTCTCAGATGAAGTAAAGATGATTAGCACCTACTTTAGTGATGACTGGCCTTCCAGTTACTCAATCCAGCTTTATAACCAGATCAGTAGACATAAGTCTCCTACATACCTCTTCTCGTTGTCTCAATAAAGAACTGAAATCTTTGCTCTCCTTCACCGCTTGTTCAAGATGACTTGCTAACTTGTGTCTTTCAACTGCATACGTTTCACGTTCATGTTGCATTTCTGTGCGCAGCTGTGTAATCAGTGAATCATATTTCGACTAAAACAGAGATGAATCTAAAGTTAGTTCTCCAGCGAATGACATTCGAGGGGAAATGTTAAACAGCTGTGGGAAATTCGTTTGAATGAATATTTGCTGTTGAAAATTTGAAAGAAACCTTAACACCCATGTCCCAGTATGGGCGCAACAACATATGGTTGACAGACATTATTCCTTGAATTTAAAACCATGGTCAGCTAGAACACTATATGTTTATGCACATGCAGATTTAGCACAAAAATACTCCGTTGGTCTGAAAGAAATTTTGTCTCCAGGTTGTGCTCCCAGGAATAAAAATATTTTTTCCTACCCTGGATCATTCTTATACCATCAACTAAACCAAGCTTACTTACTGGTAGCAGACTAGCAGTATCAGGGGATCCCCCCCCCCACCTACCCCAGCGCAGCTACTCAAGCTAGGAGTTTGTGTTTGCTCTTGTTACATGCAAGACTACAAAACGTAAATACAGTACAGTGTAAAGTATAGTGTTTAATACCTGACTTTCCAACGCGGCATCGTGTTGTTTCAATAATTTCTCAGATAAAACCCTCAGTTCTTCACGTAAAGTCTCACACTCCTGTCTCATATTGCTCAGAGAACCCACACTCATGTCAAGTCTCTGGTTCGTATCTGTAAAGTAAGGAAACATAAGAACATTGTACATACCTTCAAGATCGATTTACACGACACAACTTTTGCCTTAAACTATCGCATGCAACCTGCTTACAACTTGAGTTGTATTGTGTATATCAAGCACACAACTCACTTACGTTGTCGTAGGTGAGTTGTGTGTTTGATTCACACAGTACAACTCAAGTTGTAAGCAGGTTGCATGCGACAGTTTTAGGCAAAAGTTGTGTGTGTAAATCGGCCGTTATGAAATTGTGATATCCAGTATTCATTCTGAAAGTCCCTGTGACCAGTTCATCTCTGGTTCAGCGTTCTAATCACAGAGCCATGACACTTACAGTATAAGATAAGCTTTGCAAATACGATTCAATGTGCGTTATATACCTATACTGGTCAGTTGTCAGAGAGCTGCTGGTACATTAAAGGAGAATTTCCACTTACAGAGAAATATTTCGTCGTCGAAATACTTCGCTTGATTTCTTTTGATTTCTGACCATTCGAATAAATCAGTTCTACTTGAGCGGTTACAATTCAAAAAATTGAGCGGAAAAATTTCGATAGCAAAATTTTTGACAGTGAAATTTTTCTTGGAAGTGGAAATTCAGCAAATGTCCAAGCTTACAGCCCTGGGCAAACTAGGAAACATTGTTGCGGAAACATTGTTTCCTACCAATGTTTCGCCATGTTTCCAAGAGTGGACAAACACTAGGAAACATTAGTGAGAAACATAGGGAAACACCAAATGTTTCTGAATTCGCTAGGAAACATTTTTGCTTCTCGGGAAGCAAATTTTGTTTCCGAAACAATGTTTCCACGGGTGGGCAAACAGGGAAACATTTGTGGAAACATCACGAATCACAAATGTTTCCACAACAATGTTTCCTAATTTGCCCAGGGCTTAAAGCAAGAGCTTTGGTTTCATATACACGTGACGTTTTACTAAATGAAGTATCTACCTGTGTTGCGATGTCTTTCATAAGAAACTACGCCTTCTTGTTCAGCCAGCTTTCGCTCTGTTTGTTGAAGCTGTTTTAAATTAAACACAGTATATTGAGCATAGGATTTGAAATTTGTTCACTCGCTATTCTGTTAAATGAATGCAACCCTCGAACAAATTAAATTCACGATAAACATTATTTGTCTCCTACTGTACCTTCTCATGAATCTCAGAGACTTTTCGTTCTTGCGATAGAACAATCGATTGTAGGGAAGACTTCTCTTGTTCTAACTGATCAATTCGCAATTTCTGACTCTCCACGTCCACTTTCTAAACAAGGCAAATAATAGACATAACAATGCGAATTATTTTGTGTGAGAAATCTTGCTTCGTAAAGCGAGCTCGCAAGAATTTGGAGGACTATGTACGGTGTCTGAAGAAGGAGTGTCACTGGAGCAGTAGTTTGTCCATACATGCGCCTCCCATTAGTGCTGTGCAAACTCCGGGTTTTTCACCTCCGGCTCTAGCTCCGGCTAAAAAGAGCCGGCAAAACACCGACCCTGAAAACCCCCAGCGTAAAAACAACCGACCCTGAAAGAACAGCTGCACTATGCCATCTACATTCCAGATTTCAACACCCACGATTGATTAAAATATCGTGTAAAACCTTGCCTTACCTGTTTCTTTCCTTGCTCAATACATCTATTCAGTTCAGCGACGAGTTCATTGCGAGTTTTCTCCAAGCTTTCCACCTGTCCGCTTGTCTCTTGTTCCCTAGCAACGCTGGCTGATAACGAAGCATTCAGGTCCTGATTTGAATTAAACAAACGCGTATTAGGAAGACGGAGACAAGAGATAAGCGAGGAAGGAAAGGTTTCGTATCTAACAATAGGAAGATCTAGCAAATACAATGAAATGGACAACTTGCATGTTAGACTAAATTTTAATCTAAGTAAAGAGAAGGGAATCCAACACAACAGTTAAAAAGAACATAATGAAATTAGTAAAACTGCAAAACTTGGTTGCGAAATGTTGTAAAATACGGAAAATATAGCCTTGCGAAGTTTGCACATTTTCAGTATATTTGTATTACGTGCGGAAATTGTTACCATTTTCGGCTCAAAAATGTTACCTCAAAAATGGTAACAATTTCCGCATGTAATACAAACATACTGAAAATATGCAAACTTCGCAAGGCTATATTTTCTGTATTTTACAACATTTCATAACCAAATTTTGCAATTTTACTAATTTTAATAAGTTCTTTACATTTACTTTTTTTTGCCTAAATCAAAAATTAGTCTAACATACAAGTTGTCTATTGTGCATGGCCCAGGGGATATATTTGGTAAAGTCGTTCCAGACACACTCACGGTCACTATCGCCGCTCTAGTGGTAATCTTAGGAAGTGAAGCACATACAGAGTGGTTAGCACAGGTATATGTAATACCTTTCGTGATTTCGTCTCAGCGATCACGGTTTGATTTCTGCAATATGCATTGTCTGATTAAAATTTCACTTCACTCACATATGAAAAGGTTTTTCCGATTCTCTGGTTTTCAGTGGGACTGAAGCAATACGAATATCCCTAAATGGACCTCTAGGGAGAACAGTTTAAGAGTGATCGATAATCTAGTACCGATGTAATAGTTTGATTTATTTTAGTTTAAGGAACAATTCTGTATATATGTAAGACCTGCTTCAGTTCCGAGATCTGAGCACGGAGTGAAGTGACTTCTTGCGAAGTTGATTCATGTTTTCCCGCGTCTTCGTTATATTTTTCATTCAACTGTTCCGCTTCTTGTTTGATACGTAGAATGACCTGTAACGAGAACAATCTTCCCATTTGTACACAACAGATAATAGACGAGAAATTTTCCTGAAAGTTACTTATTTCAAGGAGGTTGTTTTGTTCAACATGCTAAAGGTCCCTATATATAGACCTTTCCCCTTTTGAGTGAAATTTTGATCTAGACAAGTCTGGACAAAAATGTCATGACAGCTTGAAAGAGCATCACAAAATTAGTAATATTCCAAAGTTTCGTTGCGAAATGTTGTAAAATGCGGATAATATAGCCCTGCGAAGTTTGCCGTTTTTCAGTCATTTTGTATTACAAACGGGAAATTGGTAATCAGATGATCAAACTGATTACCAATTTCCCATTTGTAATGCAAAATGACTGAAAAACGGCAAACTTCGCAAGGCTATATTATCCGCATTTTACAACATTTGGCAACGAAACTTCGGAATATTACTAATTTTGTGATGCTCTTTCAAGCTGTGATGAAATTTTTGTCCAGGCATATCTAGATCAAAATTTCACTCATAAGGGGAAAGGTCTATTGGCTGCGGGGAACGCATTCTAAAGTTTTCTCTGGAACGCATTCTAAAGTTTTCTCTGGAACATGTTCGGAATGATGTGGAACACATATGTGGATAAGATCTTGTCCGAAATACCTTAGACAAATATGAATGTTTCACGGGAGAATAAACAATGTCTTATACAACAGTTCACCCTTCAAACGCATTGGTCAATGGTCCCTTAATAGTAGCGGTAGTCCAATCTGAACCTCTCTGATGTAAACGACGGTGCCATACCTCATCATACTCATCTTTAGTTCTTGTCAGTTCATTACGAAGGTCGATCGCCTCCGAAGTTGTGAGAGAAAGTTGTTGTTGTAATTGGTTCATCTAAAACATCAATAGTAAGTTAGCCTCTTAGACTATGCGAGGGCAGCGTGGCCCCAAGACTCTCTAGTGTCTGCAGCCAAGATTTTAGAATACCACAAACGTAGACTAACCTCATTTTTCAATTCATTCTCAATTTTCACCGATTGTTGTTCTTTCTCATTGATGGTTTTCTCGCGTTCAGCCAATTGAAGAGTCAGTTGATCAATGATATTTCGCTGTTCAACGGTAGTTTCATTTGCAGCTTCCAGTTCTAATGTTAGTTTCTCCTTAGACTCAGTAACTTCACGAATTTGGGTTAGGAATCTAGATAATGTGAGGATGTATTAAATGTTGCTGGAAGACGCAGGTATTTGAGCACAATGCAAAGTTTTAGTTCTGGCAAGATGAGTTCTGAACTAAATCTACACGGCCAAAGAAAAATACGATTAAAAACGTAAACGAAGAACACTGTTATATGGGGATAGGGGGATTGAAGGTTTCCAACGCCATCTTGAATCTATTATTTTTACCACTGTTTTTGCACCCCTTGCAAATTTACCTATGGGGAATTCCATTGTGTTTGCATCCCTTGCACTATTGTGTTTCATTATGGCGTTGGAAACCTTGAATCTTCCTATTAAAACCGCGATGTACAGTACCTTTCAACAGACGATTGTTCTTGAGATAGATTCTTGTCCTACAACAAAACATACAACATTACATTAATTCTATTCACTTCCTGTTCATGTGAAAAGTGTGCAGGGCTACACTAACCTTCTCCATATATACTTGTTGTAAGTTTGAAAGATCACGTTCTGCTTGTTGTAACCTGTTGTCACTATGCTTCTTCTCCGTCTCCAGTTTGCCTAACTTGATCTGGAAAGAAGAGAAATATTGTGAGGTTTACATATTTATTTATTTATTTATTTATTTATAAACTTTGCCGCCAAAAATTTATACAACGACAACGGCGCAGGTACATCAACACAGCGTCAACCAATTACGT